AAGTCTCAGATTGAAACGCTGGCCATTCAGATTGCGAGCAACTTTACTCAGACATCTGGCCCGTTTCAACTTGAACTGCAGAGCATTGCAGGACTTAAGTCTGAGGCCGTGACTTTGGTGTGATTGTCCGCTCCAGAAATCGCTGGAGAATGATGGAGTTTAGCTTGCCGAGCTTTCGGGTAACTTGTACTGGTCAGCTTGTCACTTTTCACCATCGATAGATTCAGAGAAACAAAAAACGGTCCGGACAGAAGCTGCAGCTTCAAGAACTGGACCCTGGGCTGTGACTGAAAAATCAGATCATGGGATTTTGGGGTTCCTCCCGTTCAATCATGATAAAAGATCATACATATGTATATAGAGAATTGGGTCATATACGGCTTAAATGGTATCTTCCACCCAAGCTAATATGTATATAATTATATATATATATACATACACAATTATATGATATACATGATATTATATATTATATAGTTATGAACCATCTCAACTATCAGCTATCAGCTATACATCCCATGAAATCCCCCCCATGTCTTTCTTAAATCTCCATCCTTTCTTGAATCCCTACTAAAACCATCACAATTTCATGGTTTTTGATGCACAAAAAAAAATCCATGGTTAGACGCATCCTTCACCGTGTTTTCCAATGTTTTCCATGGTGCCAGGTGGAAACACAGAATCTCCTGAACGAAATCGCCCGGGTGACGGTGGACAGCCTCAACACGAGACTTGGCCACGGAAAGTGTCAACTCCTCGCGACGCCAAGGTCTGGAGCTCGGGAGCTTCGAAAATCATGGGAAAGTCATCGAAGTAAATGGGCAAAATATGGTAAAATCATGTATAAGACATCTTTAAGTCACCATAAATCATACTATAAATGGGCAAAATCATCGAACTAAATCATCTATAAATCATCTGTAAATGTGAGATTGGTATTGAAGTAAATCTATAGATAAATATCTATAAATGGATGATTTCTATGTAACTATAAATGGGTGATATAAATGGAAGATTTGATATAATTTGTTATTCGTGTTCCCCAATGGATTTCTTCCACCTTTTGGGGAATCGATCAAGGGAATCTTTGTTATTTGTTGGAGAGTTTTTCAAGCAAATCCATGAATAGCTAGTGACCCAAAGCAGCTTAAAGCTAATTAATTACATGTAAGGTTTGAATACCGATTAGTATGTTTAGTACTGTATGTTTTTTTTTGTGGCTCAACCAACCATTCAATAGATAGCTGGTGAACCATTGGATGGTTTAGTACTAAGAGTCATGAGGTTTGTGGGTCCTCTGGCACCGCATGTTCCATTTTCTTGCGCTAGAAACAAATGCGCAACAATTGCAAGGTGGTACCCCATGGCACTCGTACCCCCCTAGTTGTATTTGTTGGTTTATAAACCATAGTAAGTATAGACAAATCTACCATAATTTGCACCAACTTAGCTATCGAACGGGGGCACCACCTTGTGGTACTCTATGGATTTTAAAGGACAATTGCCAGAATAACTAATAAGTAGGGCATCCTTATGAACATGCGGAGTTGCACGCATTTGGCTATATCCAGCTGTGAAGATGACCTTTTTCAGGTTGCAAGGATTCGCTTCGGATGCTCCGTAATTGGTGGGAAAATCTAGAGGAACATGTCGCTTTTCCCATGCAAAGTATGTCTGCCCAACTCACCAAGGAAGGCCCACAATCAGATGCTGAAGGATCGACATAAGCAGCTGAGTGGCTGGGTTCCAGTCGGGTTCCGGCTCGGTCCTCTGATGGATACAACCTTCGATTCAAAAACTCCCAATTTGATTGGTGGATGGGTATGGTTTGGCTAATGATGTTTAATAATGTTCTAAATATGGCTAATTGTGGTTAATGGTTACTGATTGCTTCAAAATATCAATCGACCCTGATTGAAATGACCTTTTTTGGTCGATAGCTTCTCTGATTGCGAACGTTTATGATCCCCGAATCTCCCAATTTTTCCATGTTTTGTATTGCCTGGCCAAAAAACACGTTCAATAACCATGGAGATGTGGTCCGGATGATCAACTCCCCTTGCAATGGATGAATTCATCCCATTCCCCGGCCCCGTTCATATTAAACCCCCTCAAAGATGTGTAAACCCCCTATTAAAACATGGTTTCTCAAATATGTTCAATATATTTTAATATTAGGGGAAAGGGATTAGTGATGTTTAATCAAGGTGACACAAGAGATAACCGGTCCCCGGCCCCCGAGACATTTTGCTTTATTTAAGGCGATGAGCTGGCAGAGAGGGAGAAACTCATCGAGCAGTATGTCTCTCGACCCAAGCCATTGGGTACTTGGACACACCAATGGCTGGTTATTTTTAAAAGAGAAGTTCACCATCTAAAATGCGGCCTTGATGAATTGGCCAGACAGAAGATCCAGGACCGAGGCTTCAATATTGAACTAGGGAAACTAGGGATAAAAAAAACCTGGATTGACCCTGGATGAATAAAACCAACAGGTTTTGGTGACGTCTCCAAAACCTTGTTGGGATGATGAGTTGGTTGCACGCCTGCAGTTACAGCAGATCACCAATTCTGGGGTGCTCAAAGCACCATATCTTCGCGGGGAATTGTATCATGTTATATCAAGTTATACCAAGCTTCATCAACAACCTTGTTTGGTTACATCAAGTTCTATCTGCTAGTTTTGTTGCCACTGCTTACACCAAGTTTCTATCCCCCCAGCCAAGTGAGTTGAAGCTACAGGTAGTTTAACAGTTTGCCATGGAATCATGGGAAATTGCCAACTTTTGGATGTTTTACCTACGATTTCTGCAGCCATCTTCCATGGCTCGGTTAGATTTCGCAGAGGGTGTATATAAACATTCAAGTACGGTTGGTATACCATGAAATTCTGTAGCATGAAATATCCCAATCTATGCTTACTATTTATTGTTCCCATGTTTTCCCATAGTTTTGTCTTTTAAAATATCCCATTCATTCATGGTCCATGCTCACACCCAGGAACAAGAGATCCGAAAGCGACATCATCAGATTGAAAAGAAACAGCTCTTCGTGGATCGCCTCAATCGCGAATACGACGAGAAGAGGCTGCGCGGTCAGAGGGGGTTTTGATAGCCATCAACCAGTTACAGTATAACCATTGTTCCACAGAACCATTATATTCCCACTATATTCCCACGATATTCCCATGATCATCCACTAGAGCATAAAGCACTATTAGCCACTATTACCCTTTGTGTTTACCGTTATTTAATATCACCACGAAATTCCCATTCTCAACCACTATAAACCACTATAAATCACTATAAACCACTATAAACCACTATAAACCACTATAAACCACTATAAACCACTATAAACCACTATAAACCACTATAAACCACTATAAACCACTATAAACCCCTATAAACCACTATAAACCACTATAAACCACTATAAACCACTATCACTATAAACCACGATTAGCCACTATTCTTGACGTTTTTCTTTTCACCACCAGATCCCCGCCGTTTCCCACGTTTCCCGAAGCCCCGCGCCAAGCCAGGACGAAACTGGAGGCGGAGATCGGCAACGACGAGGATGTAGCGGGGCCACAGGAGGCCAAACTGAAACACATGTCGGGCCGCCCAGGGAGGAGGATCTCAGTCTGTGAGAAGACCTTGGGGAAGGGGGAAGCTGGAAAATGTGTGGTTTCGTTACAGCAGTTAGATTAATGACTGTATATAATGTATTGTAATGTTAGATAATCTTAGACAATTTTTTGTAATGTTAATATGGTGTTATATAATGTGTTATACTCAAAATGATGTATCATTATATAGGAAAAAATGTAGTGTATCATAGTGTATCAATGTATCATATATATATATATTCATATATGATCTAGATTAGTTCAATAGGTGATGGTGAATATCCAATTACTGCCGCATCCTGCTGGTGTGACTGGTGGCATGGATAAGTCTTGGGGGCTTGGCTCATCATTGTGGATGATTTTTCACCAAACATTTTTTGGTAATATGTTGATCTAATGTGGTTAAAACAATAATAAACTACCCATTTGGGAATGGTAAACATACCACCTATAGAAATGGTGATTTGGGGGCTGGTTTAGTATTGTTTTAACCACATTCTTTTGATCGTTTATGATGGGATTTACCACATCAAAAAGCACAAATCCCCAAAATTTGCTCAGTGATTTTCCGGGCAAGGATATTTTTGGGGCATGACATGTTGGGGCCCCTTTACTTCGGGACAGTCAGTTTGGGGAACCATTTTTTGGGGGAAATTGAGAGCCGCAATAATATACTGGTTGGTGGTTTGGAACATTTTTTATTTTCCCCAATAGCTGGGATGATGATCCAATCTGACTTTCATGTTTTTCAGAGGGGTAGGTCAACCACCAACCAGAGACTGTATGGTGATTTTGATTGGATTTCATGGTTGCTTGGCCTTCCCTGCCTGGTGGACCCGTAGTAAATCATACCTGGTCATGACCCGTCATGACCTGGATACCGCTGTTTGTCCGGTCTGTCCGATGCTTTTTTTTTGATTGTAAAAAACTTACTGGTGCTTAGGCTTCGTAGGGAATTTCGGACATGATCCATAATCCCTAGTGCCCTAGTAATGTCATCATCCCAGCAACCCCCAGCAACCCATCCAGCAACCCTACGTAGTTTCGCACCAGTAAAAAACGTGGTGGATTCCCCTGGTGAATCATGGCTAGTTCAACGTGAAAAACAGCTTAAGTAAGATTTAGGGTAGATATATCTCGAGTTAAATCTGGTAACATCAACCAACAACCATAACTCAACTATGATAAATACATATAAACGCATATATATATATATAAATGCCATTAAATGCCATTAAATCCCATATTTTTGGTTGGTTAAATCTTCAACAAGACATGTCACATTTAGGGGAGCACCACCTTGTCGAACCGGTTTTTTCAATCCCAGGCGCAAGGCCATTGCGGAGCTCACCAAGGAATGCTCGGACATGCAGAAGGACCGTTGGAATCAAACATGGCACTGGAACATTCCCCTAGAAATGGAGTTTTGCCTTTGCAGTAAATGGGATTTAGTAGGGATTTAATGGGATTTTCCTTCTGGTCATCAAAGATAGCCGGAAAATCCCCTATACATGGAGGTTTCTGGTTGGGGAAAAACATCTAGAAGTTGGGTATTTTCAATTGCCAACTATTTTTTGGTGAGTAACATTGATGTTGAAACTCTTGATGCCTCTCAATTGAAGGACTTTCAGTACAAAGTTTCACCTACTTTAAAAAAAGATCTCCAAAGGACTGGGGCATCATATTGATTTAAAGCTTCAATTACTTTTTCAAATTGAAGACTTGAAGATCTACTTTTTCAATTGAGTTCAAGTCTTCAAGGCCCATTTTGGAATCTCAGGTGCTCCCTAGAGCGCCTTTTCCGTTGCAGGACTGGATCCAGAAACAGACCCAGCTGCTGTCGATCGCCAGCGATACCGACAAATTGAAGGCGGCGCTGACCAGAAATCCAACCTGGCAGTGGAAAAAAACAACTCCCTCAACTGTGGCAAGCTAGCAATTTCCGGAACTCAATAGAGGTGTTTGTGAGAAAATATATCTATATACATCTTTATTTATATAGACATATGTATTTTATCATAAATTATATGATATTGGAATAGCCAATGTTTTTGTGATGCTCATAGTGACTGAAATGGGATATGTTCATGAATTTCATTGTCAGATGGTATAGTTTTGTCATTGTCAGTGGAGGCTTACTTAACCCACGGGTAAATCACATGGGGGTTGTGGATGACCTGCGGAAGGTGTGCGCTGTTGGGAGACAAGTTACTACTTATTGAACACGTGATATGTTAAATCCTCAAGTTGCCAACTATATCTAACTATTATTGATACTGATAAGGCTAGTGAACTTTGTTCCCCACCTGCCAGGTGAGGGTTGTTAGATTTTATCAGAGCGCATGCCCGCCTCCTCCTCCTCCTCCTCGACTAGCTGTCCTCCTCGCTGTCCTCCTCGCCTCCGCCTCTTCCACCTCCACTTCCGCCTTGCTCCACCTCCACTTCCGCCTTGCTCCACCTCCACTTCCGCCTTGCCTACCTTGCCAACTCGTCGCCAAGCTCTTCGCCAACTGCCCAGCTCAGTGCGCACTGCTGGACGTCAACCTGCGAGCTGCCCAGCTCAGTGTGCACCGCTGGACCTCAACCTGCGAGCTGCCCAGCTCAGTGTGCACCGCTGGACCTCAACCTGCGGAATGCCCAGCTCAGTGTGCACCGCTGGACCTCAACCGGGGAGCTGCCCAGCTCAGTGTGCACCGCTGGACCTCAACCTGCGAGCTGCCCAGCTCAGTGTGCACCGCTGGACCTCAACGGACAGATAGAATGCCAGAAGATATGCCAGATGGAATGTCAGATAGAATGCCAGAAGATATTCCAGATAAAATGCCACGAGATATGCCAGATAGAATGCCAGAAGGTATGCCAGATAGAATGCCAGATAAAATGTCAGATAGAATGCCACAAGATATGCCAGATAGAATGCCAGATAAAATGTCATATAGAATGCCAGAAGATATGCCAGATAAAGTGCCAGAATGTTTGCCAGAAGATTTGCCAGATGATATGCCAGAAGATTTGCCAGATAGAATGCCAGATAGAATGCCAGAAGATATGCCAGAAGATATGCCAGGTAGAATGCCAGAAGATATGCCAGATAGAATGCCAGAAGATATGCCAGAAGAATGCCAGAAGATATGCCAGATAGAATGCAGAAGATATGCCAGATAGATATGCCAGATAGATGCCAGATAGAATGCCAGAAGGTATGCCAGATAAGTGCCAGAATGTTTGCCAGATAGAATGCCAGAAGATTTGCCAGATAGAATGCCAGATAGAATGTCAGAAGATATGCCAGAAGATATGCCAGATAGAGTGCCAGAAGATATGCCAGGTAGAATGCCACAAGATATGCCAGATAGAATGCCAGATAAAATGTCAGATAGAATGCCACAAGATATGCCAGATAGAACGCCAGGTAGAATGTCAGATAGAATGCCAGAAGATATGCCAGATAAAATGCCAGAAGATATGCCAGATAGAATGCCACAAGATATGCCAGATAGAATGCCAGAAGGTATGCTAGATAAAATGCCAGAAGATATGTCAGATAGAATGCCAGAAGATTTGCCAGTAACAAAACGTATAAATGTCACGGTGGGGATAACTCGAAGTAAAGAATTTTTCTTTTAATCTTTTTTGTGATGCTGTGGTTTGTAGAGGGCCCATAACCTACCCAGTGTCTGGGTCCTGAAGCGGCTCTGGCACCAGGCAGTAAAAAGGAGGTTTATGGGAGATGGTCATATTACAAAACATCATGAATAATAAGCCAATAGTAATTACTAAACAGTACATGAATATAGTAAGGATACTAAACATCATGAATACTATTGGTTTTCCTGTCTTGTTCTGTGGCCAAAAAGCACTACAAAGTGAACATAAGAGGAGCATAGTTCGATATTGACCTCGGCCATTGCATGATGTGGAATGTGCAACCCTGCGCATCAGCCAGCGTTGCAGGGCAACCTCAACGAAAACAAGAACAAGAAGATGGTCTTGGAGCAGTGCTGCCGGCTGTTGTATCATGCATGATTGTAGTGGAGCAGGTGTGGGATTTAGGGTCAAACTGAGTCAAACTTTTCAGGAGCAGCCGGTTACACGCCCTCTTCAGGTAACAGTGACGGATGGATACAAACTGGTGGATACAGCAGAGTTCTGACGGCCTAGGGGGAGGGAATGCCATTCAAATGTTCTGGCGGTTACGTACCATTACAATCCATTACATATCATGAAAACACACACACGTTTTGGGTCTACGTATGAACACTTCTATAGTTTGGGGGTTAAAGACCACTAAAACCACCTTGAACGGAAATTTGTTACATTCCATTGTAACAGCACTCCTGGTTAAATGCCACTAAAACATACTAAAACAACATTTTCATGGGAACTTTGTTACATCAATGCCACTTCTGGTTAACACCACTTTTAGACCACCATTTGAAGTGAGCTTAGCGCGTTTTTTCGGGGCTTTCTGGACGTGCCACGTCAGCGCCACGCCAGGAAGAAGATTCGCATCGAAGGGCAGCTGTCGGGTCATGAGAAGGAGATTCGGGAGCTGGAGAACAACATGAAGCATCTGCGTTTCTCGGAAAAAAAACTTGTCCAGCATATCTATCTGGTATGATCTGGTTAAGAATGGTTAATGAATTCATGATGGTTGATGATGAATGACGATGACTCAGGATGATCAGTAAGATGATTAGTAATTGATAATCATGGTAATATGATGTTTAATGATGTTCCACACTGGGGTTGCAGTTATAACTTATAACCTACTTATGAGAGAGATACCCCCAGGAGTCCGAGACTTAGGATCACCAATGATCACCAGGGTAACATCTGCCGTTCGTATGTTGCCGGGCCGGGCCGGGGTCTTCATTGCAGTGGCTGGTTTTTTTTCTCTGCAAATGGAAGTTTTGGTGGGAAAATCTAGGGATTTTTTTCAGCAAGCCCTGTTACTGGAGGGTCCCACTATTGAGCTTAGCTTTGAATCTGTCTGCAGACAACGTTGGGCCCAGATATCTTTGGATGATCCTTCGTTGGTTTGGTTCTGCGTGAGGGCCTTTCATCAGGAAATGCCTGGGTTTTGGAGTGTGTAAACCACCTATGACCATCCTCTTTTAGCGTTTCTTTCCAGCTTCTCATGGGGTGTCTAACCCCACTTCAGTTCAGCTCGAAATGACTGCAGTAGTGGTACTACGTATAGGATACTATAGGAACAATGCCTAATAAAGTCCTATAAACACTGAGGTTCTGGGGTTCCAAAATGTTCCACGTTGACATGATCCCCGGTTTCAATTGCTTTGCTTGTGTGGCTCGTTGCCGTGTGAGGTTTTGACATGGACCGCATGAACGGGGCCGTGGTGAAGAACGAGTCCAGACCTTTGGCGGCATCTGGTTGGGGCATCACGACTAGTTGAACATGGACCATATGCCAAATTCCACTAAAATTGGGGACAAGAAATCTAGTCGACAACACCATTTATAATTTCAGATATTTAAGGTCGTCACGCTTCAAGATTGCTATCTATTTTTTGGTGAGACGTTGCTGTCGTCTCACAAACAGCGACATTTTGCATGACCGCCGGTTGCCATGAGGATCTGATGAGATCTCGAATTCCAACCAGATGATGGAAACGGAGTTCGTGCAAAAGCTCAAGGAGATCGAAAGTAGGCCTCCGCTTGAAACGGAAACGCCGGGGCTGGGAGTTGAACGGATAACTGTTGCCACTGCGGCTTCAGTATCTTCAATCTTTGTGATGCCGTGCGTTGCTTTCAATCGTTCAAAACATGGAAATTTCGGAGAACAGAATTTATGTTTGGACACTTGTGGCATGACAAGTATGATGTACAATGTACAATGATATATTTCTTTTATGTTCTTTTATGTTCTTTTAGATAATCCTGGTTTTCCATGTTTTCCAATTCCAACCGGGATTCCAACCCCTTGAATGTTGCAGATGCTTCACCACCGAGTATCTCACGCAATGGTTGGGAAACACCACTCCCCCCAGCGGAACAGGTGTCTTGATATGGACTCCGAGCTGCACTGGCGGGAAGTGGCCGATTTTTTTGATATTTTGTTGGCCATTTCGGGACTCCATCCAGGTTGAAATCCCTTCAGGTCCCAGCCTTTCAGGGCATAGGCATCGCTTCGGGATACGTCGGGTGCATCGCTTCGGGCTACGCCTCATGCATCGCTTCGGGATACCTGAAGATCAGCATCATCATCCTCATCATCATCATCATCATCACCACCATCACCATCGCCATGATCACCACCATCACCATCGCCATGATCACCATCATCCTCATCATCCTCATCATCCTCATCATCCTCATCATCCTCATCATCCTCATCATCCTCATCATCCTCATCATCATCATCATCATCATCATCACCGTCGTCGTCCAGAATAGACATATTCCATCATCATCATTATCATCATTATCATCCTCATGTTAACCATCATGAGGGGTCGGAGGGCGGGTACCCCATCATCATGTTGTCCACTCAGGGTTGACCACCATGTTGACCACCAAGTGAGCATCATCATCATCATCATCACCATCATCATCATGATCATCATCATCTTCATGATCATGATGGTCATCCTTGTTATAAGCATTTTCTTCTTCCGGGTATTATTCATCTTCATCTTCCTCATGTTCATGGTGATGATAGTGTCAGGAGAAGGTGTGATAGCGTGAGATCATGTTGGTGTGCAGGTGCAAGAGAAGATCGGCTCATGGTGTAGCATATATTCTTTGTGCCAAGAGCAAAAAAGAATGTTTCACACACACACACCCCACACCCCGCCCAACCAAACCCTAAATGGCTGAGTCAAGTGATGATTTAAGTCCATGGATCCCACCCTTGTTCCCAGCATCAATGACGCTTTTGTCCCCCCCCACCCCCCCCCAACAAACCCTAAATGGCTGAGTCAAGTGATGATTTAAGTCCATGGATCCCACCCTTGTTCCCAGCATCAATGACTCTTTTGTCCCCCCCACCCTCCCAACCAAACCCCAAATGGCTGAGTCAAGTAATGAGATGATAAGAACGATGTTTTCCGTGTTGCCCAAAGTGATGAAATCCGTGTTGCCCAAAGTGAGCGTCCAAAGTGTGAGGAGTGTGTGATTTCTGGATGTTGCCTGAAGTGATGCGTTTGGTGTTGCCCTAAGTGATGCGGGTGCCGCCTTTCAGGGCCCAGCAGCCACGAGCCACGAGCCCGCGCCGAGGAACGAGACGTGGAGAAGTTGAGACTAGAGAAGGATCAAATGAACCAGGACATCCTGGAATCAGAACGACAGGTGCTGTGGCTGTGCGATGTGATGCTATGTGCTTGTTGATCTTGTTGGTTTCTTGATTTGTATAACCAAATAGTATCATACCAAGATCCAAGTGTATTGGTCGCTTGTTGACTATATATATATACTATACATAATATATATTAATATATTATATAGCTATGACCCAAAACCGTTTGGAAAGATGATGCTTTGCCAAGTGTTCAACTGCATTCAAAATGTCTTGAACTTAAGGAGTTCTTTGGATTCTTTTGGCGCCCTTTTGACGTTTTTGCCTTACATTGTAGGCCCAAGGCCTTCTGAGTGTTGGGTTTAGACTCTTTTGACGTTCACCTTTTTGGTTCCATCCAGGACACCATTGACCGGCTCTTTGAATCGATGGATCAGAGCCCCAATTGGGCCGACAAATATTCGTTCTGGGGGATGAAGATTCATGAATTTTCCCACCCAAATCCATGCCACGTGAACGGTAAACGCCGGATTTCATGGGTTGTGGATCGGTTTTCAATGGTCCGCAGTCAGGTTCTTCTCTGGGAGAGGAAGATCACCTTAGAGAAAGAGATGCCACGTATTGAAAGTGGGGGATGGTTGAATTGCACTGGGGCACCCCTAGTCATCATCCATGGAAATAGCTGGGATTTTCCATGAAATAAACCAAGCATTTTATGGATACCCCCAGCTTATGGAAACCCATCAATATGATTTTAAGGCATTTTATGGTGATGACTTGGGGTTGGTTGATGAAAGTGGCTTTACCGCATTACTAAAAACATGGGGACGGTACCATCATTGGTCATTTACCCCCCGATGTTCACCGGGCTCTGGGCACTGATGAAACACATCCAAAAGCAACACTATGAACCTGTTAGCCTCCAGTAAACTAACATAGATGTAGAAAAAAACAGTGTTTTGCTTGGAAACTCATCTATAAATGGTGGCTTTTCCAACCCTCCATGGAATCCACATTGAAATGTGAGTTCACCGATCCATGAGGGATCATGAGATGTGCCCCCCATTTTGACCCTTATGACATTCTATAACCATCGATATAGGGTGGTTATACAATGGAATTATGATAGATACCATGAAAAATAGGTGGTTTTATGGTGTATAGTCTGTATAGTTCCATATATCTACCATAAACCATCGAATTCTGGTGATGTTCAACTTTTTGCTAAGCACGTTGCGGCTTGAGGCAAGCAGCTTTGGATCCGAACGTCGGACAAGCAGATGCTGCTGCAATGAAGAAGGTGGATGCGGAGGGGAACCATCGAAAGTTCACTAAGTTTTTTTTTTTCATTGGGGTTTTCACTAACAATCATGATAATAGTGGTGGTAAACTGATGGTAAAATGGGATATACATATATATGTATAATATATATGTATATATATATATATATTAGCGGGGATTCCGAATTAGACATCCATCTCTAGTTTTGGCTTGGATGGGAAGTATAGCCATACCTTTATTGATTTTTGTTGTTTTTTTCAAGGGTTAGATTTATCATACGTTAGTAAGAATTGAGTTATATAATAACACTTTTCGGGGATCAACAATCCACCTTGCATCTTGTCTTGAATATCTTGAATGTTCTAATATCCCATCAATATCATCACATGAATATCCAACATTTTACCAACACTATTCTTAGTTAAATCCCCATGAAATCATATTACCCTCTGGTAAACGTTTACATAACATTACATAACCATGGATAAGCACCGTATTTTTCATGGGAACATTCACGCACTAAATGGTGATTTTCCATCGTTAAATCACCATGAAGTCTCCATTTTTCCTGGTGAACTGTCCATTTGTCCCATTGAAATCAATGCTTTTTCGCCTCTGCTGAGCGTCCAGGAGATTCATCGCATGGAGCTGCGATTGGAGCAGTTGAAACGGCGCCAGGCGGCTGGTTTGAAAATGGGGTATAGCTTCACGAATGTCCACTGAAATCACCTATGAACATAATGATTATCCAATGAAACACATTGATAACCAATATACCCTCTGGTTATTTAACATAGCCATGGAAAATGACCCATTTATAGATGGTTTACCTCGTAAAAATGGTGATTTTCCATGGCAATGTTAAATAACCAGATGGTAATATCTATGATCACCAATGAAATACATTGATAACCTGGTTGGTGGTTTGGAACCATGGAATTTTATGACTTTCCATTCAGTTGGGAATTTCATCATCCCAACTGACGAACTCATATTTTTCAGAGGGGTAGCTATACCACCAACCAGATGGGGATGGGTCAAAACCTATTAACCATCCCTCAACCAGCTATGAAAAAGTGTAGGGTACCAGGGGTTTGACCCATAACAATATCTGGTACTGTATGGTACTGTAAATTACAATTACCTCATGCCGTGATGTCACTGGTTTATGATGGTTGAAACATTTTCCGGCAAATCATCCAAGAATGGCCGTGCCTGTTTCAGCGAGTGAATCCTTATAATTCAGCCATATGTACAACATAATATATAATATACATATATATATATACAGGTGTATATATATATATATATATTATACCTAATTATTTGTATATATATATATATGCATATGTACCATCATTTACCATGTCATCCTCATACATATCCAATGATCAATGCATGTTCTCCCATATATTGGATATCCTCATCAAACGTTCATACACATCCCGTTAATGAATATCATGGATAGATCCTCAATATCATCCCATACATATTAATATCCTTACCATCAATCCCATATTTTTTTAATGGACACTGCGATGATACTCATGAAACATAATCAAATCACATTAATTAAAAAACATATACCATTAATGAACTAATGAATATCTTACATACCATATCATGATATGATATTAATATACATTTTTTGAATATGTATGGATCTCAATGGTATCACATTAGTGTATATATATATATACATATGATAATTCCGAATACATACCACTAACACCATGATTTTCAAGATACAGATATCAATATCACCCAAATTCACGAAGTATATTCATCAGACCATTAATACCCCTAGTTAAGGGAATTTGTATATACCATGATCTTTATGGACATCCATGGGAGAAAACCTCGCGTTGCTGAGGAGCAGATGATCGTCGAGATGGAGCGCGCCATTCACAAGCGCGACGTCATCGCCCTGAAGCTCGAGCCCAAGGCGGAGCGTGGGAAAAAAGTGGAGCGGCGATTGCGAAAGTAAGGGAAACGTGAAATGGGGAAATGGGGGTGAAGAATGGTAAAGAATGGTTGAGAATGGTGATCAATGATTAAGAATGGTTATAATAGAATAGTGATGATGAATGGTTATAATAATGATGAATGGTTATTGAGGGTGATAAAAATGGTGATTGATTCCATCAAACACATAGTTGTAGTAGGATTTAATCATAGTGGCACATTTAGTTCGATGATTTACCTATATTTGCCCACTATTTTGATGCTTATTTTCCGTAGCTGCCATAGCTGTGTTGAATTTACCAGAGGGTAACCATCAAAAAAAGGGAAGAAAACCCACATGAAGATTTGAAGACACAACCAGTTGAATTTGAGGTGCTGTTTAGCAGTTTTAGCGGTGGGGATATACATAGACCTAGACACAGTTTCTCAGGTTATCCTTAAAACAATATTATATACATACATATACCATGCTTATACATCCCGCCGGACCGGAAACCGTGCCCATAAAACGCACGTTTTTTTTAAGAAATGGTGATTTTACCACAGTGCCGTGCTGATTTGATGATTGGAAATCCTGGAAAAACTTGGGGTGCGTTTTTTGGCTTTTCAGCGTCATCGCTGCAACGCATGCACCGTTATCAGCTGGCAATCAGCATTCTTGTGAATGCATCTCCATTGCCAAGCTCTAGCATACATCATCAAGAGGTCACTTTTGGCACTCAAGTTGCTGGGAATTGACTTTTTCATCAGATTCCACATAGAACATGTAACGTAGTAAACGATCCCAGAGATCTCAGCAGCGTAGCAACATGTAACGTAGTAAACGATCCCAGAGATCTCAGCAGCATGGAAATGTATCATGTACGAAGTACAAGGAACGGTAACATGTCCCCCCACCCCACCCCACCACAGTGCCCTGCTAATTTGATGATTGGAAATCCTGGAAAAACTTGGGGCGCGTTTTTTCGTTTTTCAGCGTCATCGCTGCAATGCATGCGTAGTAAACAGCTGGCAGTCAGCATTCTTGTGAATGCATCTCCATTGCCAAGCTCTCAGAGATCTCAGAGATCTCAGCAGCGTAGCAACATGTATGTAACGTAGTAAACGATCCCAGAGATCTCAGCAGCGTAGCGACATGTAACGTAGTAAACGATCCCAGAGATCTCAGCAGCGTAGCAACATGTAACGTAGTAAACGATACCAGAGATCTCAGCAGCGTAGCAACATGTATGTAACGTAGTAAACGATACCAGAGATCTCAGCAGCGTAGCAACATGTATGTAACGTAGTACACGATCCCAGAGATCTCAGCAGCGTAGCAACATGTATGTAACGTAGTAAACGATACCAGAGATCTCAGCAGCGTAGCAACATGTAACGTAGTAAATAATCCCAGAGATCTTAGCAGCATGGCAATATATCATGTACGAAGTACAAGGAACGTTAACATGCCCCCCCACCCCACCCCACCCCACCCCACCCCATCGCGATATTCAAAAACGTGCGTTTTACGGGAACGGTTTTCGGTCCGCAGGCTTATACATGTAGATGTTGGGCTGTGTCCCCTGAACAGCCGGCAGGCCAAAAAGAGCAAACAGGCGGCGAACACGGCCAACGTGAAGCGCCAACTGCAGTCGCTGCGCAACAATCTGAAGCTTTGCAACTTGGATGAAGATTGATGAAGATTAGGAGTAATGTGGTACACCCAATGCCATAAATCATTCCCCAAATCACAATTTTTAAGGGTTCCATAAACCATCCCAAATGGTAGGTTTATTATTGAGTTGCCCAAATTAGAGGTCAAAGTTGAAGGTACTGGAAATGACTTATTTGTGGTCACTACACATTTAAACTTAAGTTACATGTCTGCTGTAAGGCCCAAAATCTGGTGCCAGCACGGACCAGGTCTTCTTCTTTGGCAAAATTGGCTAGGCAATTGAAGTTCCGAAGAGGTAGATGGTAAGCATCCCATTATAATCCCATTATTTATAGTGTTTCATAGTTACCAATAGTTACCAACTGATTTTTAGGATTTCGCAACCAATCCGCAGTAGCATTTTTCACCGGGCGGCCCGTGGCTAGTCACCCTGAAGCCCGCGATCGCGTGTCGCGTGAGGTACCCAGGCCAATGCTGAGGCAGAGCACAAGATCACAGATGCTCGGTGCCGACAGGTTTTAGTATGTTTACTGGTTGGTGGTGACTGGAACATGGCTGGATTATGACTTTCCATATATTGGGAATAATAATCCCAATTGACTTTCAGATTTTTTCCAGAGGGGCAGGTATACCACCAACCAGTTTAACCTTGGGGAAAGCAAGATGGAAGGCCTCCAAAATGAGGTTCGATTAGACATGATTTGATGATTCTGGTCATCTTGGGGATATTGGGTCCCCAAGTGTGAAACAGAGACCCATTGCTGAACATGAGTTTCGACTTCTGTTTGACAAGAAATAACGTGTACTCTTTTGGGGTATAACTTGTACAAGAAATAACTTATATAGAACTTAAGGTTCAATTGGCGATTGGTGTTTCGTTGTGGAATGCCTTTCACGGCCATTCTGGATAAATGAATGTATAAATCTGTATACCTTCTGGTAATTTAACATAGCTATTGAAAATTGCCATAGAAATAGTGGATTTACCCATTAAAAATAGCGATTTTCCATGGTTATGTTAGTTTACCAGAGGGTAAATGATATCAAACAATGATGATAACCAGCCTACCTTAGACCGAACCCTCCATTGCCCCAAAACTGGGCCACAAAGGGCTTTGAATACGGCCTGGATTATCCCATGGCGGATCCCATGGCGGTCACGGTAAGTAGGATAGTTCAGCCCACTTGCAAGTGGATGTCCCATTTCTAACCATAAATCTTGGGAATTACCATAAATCTTGGTAAATGCAACCTGTTTTACCATAAATCTTATGGTAAATGCGGATCAGACGAGATGGTGTTTTGGATGAGATGTCAGTTTTCTTGGCCAAAGGCCTCTGGTTCACTTTCGTAGTCGGCCGTTCGACCCCCTCGCTTGGAGGAAAGAGTAAATTATACCGACCTCACTGCGACCTCACTGCAACCTCACTGGAATGATGGTTAGTAGGGGTAACATGGGGTAACTCTCCCAAAAGAATTTAGTCGCTAACCATGATGGATATAGTGAATATTTATGGTACTTATCCAGATATCTATTGCCATATTTATCCAGATAGATATCTGACGTTTAGCATAACCTCGACGCCAAGGAAAGACAGCGCGATCTGCAAGAGCTTCAGCAGACCATCGAGCAGGCTGTGCAGGAGCCGTCGCCGAGTTTTTTCCAGAATGCCTTGGAGATGATGTTAGGAAGTCCCCGATTTAGTGCGGCATTATATAACTATATAGCTGGAATATGTATATATAATTATACGTATACATATATATGATATATGTTTATTATTATTTAACTATATAAATATATATATCCCACAACTTTTATTTGATATGTAACTATACTATGGTTACCATATACATATATAACATGATAGAATTGGGTTATTTTCATATATATATACACATATAAAACATGATATACATGATATGCAACTATATGACTATGGTTACGTTCACCACTTACGATCCGTGGGATGAACACTCAGAGTGGAGGTGATTTTCTGTTTCGCCGCTGCGGGCATGCGGAGTGCTTAGGGGGTCCTAAAAGCAACCAAAAAAAAAGAACGAAATAATCCCAAATATCATACATGACATTATATGACTATCATATGTAAGTATACACAGTAGCTATACATATATATATAGTATACATAATAAATAAATATATATATATGTATATATATGAAACAACCGCTAAAATGCGAGGGCAGAAGCTTTCTTTTGCACTGCTCGAAGATTTCAGCAGTTTTGGCATCCAGGGATTGCTCAGGACCGATGGCAGATAGCCAGCGAGCAGTCCGAGCTTCTGCCACAGAACACCATCAATAAATGGTTGAGATGTGCCCCTATAAATGTGGTTGTTGTTGGTTAGGATTTGCCTCTAGTAAACCCAAACATTCTTGATTCTTGATCTCATTTATATCCAAATTGATATTCCATTTATAGCAGGTTAATATTTGGCCTTCTTGTTGGGGTGGTCTTCAACCTGGGGAGTGTTGCTTGAAAAAACATGGGATGGTGAACCCCCCAAAAAAACATAAAGACACCACCAACCATGATTTGTAGGAGAATCCCCATTATGGGTTGGGTCATTTCACCGAATAGCACCAAATCACAGCCCATGCTTTTGTTGGTTTTGTTGGATTGATTATTACGTATATCTCCATAATAAGGTACCAGTTTTGTTTATACTTAACTGTTCAACCATATATTATAATATATTAAAGCCTAGTTTTTAACCATATTTCAACCATATTTACTGTAAGAAAATATTAAGCCATATTAAACCATATAAAATCACATTAAATCTAGGTGCTAAACTATATTCGACCCAAGAAATCACATTGTTGGGATATCTTCACTCAGCCAGGACTATGGCAACTTGGAACGAGCCAATGAAGCCCTCAGAGGAGAAGTACAGGTGGCGAAACCGCCGAAGCCGACCTTTCGGCTTGCCGGGAGTAGAAACACAGACTTCAACCAAGCCCAAATGGTAAACTGGTTGGTGGTTTGGAACATGGCTTTTATTTTTCCATATGTTGGGAAGAATCATCCCAACTGACGAACTCATATTTTTCAGATGGGTTGAAACCACCAACCAGTAAACCCAATGTCAGACATCCATGTGGAAAATGTGAGGACTATTAAACCCAGTATAAACTATGGGGATTGTTAAACCAACAAGCCCAGTAATTAACTATGCGAATTATTGAACGAATGTGGGAAACCATCCCCAAGTCATCACCATTTTTATGGGTGATTCAAACCATCCGCAAATGATAGGTTTATGGCATTGGGTTTTCCACATTTACGACTTTATAAATGATGGCGATACTATGATAAATAGTCATTTTACAAGTTTATGTAATACGTATGTGTCAATACTGAAAATTCTTCGGTTAACCACAACTCACCATTTTATAGGAATATCATTGGATATCAAGGAATATAGTGGGATATAGTGGGACAAATACTGATAATATGGGAAAGTGCAAAACAACATATAAAAAAGTAATGTCAACCCCGGTTTTGCTAGACCCTGTTTGACTAATTCGGTGGATGACCCCCAAGCAGTGTTGATCTGCTTCTGAAACGATACCCAGCCACATAAAACAGTCTAGCTGTTTGTTACTCATTGTTACTCAGGGGGTGACATTAAACTATGAGTAAAATGGGAGGCTAACCACAACCATTTTATGCCGAGATTCTTTTGGATATAGTGGGATAGAAAACCATGCTATGGGGATATTCAACCATCATATTGAGTCTGCCAATTTTAAGTACAACAAGACCTTAGACGTTGTAGTGAGCAAGACCTCATATGTCCTAGTTACTAGTTCTACTGGCCGTTTGGTCTTGCAACTCTTCCTTTTCCCCCAATTCCCCTCACCTCCTGAGATGTTCTCTGATGGTCCAAAGCACACTGCACATTCCACATGTGCAGAGCATACCCCGAAATATACCGCGAATCATACCCCTGAATCAAACCCCCCCTACTACTTCCCGATTTGGGCACCGTTAAAAAATACAAACCCACATATATATATATATATATATAATATATCTATATATATATATATATACATGGATAATTTTGGATATTTTTGGGTCATTGCTGTTTGGTAGGTCAATGAGGTGCCTGGATAGTGGCTGTTATTTGGTCATCTTATGTCATAAATATGGGCATATGAGGATAGATGCATCCTACCCAGCTAGTGAAAAACCTCGAGTCTCGCAGATCGACCCCAACTCTCAACGGTAATCTGACCGGCCAGCCATTTGAGGTGGGCCATATTGAGAAACAGAGGAATTTGGCCAGTATCCTGAAGCTCCAGAGGGCTGCCAAACGCCTCTGGGACTGGAGTATTTCATAGGGCAAATTGATGAATCAGTTGGTTCAGTTTAGGATTTGTTTGGGTACAAAAATGTACAACACATATTTGTGACCAAACCCAGATGATGCTGTATCCGCCCAACTGTAGATGGAATAACCGTTTCTTGAAGATAGTCCAGAGAGACAGGGCCACCAAAATTATGTTTGAACTTGTAAGGAAACCTTATCATTTACAGAAACTGGGTTGCAAATCCAAGTAACTATAGTTGTTATGGATCATCATCCCGTGGTAATGGGGATTCAATCACCCCCTGGTGCCGGTGTGCCCCCTGAGGATGTGTCTTGGGCTCATCAATCACCAACAACTGCAACAACAGGGGCAAATTTTAGCCATCTAGCCATCTATTGCGGGACCGACCCAATCATGAAGGGATCATTTAAACGTGAAACCCAAGAACATCAACTCGAAATGTGTGTATGTTTCAGAACTCCACCATACGCTACCTAAAATAAATCACCATTTTTTTAAAAAAGACATGTTTAAAAGCAATTAAAACTACTCTTAATTGAACAACTCGATCATAGTCAACGCAACTACAAAACCACTACAATTGAAATTTCCCTTATTTACATACTTCGATGATTTTCCCATCTCCAAATCTCCATTTTATTCGTTTTTTTTTCTGGCTATGTTTGATTATCACAGGGTATATTTGTGGTATATCCCTATAGAAATCATGGTTGAACTCCGTTCCCTTCCTATATTTCCAACGGTTCCACCGGTGCCGCGGCTTCCCCACGGACGAGTGACGAGTCCGGACCCACGAGGCATGGACGAGTTCGCCATGGGCACCGGGCCACCTCCGGCGGCCAATATCCAGCAGCAGCTGCAGGATCAAGTGCAGCGCCTCGGCGTCATTTTTTGGGCCGGATGGGGCATGGTGTTATTTTTCGGCCCAGAAATGGTGGTGAAGAATGTGGTTACCAGAAAAATCACATGATGACCCTGGCATTTTTTGGGGGATCATTTTGGGTTGGAAGATGAGTTTCCACTATACCGATGAGGTCATTTTCAGGGTCTATGTTAATTTACCAGAGGGCAAATGGATGCAAATGGTGGTCTCCATAGGACTGGGTTTATTCTGATTATGATTAAGTCCTCAAATTGGTGCCCCATATTTTTCGTTGGTTCAGTTGATTCATGAATGATTAGGCTAACTAGGGATTATTCTGATTACTGGACTATAGTGAGTTGAAACAATGTCACCTTCTTGTCTTACTTGCCATTTACAATCAATGCTCATGTCATATGTTATTTTTTCACGGTGGTTCCCAGTCTTAAAAGATCCATTAATATGATTTGGGATATGAATATTACATATATGGTCATGTATAGCTATTTACATATATTGAATTACAAAACAACCGGGGAAATTCATGGACATTCCACATACCATCTGGTTATTTAACATAGCCATGGAAAATCACTATTTTTAATAGGTAAAACACAGGTAAACCATCGTAAACCATCTATAAATGGGCCATCTATACCATGGCTATGTTACATAACCAGAGGGTATCTGGGCAATTTGTTGTGACCTCACGTGGTGACCTCACTGGATGGAACGAGCTGGATTCGGGCGAAGATTCCGCTTGCGAATGGTTGATTGATAGGGGTAATAAGCCCCATCCCTAGTTAACAAGAATGGATAAGAATGGTATATCAGGGTACAATGTAACCATACTATGGGATACCTAGGCTAGTTAACAAGAATTATACATAGCGGTATAATTAATGTAACATAATGTAAACATACAATGGGATACTAGTTCCCAATAAAATGGTATAACTTAAAAACTATTCTTAATCATTGGTGGTTTCATGTTAATGGTACTGTATAATGAAGCACCATCCCAGGCTCCGAGGGAAGGTCGAGGAAATCGTGAGGCGCGGCAACAGAAATGATGGATTTCAGCCAGAAACTTTGATTTTTTGCTGGTGATTTCCTGGGATTTTTGCTGGTGACTAATACGGATTTAACCAACAAAAATGATGATGATATTAATGGGGACTACACTCTGGTTGTTCAAAAACAGCTATGGAAGCCATGGCCCATTTACAGATGATAAAACTTATGATTTAACTGGGGATATGAATGGAATATGAATGGAATATATACCTTCTGGTAATTCAAACGTGGCTGGCTGGGACATCCCTTATAAATGCGGGTTCTAGTGCGAACATCATCGAACCTATAAATAAATGGTTGATTTTCAGCAAGCCATGTTTGACTTCCGGAAGGCAACGGGCAAAACAAAGGGATTGGCCACAACATTGTAACCGTGCATTTTTCATAGGAAACGTTGTTTTCTAAAACAGACAATTTTGAGGTACCTATTTCTGGACAAGGCGCCAACTACGAAGCTTCACAATTTGCTATGACGAAGGGAGGCCCAAAATGGATTCCACCCCAGGCTGAAACCGGTGAAGCCCTCGAAAATGTCGTCATCAGAATGATTTTGTGTCGCTTGGAAGTGGCTCAAAGTGTAGAGCTCTATGTTTCCTTTCGTTATTGCCTTTTGCCTGCACTCGCCGTGGTGAGTGTGTATTCTTTCAACGAATGAAGCGTGCACGAGACCGCCACCCAGACCCATCACCCACCGACAAAGGCGCGAAACGCGCACGGGATGGCAATCTGGATCCATCATCTACTGACAAAGATGCAGCAGATGAAACTGATGAGGTGGAGCTGCACGTGCTGTGCTTGACTGGAGAAGGAGTGACGTTCAGCGTCAGTCGCTCCATGCTTGGGTCTGACCTGCGCAGGTTGGTGTCAGAGAAGCTTCCACGCAAGCCAGGCGCAAAGCTCGCAGTGCATCATACGAATAGAGAGCTGACATTGGATGAAAACCTGGCAGAGCAAGGGATTGTTGGAAAATCTGCAACGCTGTCCTGCACCTACATACCAACCAATTTGTATACAGCATGGCTTTATGCCTGTGGTTCTGTCTCTGAGCTTCTCAAGTGTGAGAGAGAGTTTGCACTAGAGGGTGTTACACATCTTGCCACAGACACACATCCGGAAGATTGGAATCAACAATATTTGCATCATCTCCCCGGCAGCCTTCAAAGCTTGCAGTTTGGGCGTGAGTTCAACCGAAGCCTGGAGCGGGTGACTTTGCCATCGAGTCTTCAAAGCTTGAGTTTTGGCGATAAGTTCAACCAAAGCCTTGAGCGGGTGACCTTGCCATCGAGTCTTCAAAGCTTGAGTTTTGGCCATGACTTTGACCAAAGCCTGGAGCGGGTGACCTTGCCATCGAGTCTTCAAAGCTTGAGTTTTGGCGATAAGTTCAACCAAAGCCTGGAGCGGGTGACCTTGCCATCGAGCCTTCAAAGCTTGAGTTTTGGCGAATACTCGAATTTCAACCAAAGCCTGGAGCGGGTGACCTTGCCATCGAGTCTTCAAAGCTTGAGTTTTGGCGAATTGTTCAACCGAAGCCTGGAGCGGGTGACCTTGCTATCGAGTCTTCAAAGCTTGAGTTTTGGCCATGACTTTTACCAAAGCCTGGAGCGGGTGACCTTGCCATCGAGTCTTCAAAGCTTGAGTTTTGGCTTTCAGTTCAATCAAAGCCTGGAGCGGGTGACCTTGCCATCGAGTCTTCAAAGCTTGAGTTTCGGCTACATGTTCAACCAAAGCCTGGAGCGGGTGACCTTGCCATCGGGTCTTCAAAGCTTGAGTTTCGGCTACATGTTCAACCAAAGCCTGGAGCGGGTGACCTTGCCATCGAGTCTTCAAAGCTTGAGTTTTGGCGAATTGTTCAACCGAAGCCTGGAGCGGGTGACCTTGCCATCGGGTCTTCAAAGCTTGAGTTTCGGCTACATGTTCAACCAAAGCCTGGAGCGGGTGACCTTGCCATCGAGTCTTCAAAGCTTGAGTTTTGGCGAATTGTTCAACCGAAGCCTGGAGCGGGTGACCTTGCCATCGGGTCTTCAAAGCTTGAGTTTCGGCTACATGTTCAACCAAAGCCTGGAGCGGGTGACCTTGCCATCGAGTCTTCAAAGCTTGAGTTTCGGCCACATGTTCAACCAAAGCCTGGAGCGGGTGACCTTGCCATGGAGTCTTAAAAGCTTGAGTTTTGGCGAAAGGTTTAGGCAAAGCCTGGACCGAGCGGCCTTGCCACGGAGTCTTCAGAGCTTCAGTGCTTTTACGCATGGCGATTACTCTGTTAAGGTCTTAGTCAGTTCCGCAGCCTGTGCTTAGAAAATCTGACACCTAGCACGATCATGTCGCAAACCCATATGTACAGAATTGTAAACCAAAAAATATGGTGGCATTATGTGGCATATATTTATCTGTGGTATTGCCATAATATGGCTCACCATAATAATACTGGTTTCCACAACATTACCACGTTCATGGACATACAGCAACTACCTGGTAGGTTTTTCAATGGTTGCGTGAGGTGGACGGTGACGGACAAAACGAGAGGTTTTGTCACACATCGCTAAGATAACATACTGTACTCAATAAAACATATTTCCAACGCTTCCCCCATCTTTTTGCAAGGACAAAGTGAGGATGATCCTCTCAAGAAAGTAGTTGTCCATTCCCAGCGTTGCCAGGGCATGCACTTGTATACATGTCTATATAATTATATATATATGTATATGATTATATATGCATATTAGTATATATATATATATACATACCTAATTTATTAATACACATAATATAACAATCTATAGATAAAGACAATGATATATATATATATATTCATGTGAATAGTAACGAGTGTTTATCAGTTTCAAACAAAGCCCTTGTTGCGTAGTCGCAACAGATTACCATCCCCCTGGGCCCGACACCGCAGTGCGCCCGCAGGGTTTTGTCGGAAGCCTATCCTCAGCTGGAAAGCCTTTGGGGGTCCTTCTTCACCTGGATGGAAGTTCCCAGTTAGGTGCGAGCACCGGCCGCCGTTGGCCCGCTTTATGCCCGTAGTAAGTTGGCCTAGCTATGGAAAAACCACTTGGTTGATGGTTTCTGGGGTTGGGATACCCCAGTTGCGCCCAGTTCCTTCCAGAGTCAGTCCGTTCAGAAACTCAGGTCGCTAAAACCAAGCTATTGTGCCATCTAGCCATGATTATCATGATTCGGTTGGAAATTCCTTGGAAAGCCTTGGTCCTACATAATGACATAGACCTTAGACAGATACAATATCCCAATGATATGTTTTTTCTTGGTTGGCACGGGAACTAATTTCTGCCTCGCCCATGGCAGGTGGTGACTTCCACCGAACCCGAATTTCTGCACCGCACCGCATCTGTGTCCCAAAATCTGCATTCAGAACCCAGCTTTCACGGACCAAACTCCCAGCTTTCACTGTCCAAATCTTGATCCCAGTGATATCCAGGGACAAAATTGAAGTTCCATGTGTAGATTAAGAAATTTGGGATCAATCTAGATCATCTAGATCAAACTTTGATATCCATTTATCCAAATCTGAATGTTTGAAATCAGACATTTCTTGTCATTTCTGCTCAGCGACCCGTGCGACGGGTGGTTTTTAGGTCTCACCTGTCTCACTATGCCAGGACCCAAGCACGGTTTGGGTTTCGAATGCGCGAACTTTGCGTTTCACTCGTGGAAAAAAATAGGGAGACGTGGGGCAGCTGGTCATGCTTGGTGGCGCGCAAAGCGCCGGGGCCTAGGCCTTCCATGCAAGACCAACTTAGCCCCTCAATTTCCTTCACAACAGTTGGAAGTGCAGTTTTCAGTCCAGGATGGAAAATTGACTTGAAGAAACCGACTTGCGAAGGATGTAAACAGACCTAGGAAGAACGCCACAGGAGTCAGAAACAGACCATCTCTGGATGGTGCTGTTGATTTTCTGTCTCATCCCAGCGGTTACTTGGAAACTACGGGCTTAATTACAATGTGAGGCCACCCAGTTATAAGTTGGTTTATAAGCCCCAGTAACTATAGTTATAAGATGTTATAAGTTGTAAGTACCATAAACCATAGTTATTGGAGTTATAAACCAACTTAGCTATCGAATGGGGGCCTCACATTGTAGGTGAATAAATGGGCGGTAAAATCATGGATGTTCCAGAATTGATGAAATTACTGGAGAAAAACCCTCTGGTTATGACTAACAGTTCGCCATAGATGGTTTACCGAACTAAAAATGGTGGATCTTTCCATTGCTATGTTAGTCATAACCAGATGGTAACTGAGGCTTGTCTCAGGATTTTGGGCAAAAAGACATCCCGGTAAAACCCTCATCACTTCCTCAACTGGATCCACAGTCAGGGGGTATCCCCCAGACTGAAGGACGAACCCCAAGAGCGTGCGCAACGCAGACCTCAGTTGTAACGCCAAGTGTTCGCCTAGTCACCAGGGTGACTCTGGGGCACCATTTTTTGACATTTCGTTAGCTCAGTTGCTTATACTTGGGCTAACTAGGGAAAAAAGGGGACGTGTCTATGATTGGATGGGGTTACACACCAACAAACAGAACTGGTGGGGAAACCCTTCCTGCCAATGGGCTCCTTAAATTCCAAACCGCTCCACGGAACTTCCGCAGCATCTTATATAGACCTCTACATGGCTAGATGGAACGAACGCCACATTTTCGGACAGATCTTCCAGCGCCTAAGTTACACAACCCAACAGATTCAAAAGAAGTTTCATATCCCAAAGGTCATTTGGATCATTTGGGCTTTGTAACAAGGCTTCAAAGCCACAGACTCCGACTTCGATCCATACTCCCAGCCAGACCTTAATGCAACCTCGGAATGGTACTTCAAGGGCTTGCAGTAATCTCTTGCCACAAAGGATATTACTGTATTATAACGTATTATATATATACATATCAGTACATATTTATTCATCTGTATTTATCTATTTGTATTTACATGTATATATATATTTGCCATACTCATCAGCTCATACCATATCCACCAGCAGAACATTTCATGTGTTGGCCAGGTATCTCTGACTAGCCATGTATTGTTGCTGCTATCTCCCCAGCTACCCTTGAAGCGCCGGGTCTGCTAACGAGCTATGAACGCTGCTACGCCAGTGCTCCGGAGGAAATCCACGGGTGGGACATGGCGTGAGATCTTCGGGAAAAAAACTGTTTGAATGGTATGTGAAATATCTTGAAATGTGACATGCATGGGATGTTCCCAAATATCATGAAAATGACAATTTTAAAACTTAACGTATGAATACTGTAGTTTGTGAATCGATTTATTGTTGGGGATGAATGGTCATTGATGACTATTATTGAATATATGAATATTATTGAATATATGAATACATTCATTTGCAAATCATTTAGTTCATACTATATTTTCAGTGATGAATGGGAAAAAACTATAGAGTGTTGGGGGCAACTACGATTTGCAGGAAATTCCTTGGGACCATTGGAGGATCTTCCTGGTAACTACTTCATACCTTTGGTTCGTAACTTGGGGTTACCCTCTGGTAAACTAACATAGCTATACGGAAACGCACTATCTTAATAGGTATAAGTTGTATTAAATTCTCTATAAATGATCCATTTTCCATTGTTATGGTATTATGTTAGAAACCATTACTGGAGGGTATCCATTACTGGAGGGTATCTACTATTCCATTGCCGTTACTGGAGACGATCCCAGACCTGAAGGAACCCCACTTAGTCGCCACGAACCGTTGGGGTGATCCCCCAGGAAGAGGAGCAAAAGCGCCCCGGATTCGCTGGCAGAAGCTGCGCCCCAGGCAACGGGGGGTGGGTTTGTTCACCTAGGTGTTTCTGGAAACGTGGAGGTTTCCTGGAATGGGGGTACCCCAAAATCATCCATTTTCATAGCTGGTTGGTGGTTTGGAACATTTGTTATTTTCCATTTCATATATGGGATGTCATCCTTCGCATTGACTTTCATATTTTTCAAGATGGTTATTGCACCACCAACCAGATAGGATTGTCCATTATAAATAAAGCATCCATTTTTTGGGGATCCACCATTTTAGGAAACCAACCATGTCCTGGGGATATCGAATGGGATCTCCGTCGGGTATATGATAAAAAGGGGTCTGTTTGAAAATGGGCGTGCGCCAAAGCAAGGCCAGTTTTCCATGAAGACCACGATGTTTGAAGCCATCAAGTTTTTGGAAATTTGATGTTCAAAGAAATCCACCTGTAAATTCCATAGATATCCGCTAGACCATCTAATCGTAGAAGGTTTTCCACTTGCAGACCGGAGTCGGGTAGCTGAGCAGTGACCGGTTGAACATGGTTTATAGTTAGACTTGGGAATTGTGAAGTAAGTGTCATCTGTACATATCTATTCAATCTTTTTTCTCGTTTTCTGAAGATTGGAGATTATAAACTCACTCATGGGAAGCCCGTTCTCAACGATGTTCATTCAGGATGGTACCCTCTGGTGAACTAACATAGCTATTGAAAATCACCATTTTTAATGGGAAAATCCACTATTTCAATAGCCATTTTCCATAGCTTTTTGTATGTTCACCAGAGGGTAATAGGAGTTCATGATAAACCCATGATGATCCCCTTGGGGGATGTTGATCATGTTGATCCCTAGATATCCCCAGCCCAGGAGCTGGTGCCTGGCTGGGGAGCTAAGTGGATGTCACAACGCGTTTCTCCGAGGTTCAAAAAAACTAGCCTCCAACACTTGCTCTATGAATTTCTATTAGTTGTTTTTACATGTTTTTACTTTATCATACTTTTTAGATTGAGGTACTTAAGTTGCAGTAAGATATTCGAAGTTGACTATATATATATACATACATGCATACACCATGTGTAAAATATATATTGATGTCTGGCAAGGGCAACTGCCAAAACCCTCATGTGACGAAGGTTTCTCAGCCCATTATTCTGGTGTTCTTGCAGAGTGTTGCCACGGGTCTTGGCTTCCAAAGGACTGACATTGACGGTGACCAAAAAGAAGCACCGGAATTCCCTAGCGGAAGATACTGTGGATGGAAGAAATCCTGCACCAGTTGGTAACTATTGGTAACATAATTCAACACTGTACATACTGGATTACGGTGGGATGTTTGCCATGTACCAACTGGTGCAGGATTCCTTCAATATTTCTTCCATCCACAGTAATGATGTTTTTGTATTATTTGGATAAACAATAGTTACCAACTGGTGCAGGATTTCATGGATTTCGCAACCATCCACAGTATGTTTTTGTATCATTCTCCCGTTTCATCAAACGTGGCTTGCTGAAAAATCACCAATTTATGGTTGATTGTCCCATCAAAAGGCTCCATCTATCGTGGATTTCCAGTCATGTTTGATTACCGGAGGCTACACGATTTGTTTTTTTACCGGACTGCTTGGTCAAAAACATGTTGACTCGTTGACTCGTCCATCGCAAAAAATGAGATGTGTGGCTTAACCATGAAACATGGGATTTTTTTTGGGCGTTTCTGGGCTCCAAATGTCCAGTTCCGTGGATACCATGTCTGTCCAGGTCCAGAAGAGCCGAGCGAGCCGAGCGAGAAGTGCAAGGTTGGCCCAACTAAGGGGTGCCAGGAATCGTAAGTGGTGAATAGCCCATATACTGCCAGGGTATATCGCATGTGTACATATATATATACTATATATACGTATATATACATATTATAGGCTCATAATATGCTTATTACTCATACGTGTAACTGGCAAAATCTGGTTATTAAGTTATTACTAACTTAGCAACTGGGATGGACATCCAAGAAGATTTGCCAAGATCTAGAAATTGTCAGCCATAAAATGGGGAGTGTACTCATGTACTCACGAGAACCGAAAACACGAGGGGTATATAGAGCAAACATACTTAACTGGTCTTTTTTAAATGGAATGATGGTCCATGCTGGCTTAACTTATGCATGTTTAGGGTTGAAACCGCCAAGAACTTCTCTCTTTTCAGCACCCGGCCCTTTTCAGATCTGTAGAGGTTCATGCCGTCATTTTATCATCATCCCATGGCACATTCTCGCCAGGATTTTCATATGGAAATTACCATGGAATTCCATCATTTAGATCCATACCCATAGGATCCATGTATGCTATATATGGTAACATTTACCATCAATATACCCCCAATGTTAGCATATATACCATACATGGATCCTATGGGATATAGAATGTTCGATTTGTTCCCAGGATTTTTTGCTGCAGATTTAGTTCGGGAATGTCAAAATGGCTATGTTTGATGGCTAGAAAGTATAAACCCATATCTCATTCATGTTCCATTATATATACCACTATATACCCATTATACCACCATAACTGTTGCTGAAAGCACCGTTAAATCATAATTTGTCCGGGTTAACTTACCATTGTTGTTGCTGAATTCCCCATCAAATCACCATCAAATCATCATTTTTCCCGGTGAATTTGCCATGAATGTTGGTGAACTCCTATTAAGTCCTCATTAAACTCCAGGGAATCCCAGTGAATCACCATTGAATCACCATCTGATTGGTGGTTTTGAACATTTTTTTATTTACCATTTCATATATTGGGAATGTCATCATCCGAACTGACGAACTCACTCCATCATTTTTCAGAGGGGTGGGGTGGGTTGAAACCACCAACCAGTATATTATTAACCATCATTAAACCCCAGGGAATCCCAGTGAATCCCCACTGAATCACCATTACATCCCCATTAAGACATCACTGGTGGCTAATCTCCTCATCTTATCACCTCAGGAGATCCCCGATGAGACGCCTTTGGAGCTGCTGCGACCCAGGAGCGACGCCTTTTTTCAAGGAACACTTGTGATTTCATAGGATTTCATGGGGATTTCCATGGGGATTTAATAGGATTTTTCTCCCAACATCTTTCCATGGATCTTTCATAGGATTTCATGGGGATTTAATGGGATCTAATGGGATTTGATGGGATTTTATTGGATTTGGATCGGAATTTAATGGGGATTTCACCAAGAAACCTTGGGGATTTCATGGGAATATAATGTAGAACAAACAGTATGATATTGGAGTGTATCTGAAAATGGATTGTATACCGTATACCACCATGTTTTTATTTTTTATTTTAATCGGGAATATGATGATTCAGCATGTTTTTGTTGGGTAACCTATTTTAGCCCAACCCAACAAAATATTTGTTATGGGATTCAAGCAGCCAAAATGAGGACCCACGAGCAAAAATTGGGATTGAACCAACACAAAATGGGATTGAAACCAACCAATCTGCGATTTCATGAACCAAGCGTGGGAATTGAAAGCCCGAAGTCATGGTTGTTGAATTGATGCTATTGATCATCGCTTGGAAATGTGGGCTCTTCAGCAGCAAGATTGGGAAACCAATCAAAGTAAATGATGGGTTTTCCAGCAAACCATGTTTGATGAGAGGGTATGAGGTACTACACTAGAGGTGTTTTTTTTGGACCACCAGGGGTCACTATGGATGGGATAGCCGACCATGATAGTTGCAACGCTATGGCTATGATAGTTCATAATAAGCCACCAGATGGCACCAAACCTGGGTGCAAGCATGTGCAAGCTGTTGCCGACCAATCACAGTGTATATGTACTATGAACTGAACTGTACCAAGTACACCATGTGTAAGCAATTCCCATAGGCTCAGTGTTTATTGATTACTGGGCAAACCCATCCTGAATCTCCATTGCATTCCATTATACCCCCAATATTTGTTCGTCAAATCCTCATTAGATCCGATTCAATCACTGTTTTTTCCTGGTGAACTTGCCATGTTGGTTAAATCAAATCCCATTAAATCCCATTAAACCCCACAAGGTGGTGCCCCACAAGGTGGTGCCCCACAAGGTGGTGCCCCACAAGGTGGTGCCCCACAAGGTGGTGCCCCACAAGGTGGTGCCTCAGTTCATTAGCCAAGTTGACTTATAACTTGGTTAACTATGGTTTATATAACTATAGTTAATTGGGTTTATAAACCAACTTATAAGTGGGGGGCACCATCCTGCAAGGAATCCCATTAAATCACCATTACATCACCATTCGCAACAAGCTCAGCCCCGTGAAACCCAGCCTTTGATCCCCAAAAACCGCCCAGGACACCTCCCAGCACTTCTCACCTCCCACCCCCTGAAGGGCCCGAAGGGCCCGAAGCGTTCGAAGGGTTCGAAGGGTTCGAAGGGTTCGAAGGCAGTCCGAGCCTGGAGACGCTGGAGGTCAGCAAACTTTGCCGCGGTTTTCGGTCGGATTTCGGTTGGTTCTTGGTGACGGTTGGTGGTGGTGATTTTGAATGGGACTTTGGATGGGAATTGAATGGGATAGGACCTATCATAGGTCATATTCCCTGACCAGTTGAAGCAACCGATCACATAATTCCTCCACATTCCGGTGATACAAAATGTGAGCGGCTTGGTGTAGAAACATGCAAGAATACCATAGACGATGACCAGTCAGCCCACTGTGGCAGAAGGCTTGGGGAAATCATCTCGCTCATGGCTTATTTTGGGCGTTTGACTTGTAAAGTTGTCACATCATGAAGGCTTCTATGACATTGAAACAATAGCATGTTTTACACGCTGTAGATCTAATCTGGAACCCACCAAGGCTATATCCAATAGTAAAAACCATCAAAATGGGAGCCTATTTTTGAGGCTCTAGGCTAAATTTGCCCTCAGCTAATTTCACAGTTTTGCTACCTTAGTTCGAAGACAAAACCCGGGGGCTTTGAGACATTTTCTCCAACAAAGGGAGGGCTCGCAGTCGCACTTGCAGGGTACCAACATCTTTGTGCACCGCAGTGACCGTGGGAGTTGGGCAACGCGGCAGCAAATCCGTTCTGAGACCTCTCTCAGATTTTTTAGATTTGCTTACATAGTATTTGATTGTTGGTTTCCAACTGATTGCTTGAGACTTTCCTGAAATCATCAACAGCAAATGGCGAGAATGTTTTTCAGTTGCCTTGAAAGAATCCAGCATCGCTCGGGGATGGGTCAGCGAAAAAAATGTGGCGCAGAGCACGAGGTCATAACGCCCCTTGGTGCCTCAAACATTGAATTGAGGCGGGCGTTGTACTAACCGGCACGAGTAGTTCAAGTGGTATCAAGTGGTTATTCGTTGTCTCAAGCACTCAATGTCGGTCAATCAAGCAGACAATTTTATCCACGGCTTGCTTTTTGGACATTGACCTACCCAGTGGTGAATGTCTTTCCCCAATGTTTTGATCACCATCCCTGTCACAGTACTGATATTTCTTTGATCAAAAAAACTCGATGTGCTTGATGATTAAGATAGGGCATACTAGTTGGACTTTTTCTTTTTTAATGGGACCCATAGACTGCTAAATATGGGTCTGTCTGAAAATTTTAGGGAAGACAACTAAATGTGATCGTGTATCATTCTTTTCCCGACGAAATTGCCATAAATTGTGTGTAGCTTTAAGACAAGCCACAAATTCAACGAATATATTAACATAGATACTTGGTGGCTCATCGCAGTCAGTAAGTAGATTATGACCCTAGTTGAGTAGGCTAAGTAGGGGCAATGTCCACTGAAATAATTTCCGATTCCTGGGCAGTTCGGCACCAAGTAACTATCACTCAATTCCATCATCTCAAGTTGCTTACATTATATCCTCTCAAATCCCTATATAGTTGGTAATATTTGATATATGATATATTCCATTAATATTCCATGTTTATATATACCATTACATAATTATTGGTTTATGTCTATCCAATTTATGTTTGTTAAATTGATCCATGCACTATGCAAACAAACCTAGATGGCATTTATGCAATTGTTGGTGCCTCTACTTCCTAATGATCCCAGTAACTATCGCAATGTCTTGAATTAAACCAGAATAGTAGATCAGATAAATTATATCATATTATGTACATATATATATATACGTATATCTATATATACACATATATATATATAGATACATATATATATATATACATATTATATCCCCGTTACATTCCCAATTATATCTTTAGTTATCACATTATATCCTATACACTTTACAAATTACATCAAATTATATGGTCGATATTTCCGTCCATTCTATATCCCATACCCATACAACTTATTTTTTGTTTTCTACCAGAACTATCTTCCTATTGTATCAGATATATATAATATATATATATATCCATTAAACCCATGATGTTCCCCATTAGATTCCCATTCTCATTGCGACGAATCGAACACATCCCAGCGGATCAACCCACAGTATTTCTTCATGTTACCCTCCGGTAATTTCTTACTTCCCATTCTCAATGGTTAATGATTCACGCTTCATATCCCATGAAAATCCCATGACATATGCCATAACTGTACTATATCAGACTATATCCCTATTCTATCCCCATTTTTCATGGTGAATCCAAATCAGAACTTCCTCGGCCAGGCCTAGGAGTGATGGCCTGCCGCCTCCAGGCCGATCTGCAACGATCCGCAACGCTTTGGGCTGGGCACTCGAGAATGCTTGGGGAGACCTCAGCAATGGTTTATGGTAGATTTTTTTAAAATATTTGGTATAAACCATCGTGTTGAACTATAGTTCTATAGTTAAGTTATTATGGTTATAAATTGTCATAAACCATAGTTATTAACAGTAGTTATAAACCATAGTAATTATATGGAGGTTTGCTAAGTCATAGGGGTACCCCTAGTTATCATTCATTTTTGTTTGGGATTGTCCATTATAAACCATCCAGCTATTGGGTGCCTCACCTTGTATTGTTGGGTATCTGATTTATCGCCCCGGCATATACCCACTTTTGTTCATCATGATATATATACATATACACATATTTATATATTCATGCCCTGTTTTTTTTCGTCATATCTCTCATCATATGCCCCCTTATATCCGAAAAAGTATGGTCGGAACTATATCTCATGATGGCATATCCTATTCTCTTGATTGAATTCAAAATTATATTCCATGAAATGATTGATTCCCTATTCTATAAACATGCCCTCATTATGGTTGGATCATACTGGGTCCCCGCTGGTATCCTCATTCCCATTGATATCCCATCAATCCATCAAATCAGATTATTGGGTTTATGTCCCCGTTGTACCTATCTATATTCCATCTATAATATCCCCATTATGGTTAGTTAGATGCTCTTACAGTAGCTCCTGCGTATGATATGTATCATTATCATATATCATCATCATCATAACTATGCTTGGATTATATGTCCGTTATAAGTTGCTTTATTAACCACCATCAACTAGGTCCGATATGGTTCGATATATGTACCATAAACCCAACTTATCGGAGTTGCACATCAACTTAGCTAACCATTTTGGGGCACCCCCCTAACTAATAGTAGATATTATCCCATCAGGATCATATATATACATACACACCAATTATGGTTGGTATATTCCTATTTCATCCCATAACATTGCACATTTTCAATAGAATTGTTGGTTATAGATCGCATATTATATCCCATATTGTTGGTGACATACGTATCAGGATATCCAGGTTATATCCAATTAAAAAATACCACCATCCCATCTCATTATTCTAGTTGATAGGTTTCCCTATGGGTGATTATGATCCCCCAGAAATCATGATATTCCCTTGAAATCCACCATCTTGCTTAAATCCTATGGTGAAATCCTACTAATCCCATGAAATCCATATTATCTCCCCAGCTTTCTTGGTTAAATCCCATAAAACTACCATGGAAAATCCACCATTTTTCCTGTGTCAGGCTGCCAGGGAGTCATCTGGCGTTTGGACGAGAGCGTGCTGTCGGAGTTCCAGGAGGAGCGGTGGTTCCACTGCTTGCAGATTATATGTGTCTATTTATGTATACATAGTATATATGTATATGTATGCATATATGTATTATATATAATATATGGGTACATGTGTATGTGTATATATATACATATTTAAATGTATGTCAATGTATATTTGTCGATGTAGCCCATCTATCTATACCTGGATCTTCAAACGGGCTGCAATTTCTGCCTTTTCAAACTAATCTGCCTGGAGGGGGTGTCGGGCAGAAAATCTGCCTGCGGGCGGAATTCAGTTTCAACAATCGGAAACATTGCAATGCTGTATTTTTGGGGAAAATGAATTCGGGCGGAATTGCACGTGATTCGGGCGGAAACACACGTGATTCAGGCGTAAATGGCCGTAACGAATTTTTTGAGAACACAAAGATAATTTTTTGGCTAAAGTGGGTTCGGGCGGAATTTGGGGCCTTAGGCGGAATCCTCAGATTCAGGCAGATTTCCTGCCTGAATGCATTCAGACTGAAATTACTGCCTGCACGAAGATCTAGGTATCTATTGATCCGTCCATCTATCGATCTCTTGATTTGTCCATCGATCTATATAGATAGGGTCATTGGCAACCCCAAATAGAAGCAAACAGAATTGAAAGGACAATTCAGTAACCCCCCTCAGGAATCGTTGGGAAACAGACAAACCCAATGAAAGGCCTGGAAACAGTTTCGAAGCATGACATTCATAGCATAGAACATGCACCTAATTGTTTGGGCAACCCCACTTGGGAGAGTTGAAACCTGAAACCGGGAGAGTCTCTACAGTCCTGGGATGTCCCGGGGTAATTTGACATATGGAAACCATGGCCCATTGATAGAAGAACTACCTATCAAACATGGTGATTTTCCAGAATTACCTTTTCAACAATGATGATTTTCGGTAGCTATGTCAAATTGCCAGAGGGTATCAGATTGACAGGGAAAATCTCAACCAGAAAGCATGATTGCTTCCATCCAATATAGATGTTTCCTGTAACATTCCTCTTAACCAATCCAATGACAGTGTAAGGTGTGATGTGTCTTGCAACCTTTGGAATGAGCTAAAGTTGGAATGGCGGTCGAAACTAGATGACCTGGAATTTCCTGGATTTTTTTGAGGTGATTTGTGATTTTCCCGATGGAAAATCCGTCATTGTGGAATCTATAAGCAAAATGAGAGCTAAATTCGACAGCGAAACTCTGAGCAGTACTCGTACCTGCTTATGAACCAGTTCACTCCTGTGCCATTTTCCCACTTTGTGGATTGTCACTCAAAAACTTTCACAGGGATATACCCTTAGATGTTTGGATTCCCCATTTTGAGTTACCACAAAAATGAGCCTGCCTTGAAGGTAAACATAACACTAGATTCCCAGGTGCGCTAATTGAATTCCTATGTCTGTTGATGAAAACCAATTTTATGTTGTACAAGCTAGGTGAGGCCCCCCAATTGTAAGTTGGTTTACAGACCTTTACTAGTTCGCTATATTCTTCTCATCAACCCATTCGTCAACCAAGGCAAATGTGCGTCAACTTAGCCATTTCGTCATCAGAGCCGCTTTTTTGTTCACCTGCGCCCGCTCAATGGGATTCTTAATTGGAACCATGCTCCGCGTAGCCTACCTCTGCAGTCTGCGTAGGCTTGCGTTAGCCTCTCCGCGAAGTTCTGTTTTGCACACATCCAAAAAAAGCACGGCTCTCACAGTGTATCTGTTGGGTGCTCCGCATAAAGCAGCTTTTTTGGGCTATCCCAATAGCCCTGAAGCACCAAGGTTTACATATTATTTCCATCCTCGCCTAAGCAATCCTCTATACATCATTTTTTCTGATTAATGCTCAGACAATCAGCATGTTTGTTGCATGTTTGCCTCTGAATTCCTACTATTTGGGTGTTTAAATCCGCAATTTTATTGCTTCGGCTTCACCGGCTTTGGTTGACGCGTTCACCATGGAGCCGGTGAATATCCAGGAGCCGGATGAGGTGCCACTGGGGGGGAGCTACTTTTTCAGAGCATCTCGGTGACCAATAATGAATGTATTATGGAAGAATGATGAACAATGGCTATATTATTGATAATTAGTGGGTATATTATAAACTCCAGGTAAATTATAAAGACCTCACTGTTCTCCCTCACTGGAATCATGGTTAGTAAGGGGAATTATCCCATATTATCCCCAAAGAGCCTTATTTCAGGTTATAGTGGATTATTATAATTTACCCAGATAATTATATATTATGGGGATATAATTCATAGGGATATAGTGGGGATATAAACTGAACTTTGCAAGGTGTTGAAGCTATAGTGACTGTAATCACGGGGATATCTAGAGGTTTCATCCTAAAATGGGGATAACCCCAAATCAGTCGACATTAGAACATTTTAGTGTATTGAAACGCATTTTTTTTGGGATCTCTCATTTTAAGAACCCCCCTAAATGGTTTATTATAGTATGGATATTCCATTTAATAGATTAATAGGAAATAAATTATAGTATTCATGGATATAGTATGGATATTCTATTATTTTTAATAGGTAATTTAATATGTACTGTCCCATGAATGGAATATTCTTGATGGCATATCAATGCGGACATTAAACCAATAAGAATCCCTGTGGTTGGTCTAAAAATATCTGGGTAAATTTTCATCACGGCCTCACGTCGCGACTGAACCCTGGAATCCATGGGTTTATTTGAGGAAAATCATCCCCAAAGGGCCTTAAGATTCAGGTTAGTGAATTATTATGATTTACCCAGTAATATGTGCCATAGTCAAAGTTGGACTAGATACCCAGATTAGAAGATGGAAGTTCCCCTTTACCTCATACCAATGCAGCGGGTCGGTCGGTTGCATGGCAAGCTATGCTTGCACAAGTATTGTGACGCAAAGATCGCCAGCAAAAACATCCCATATTTTCACCCTGACATGCCTCTGTGCAAAGAAAACTTAAACCTGCCGAACTTGGCCGATTGAAAATATGGAGCCTGCGGCGGCTTGCGCAACCAGCAAAAGAGATATCTAGTGTTTAAGTCGGGTTCTTAAAGAGATCCATCCAGTACAGTTTGCTCAGTTCCACGTCATGTCATTCTTGTATATCTTATTATATCGTTATTCTATGTTATTCTTGTATATTCTTGTTATGTTGTATGTCTTAAAATGTATCATCCAGTTCCAGCCATGTTTTGTTATATCCACAAACGGTAGTTCGTACCCGCAGTTCAATGCTTGCCTCAAAAAAACCTTACAGAGGGCACTGCATGCCGAGACCTGAAGAGCGATTTTGATAGGATGTGTCGAAATGTGGGCAGTGGGCTGGAAATAAACATAGAAAGAATCCATTTCTCTTCCTCATCCATTATACTACATGTTTGCACTTCTTACTTCTCTTTCTTGTTCTCTTCCTTTTGCATGTTTTGTCATTTCACGTCTCCCCTTATCTAGGTGTCGTTTTGGCAGGCACAAAATAAACCGAATTCTAAACCATCTCTACTAGAAATTTAGAAACCATTCCCAAATGGTAGGTTTGATATGGTTTAATTATTGGCTTTACCTCATTAACAAATCCAACCGCAGCCCTGAGTACTTCGCACCAGATCTGCCAGGACTTTCTGGTGTCACAAAAGTCCTCCGCGCGACATGTGGCTAGGAGGTGGAGTTGACATGTTGACCATGGGGGATGTATATATAAGCTTGAACAAATGTGGCATTTCACATGATTTCTTGCAAACAATGATAAAACAACATGTGGATTTAATGATTTAACATGATTTGACATGGTCTAAAACATGTTTCGCATGGAGATTTAATAATCGTCTCACATCCAAATTTGAAAAACCATCAGACATTGGGAGTGAATCGGGATTTGATCAGCCCAAATGGGGAGATCAGCAAAAAACTGGAGATACAACTGTAGTGTGACCATCAAGAATGGTGACTTGTCCTCTGGTAATCTGATGAATTCCCCTTGAAATCAGAAACTTCTCATGAAAATCTCCTCAACATTAACGTGGACATTTAAAGGATTCGTCATGGCCAAATTTAAGAGTAACACAGGGTAGTGTTTGTTGGTGTGTTTTTACCCAGCAACATGTGGGAATTCAAACAAAACATGTCTGGTTGGTGGTTTGGAACATGGCTGGATTATGACTTTCCATATATTGGGAATGTCATCATCCCAATCTGACTTTCATATGTTTCGGGGTTGAAACCACCAACCAGAAACATGTGATATTACCAACAATATGCAGCAGGCCAAAAAAAAATCTTGAAGTCCCTGGATGGATGTAGTGCCCCTATTGGGAATGATCATGCGTAGTCCCCAGTTTTGGGGACCCCATAGTTAAGTTGGGTTTATAACTACAATGTGAGGCCCCCCAGTTATAAGTTGGTTTATAAGCCCCAGTAACTATATAAGTACCATAAACCATACGTAGTTAATTATTGGAGTTATAAACCAACTTAGCTATCTTGGGGGCCTCACATTGTAGGCTAACGAGGGTTTAGGTAAACATCTACAATTAGTTGTCTGGGGTCTACCTTTCATCTGACATTTCTGAAAGTCTGAAACTGGGATATACCTCAAATTTCTGGTCAATTTTGTTAGGGAAACTGAACACTGATCGTTGTGGCCCATGGCAATGGGGTCCTATTTCCAGAGAAACTCCTATTTTTGAACATGGATCTCCATCCCCAGTTCGAATCCCAGCCTCGGGATTCGATTTTGAACATCACCGGAATCCATCTTGATTTATCACTAGAACTATCCATAACTATCCCATCTATTCCTATGATCTTCCCATGTTTGACACTTAGATCCCCCATTGGGTTTCTGGGTACACCGATGTTTGGGGTCAGATTGGAGAAAGTGAGCACCGGCATGCGACGGCTGCGAGCGGTGACGGAGAAGTTGGAGGCAAGGCATGGCGAGCTGGAGGATTTCCCCAACGAACCATGGAGCAATGGGAAAATCAGGGAAAATCCTCAAACTGAAGGATTTGTTCATGATTTTGAATGGGAAAGTCATCTGTATATTGAAGCTTTCAATGTGAAAACGTCTCGATTTCATTGATGGACGATGGAGGATTTTCGCCATGTGTATTTTCGGTGCAGAGTCGGTACAGTTTCATCAGCACCCGGCGCCTTGGAAGTATGGCAAGCTTCCATTTGGGGATGAGATTGGCTTTGGAATGGTTTTTCGATGGGTTCACCAACTGGCTGGGTACTGAAAAATCCTTTATAGATTTTATAGTCTTTTGGTATCGATGGGATTATCTACGTTCACCAACTAAGATTATTTTTTTTGCAGGGCATCTGGCTGATTGGCCATGTTTAGATGGGTTTAGCTTAGCTACTCGGTGGCGAAGCTCGGCATCTCCAAGCGATTTAAGCTGCTGATTGTCGCCGCCTGCATCACTGATCTCGGTGATAAATAAAAATTGCCACATTTCTTTAGATTCAGATTTGGAATTCTGATTTCTATGCAACTTTGTGAAACTGAAATTCCATGGCCACCATGGGTATTACGAAGTTTGCAGGCAGTCATGTGGGTTTGTCGGGAAAACATTCACGTCTATCCATTTTCAGACACAGCCATGTTAGTTGAAGGCTAATCCAATTCCCTTACACAGGGTCGACAGCTGGTGGAAACAGGGAACCCTGTGAGCTTTAAGTTCTTTCCAACTGATACCTAGCTTCGCCTAACTCTTCGTCTTTGGATGTGGACCCTTAAACGGTGACTTTGCAGTGTCTATTTTTTCTACCTGGAAAAAAATGAAAGATATTGCTCTCCTGTGCAAAGTTTGAGCTCAAGATGATCCCTTTCTTCAACACCTGGTACTGTAATTGCTAGAATCTTGGATGCATTGCAGGATTTCTTGGGAGATCGGGCGAGAAACAAGGAGCGAATAATGTTGAAAGTTGCGACAAAAACATATCCGACAAAGTGGCATTCCAGGCACTTGTTGCAGTGTCGCTTTCATGGATTTTCGATAGGGACCACGGCTCTCCTTGCGATGTTGAGAAGCTGTCTTCTTGGAACGGTGGACTCCCATGTTTATTTGTTGCCTTTCTGATGAAATTATCATCACTTTCTTAAATGTTCTATGGTCCAGGACAATAGGCAACTCGAATCGGAACCATGAGCCATATATGGGTTAACCTCCATAATTATTTTGGATCAAAATGGGGAATTATGGAGGTTAACTTAATAGGAGGTCGTCCCAATATTTTGAATATTTTTGAAACATATTTTTGAATCATATTTTTGGATCATAACCCATGACGGATCCATATGTATGCCATATATGGTAACATGACTGGGGTATATTGATGGGATCCATGGCACACCATCTATGGCAGCACCAAGGTGGCCAAGGTGGCCCTTGCCTTTTTTTGTAGACTGGCTAAACGGTAAACACCATCATCTATTTACCATTTGCTTATCATCTATTAATCCATATATATTCCCGAATGCGTAGCAAGGGTTCCCGTTTCACTCTGGGGGTCTGGGGGTTGAGGGTGTGTTCGCTCGACGTTGCCGAACCGTCCGCAACCGTTCGCAACCGTTCGCAACCGTCCGCAGTAGGTCCATATGGCCGTGCCTATGGGAAGTTCTGCAGAGGTGGTCATTTTTGGAGTTTTCAGACGTGTCGTTGCTTCGTTTCGCGTGGCAGGCGTGGCACTTCGTGACATTCAGACGTGTTCTGCAACGTGGCGAAAGTCGTTTTGCGTGGCAGGCGCAATGCTTTTGTGACGTTTTCAGAAGATATGTTGCAGTTTTCGTGGCAGGCGCAGCACTTTGGACGTGTCCATCGTCATTTTTCGTGGCAGGCGCAGCACTTTAGACGTGTCGTGTTGCGTGTTTTTTGTAAATCGCATTGGCAGGGCTGCGTCCAGTGGCGACAAGGTGCAAATTCCGTGGCAGGCGTGGCATTTTGTGCGATGTGCTGAAAATTGACGGAAGCCTCGCACGAAACATCGATTTTGAGGTTGCAAATTTTCAGGTTCTAAGGAAAACTCGTAGGAAAACGTCGATTTTGAAGCTACAAAGTGTCAAAATTGGAGGAAGTCTCGCACGAAATGCTCGTTGTGGTGCTCCCACCTGTCTCGTCTCGCGTCTCTGGTTTTCCCGTGGCCTCGCCGTGTCTATGGGGGAAGCTGCAAAACTTGTCCTTTTGTCATGTTGCCAACTGTGAAAATTGGAGGAAGTCTCGTACGAAATGCTGGTTTTTCTGCCTCCACGTGTCTTGTCTCGATTCCCTGGTTTTCCTGTGGCGTCGCCGTGTCTATGGGGGAAGCTGGAAAACATCTCCTATTCGAATGTGTCCAAGCAGGTTGTCATGTCGTTTTGCGTGGCAGGCGTGGCACTTTGTGACATTCCAACCTGTTTGATAATGTGTCAAAAATGTCAAAATTGGAGGAAGTCTCGTACGAAATGCTGGTTTTTCTGCATCCACGTGTTTTGTCTCGAGTCGCTGGTTTTCCTCTGGCGTCGCCGTGCCTATGGGGGAAGCTGGAAAACATGTCCTTTTCGAATGTTTCCAAGCAGGTTGTCATGTCGTTTTGCATGGCAGGCGTGGCACTTTGTGACATGCCAACCTGTTTGATAACCTGTCGAAAATATCAAAATTGGAGGAAGTCTCGCAGGAAATGCTTGTTTTTTTGCACCCACGTGTCTCGTTTCGAGTTTCTGGTTTTCCTGTGGCGTCGCCGTGTCTATGGGGGAAGCTCCGCGCTCCACACTCTACACTTTACACTCCACACTTTACACTTTACACTCCTCACCCCACACTCTACACTCCACACTCCCCACTTTACACTCCACACTCCACACTCTACACTTTCCACTCCACACTCCGCACTCCACACTCCACACTTTACTGTACACTCCACACTCCACACTTTATACTTTACACTCCTCACTCCACACTCTACACTTTCCACTCCAGACTCCACAGTCTACACTTTACGCTCCACACTCCACACTTTACACTCCACTCTTTACACTCCACACTCCACACTTTACACTCCTCACTCCACACTTTACACTCCCCACTCCACACTCCACACTTTACACTCCACACTTCACACTCCACACTTTCCACTCCACACTCCACACTCCACACTTTACACTCCACACTCCACACTTTACACTCCTCACTCCACACTTTACACTCCAAACTCCTTACTTCACACTCCACACTTTACACTCCACACTTTACACTCCACACTCCACACTCTACACTTTACACTTTACACTCTACTCTATACACTCTACACTCCACACTTTACACTTTACACTCCACGCTTTCCACTTTACACTCCTCACTCCACACTTTACACTCCACACTTTACACTCCACACTACACACTCTACACTTTACACTCCACACTCCACACTCTACACTCCACACTTTACACTCCACACTCCACACTCTACACACCACAACACTTTCCACACTCCACACTCACGCCACACTTTACACTCCTCACTCCACACACTTACACTCCCTCACACACTTACACTCCACACTCACACTCCACACTCCAGCTCACTCCACACTTACACACTCCTCGCTAAACAGTTTACACTCCACACTTCACACTCCACACTTTCCACTCCACACTCCACACTCCACACTTTACACTCCACACTCCGCACTTTACACTCCTCACTCCACACTTTACACTCCACACTTTACACTCCACACTCCACACTCTACACTTTACACTCCATACTCCACACTCTACACCTTATACTCCGCATTCTACACTTTACACACTCTACACTCCCCACTCCACACTTTACACTCCACACTCCTTACTTCACACTCCACACTCTACACTTTCCACTCCACACTGCAGACTGGTAACAAGGGAAACATGTACAAGACTGTTCAAATAAACTATTCCAGAAAGGTATTGTGCGTGACTGCATAACCATGTGTTTTGACATCTGTACCATTAACATACGTGTGAGCATTCGGGTTCGTGGGCTTCATCTTGTATATAATATAATATATATATAAATACCTAATTTTATTATATTGTATATATGATTATATATGTATATATATATATAACATATATATATATATATATAATTATATCCATCTACAACTGAACATGTCATCAACCTTAACCAACCTTAACTTTTTCCCGAATGCGTAGCAAGGGTTCCCGTTTCACTCTGGGGGTCTGGGGGTTGAGGGTGTGTTCGCTCGACGTTGCCGAACCGTCCGCAACCGTTCGCAACCGTTCGCAACCGTCCGCAGTAGGTCCATATGGCCGTGCCTATGGGAAGTTCTGCAGAGGTGGTCATTTTTGGAGTTTTCAGACGTGTCGTTGCTTCGTTTCGCGTGGCAGGCGTGGCACTTCGTGACATTCAGACGTGTTGTGCAACGTGTTGAAAATCGTTTTGCGTGGCAGGCGCAATACTTTGGTGACGTTTTCAGAAGATGTGTTGCAGTTTTCGTGGCAGGCGCAGCACTTTGGACGTGTCCATCGTCATTTTTCGTGGCAGGCGCAGCACTTTAGACGTGTCCTGTTGCGTTTTTTTTGTAAATCGCATTGGCAGGGCTGCGTCAAGTGGTGACAAGGTGCAAATTCCGTGGCAGGCGTGGCATTTTGTGTGATGTGCTGAAAATTCACGGAAGCCTCGCACGAAACATCGATTTTGAGGTTGCAAATTTTCAGGTTCTAAGGAAAACTCGTAGGAAAACGTCGATTTTGAAGCTACAAAGTGTGAAAATTGGAGGAAGTCTCGTACGAAATGCTCGTTTTGTTGCTCCCAGGTGTCTCGTCTCGCGTCTCTGGTTTTCCCGTGGCCTCGCCGTGTCTATGGGGGAAGCTGCAAAAATTGTCTTTTTGTCATGATGCCAACTCTGAAAATTGCCGGAAGTCTCGTACGAAATGCTCGTTTTTTTGCACCCACGTGTCTCGTCTCGAGTCGCTGGTTTTCCTGTGGCGTCGCCGTGTCTATGTGGGAAGCCGCAAAACCTCTCCTTTTCGAAGGTTTCCAAGGAAGTTGTCATGTCGTTTTGCGTGGCAGGCGTGGCACTTTGTGACATTCCAACCTGTTTGATAATGTGTCAAAAATGTCAAAATTGGAGGAAGTCTCGTACGAAATGCTGGTTTTTCTGCATCCACGTGTCTTGTCTCGAGTCGCTGGTTTTCCTGTGGCGTCGCCGAGACTTTGGGGGAAGCTGGAAAACCTGACCTTTTCGAATGTTTCCAAGCAGGTTGTCATGTCGTTTTGCGTGGCAGGCGTGGCACTTTGTGACATTCCAACCTGTTTGATAACATGTGGAAAATATCAAAATTGGAGGAAGTCTCGCACGAAATGCTCGTTTTTTTGCACCCACGTGTCTCGTCTCGAGTCTCTGGTTTTCCTGTGGCGTCGCCGTGTCTATGGGGGAAGCTCCGCGCTCCACACTCTACACTTTACACTCCACACTTTACACTTTGCACTTTACACTCCTCACTCCTCACCTGAGACTTTACACTCCACACTCCACACTCTACACTCCACACTCCACACTTTACACTCCTCACTCCACGCTTTACACTCCACACTCCACACTTTACACTCCACACTTTACACTCCACACTCTACACTCCACACTTTACACTTTACACTCCACGCTTTCCACTTTACACTCCTCATTCCACACTTTACACTCCACACTGTACACTCCAGACTCCACACTCTACACTTTTCACTCCATACTCCACACTCTACACTTTATACTCCGCATTCTACACTTTACACACTCTACACTCCTCACTCCACACTTTACACTCCACACTCCTTACTTCACTTCACACTCCACACTCCACACTCTACACTTTCCACCCCACACTGCAGACTGGTAACAAGGGAAGCATGTACAAGACTGTTCAAATATAAACTATTGCAGAAAGATATTGTGCGTGACTGCATAACCATGTGTTTTGACATCTGTACATTAACATACGTGTGAGCATTCGGGTTCGTGGGCTTCATCTTGTTTTTCTTTGGGATCAATCCTTGGAGGTTGCGATGGCGAACTTCATCGATGTGGGCTTTTTGGTGGCTGCACTTGCTGCCTGTGTGGCGGTGATCTTCGGGATGGTCGGCCCGGTGAAGGGCGGTGGACACTCGGCCCAAAGGACATCCACGGTGCGCGCCGTTCTGAAAAAAGGACGGGGAAACAGAAGTGACTCATGGGATAGGGAATTTATATGAATTTATGGACTAAGTATGATTACTGGTTGGTGGTTTGGAACCATGGAATTTGATGACTTTCCACATATATATATATATATTGGGAAGAATAATGCCAAGTGACGAACTCCATCATTTTTCAGATGGGTTGGAACCACCAACCAGGATTGAGTATGATTGAGTCTGATCAAAGTCTGATTAAGTATGGTATGGTTGAAAACTCAGATGTCGTGAAACATCTAGATTGTACTCGGCAGTAGCGTCAGTTTAGCTACGACAGTACGCTCTTGGATCTGCAAAGTACTCTCTGGAGAACTATCCATACGGGATCAATGTTTGACCCCAAAAAAGATTGGTCTCTCATGGTAATTTTCATGTGATTGATGTAATTATGACCAGCCACCACGATTCTTTTGGTATACAATCTTAGAGAAATCGTATGTCCACGACGAAGAAGTCTCGTCTTCATGGCCCCTTCTTGGTATGTAAGGAATGGCATTAAGTTCCACGTTCGCATGGCATCCAATTCTGATGAGCGTTGCATTTCCATGCCTGATGATGCTGGGACGTTGGGCCTATGTCAGCGATGAGATTGGTGACAAGGAAACACAGCGCTCAGTACATAGAGGTTTGATGATGCTGGCCACATTCATTGGGATCGCTGGGTATGTTGCTCAACTGAAGCATCAGCGGGCAGACAGAGCTTGATCTTGATGATGATGATGATGATGACGATGACGATGACGATGACGATGACGATGACGATGATGATGATGATGATGATGATGATGATGGTGATGGTGATGGTGATGGTGATGGTGATGATGATGATGATGATGATGATGATGATGATTACGATTAGTATTAGTATTAGTATTATTACCATTGTTATTATCATTATTATCATTATTATTATCATTATCATTATTGTGAATCATTATTATTTAATTAATCGGTATTTGGTCTTTGTACCATCCTTGATCTTGGGTTTCTTAGGTTTTTTCTTTATCTATCCTGGCAACTGGTAACTGATGAACATCCCAAACAATCGCATCCACTACTGGCTGCTCGCTAGTTCTTGTCAAGTTGACTCCCCTGCCCTATCAACTTTATGTGTGCCAGCTTTCTAAGCATGTCGACCTTGAAAATGAAATGGTTTGCTCGTTCGTTCACACTGTGCATACATATTTGATGTTCCCGTATCTCTATAGTTTGGATAGCAGGAACTCAATTTTTGCCCAAGAAGTGCAGACCTCAGGTTATGATCTTCATGGCTCACTTGCCACTGAAGACTTTCTTCGGCTATAATTTCTCCACCAAGAAGTGGGCCGTGCCGACGCGCGTTGCTCATGACTGGCTGGGCTACGCGATCCTACTGATGACACTGGCGCAGAGTGCCATGGGTTTGTACAAATTGATGAGCGCCAGAGAGGGTCGCTCAGTGAAATCAGCCATGGTGGAAAACCATAAGAAAACCATAGGAAAATGGTGGTTTAATGGTGGTTTAATGGGGTTTAACCAACAAAATGGTGATTTTAATGGGATGTACCCTCTGGTTATGTCAAAATAGCTATTGAAAATGACCATTGAAATAGTGAGTTTTCCCATTAAAAATGGTGATTTTCCATAGTTATGTTAGTTTACCAGAGGGTACACGGGTTGGTAAATGTCCCGTGTTCGTTTTTTTTCCCCACCTGCCAGGTGAGGGTTGTTAGATTTTATGTCAGTTGCCTCCTCCTCCTCCTCCTGCTCCTCCTCCTGCTCCTCCTCCTCTCCTCCTCCTCCTCGTCCTCCTCGTCCTCCTCGTCGTCCTTGCTCAACTGCGACCCGCGATCCACAGTGTTCCCTGCCGGACCTCAACCACGACCATCCACGCCCAGTGTTCCCTGCCGGACCTCAACCACGACTATCCACGCCCAGTGTTCCCTGTCGGACCTCAACCACGACCATCCACGCCCAGTGTTCCCTGCCGGACCTCAACCACGACCATCCCCGCCCAGTGTTCCCTGCCGGACCTCAACCACGACCATCCACGCCCAGCGTTCCCTGCCGGACCTCAACCGCGAGTATCCACGCCAAGTGTTCCCTGCCGGACCTCATGTAGGAAGATAAAATGTCAGATAGAGTACCAGAAGATTTGCCAGGTAGAATGCCAAAAAATATGCCAAAAGATATACCAGATAGATATACCAGAAGATATTCCAGAAGATATGCCAGATAGAATGCCAGATAGAATACCAGATAGAATGCCAGAAGATATGTCAGAATATATGCCAGAAGATATGCCAGATAGAATGCCAGATAGAATGCCAGATAGAATGCCAGAAGATATGTCAGATAGAATGCCAGAAGATATGCCAGATAGAATGCCAGAAGATTTGTCAGATACAATGCCAGAAAATATGCCAGAAGATATGCCAGATAGAATGCCAAATAGAATGTCAGAAGATATGTCAGATAGAATGCCAGAAGATGTGCCAGTAAGAACATGTATAAATGTTATGGTGGGGATCACACGAAGTAAAATAATTTTGATTTTGAACATAATCGTCAAGTGTTTGTTGGGAGATTATCCCCAATAGTTGGGTAATGTCTTATGACAGGACACCTAGCAAGCCCTGAAATATGTTGATTGGTTGAGATATGTTGAGATAGGGAGTTAGGGGCTTATTAGAACCCGAAATAGGAATACATGGAATTGGAATACCTTTTTTTCCCAACATCCCACGTGGGATATTTTTCCACTAGATTCCCATATTGAAGTGGCCATGAATTACTGTAGGTACTCTAGGGGTATCCCCCATTTTGAGATCAGATGTTATCCCTGGTTATGACTAACAGTTTGCCATGGTATAGATGGCCTGGCCCATAGATTTATAGATGGTTTACCGAACCTTAACAATGGGTGGATCTTTCCATGGCGAACTGTGAATGTCATCACCAGATGGTGATGTTATCAGCAGTTTTGGAGATCTACCCAGTAACATTTACCCTCTGGTTATGTCAAAATAGCTATTGAAAATGGCCATTTATAGTGAGTTTTCCCATTAAAAATGGTGATTTTGGTGATTTTCCATAGCTATGTTAGTTTACCAGAGGGTAGGAGTTTTGTTGACATGTTGGAATCAATCATGGTTTTCGGTAGTGCACCATGAATAGCAACTGTTTGTCAGTTGTTGAGGAAGCAAATCATTATATAGACGTATCTAATATGGTGATGTGCACATGCCACTTTCACTGATTTTGTTGATTTTGTGAGATATTCCATCTCAATATTGTTGATGCAATTGCTGATGCGTTGCGACCTTCCTGTGACTGTTGATTCAGGTAGATCGATCTTCAAATTTCACGGAACGATGGGCAAGGTCGTTATGGTGCTATCGGCTGCTCGGATTGAGTTCTGTTTTTTTTTTCCGATGTTAGCTGCCCTTTCATTCTACATATTTTTGGTTGCATCTCGTGCTTTGTTTCAGAAACGTGCAGAATTGAAAGCACCAGAAGCCACCGTTGGTTTCCCCACTAAAATGATCACATAGATCACCTTTCGATGATTTGGCGGTTTTCCGTGACTGAAGAACCCCCCATAATCCATATGTGTCATGGTCAAAAGATGGAGTGCCCAATTGGGGGATAATTATCAATCCATTTTCATAGAGATTAATCGTTGATATATCCAGTATGAGAAGGAAGACCATAGCATAATATACCATGTTTTGATCGTGGCACATATGATCTAGTTGTACCAATGTAGCGTTGTTTGTTTTAACACATCCATTTTGTTTGGACTCCTATGGCATGGAATGGATGACCATACCATACCATATTCATCCGATGTAACAGGACCGCGGCACGTATGGGCCATCGCCATGGCACGACTTTGTCCGGCTGTGAACACTTTACAACATAGACAAATAGTCATGCGTTGTATGTATAAAATATTAATATAGAACGCTACTAATATAGATACAGTATAACACAATATATTTCTTTCTCTCCCTCTCTCCATATATCTATGTCTCTATATAATTATATATATATATATGTATATTGACCACAATAATCCCAGTATATAAACCTTCCCCTTTGGGGTTTTCCCTGGCCAGGCTGTGAACATTTGTTTGGCCTGCATCTTTTGGGGTTGGTCACCTGGATACAAAATCTTCGTGGCGCTGCTCACGGTCAGCGTCACAGCCTTTGGCACCTTTACGCAGCTGCGAAAGGCACCGGAGGCTTGGAGGAGTTGGGTCTCTGGAGCCCTGATGGGTTGACGGGTTGAAAAACTACCATGATATTATCCTTAGGTGCCCCAAAATCAGTCCTGGTTGTTTGCAAAATCCTGGTTGGTGATTTCACAGCTATCTTGCAAGGGGGTTATCATGGAGGATCATTCCAATGAAGGGAGCTGATTTGACTGATGAGTATTTTCATGAGCTGGCAGTTAGAAACAGGGTAATTTCAGGATGATCCATGAGTATCCCGGTATTTTAAATGGCCATGCACTTTGTTTGTCATTTCAGGATTCGATGATGTTGGATGGTCTCGTCTTAAAGTGCGGCTCTTAACCAGCCAAAATGTGGTTGATTGGTTATCAAATAGGGGTTGTCCTTTTACTGGTTTGTTCAGGGTTATGAACTGACCCAGTATGGAAATCCTTATGATTCCCACATTAGATAGAATCTGGGCATGGTTCATGTCGAATATCCGAAGAATAAAGCACTATTTTCCATGTCCAAGCATTTTGAGAGATTCCAGGTGAAAAAGAAGGGTTTGCTGAATGGTCGGTTGGACACACTTGGAACATGTTCATGAGGAATCCACATGACGGTATAGTTGAAAGCATTTATATGCTTGGTTGTCAAGTTAAGTAGCCAAAACCTGACCCCGCGAACACATTGAAAGAACTGTATGATTTGCAAGGTGCTGTTGCTTTCGGGAAAAAATATGATGGATCCAATATTTTAGGACAGTACAATCCTTGGTCCAGGATGGTGGGAAAGATCAGGAATGTCGCCTAAACCCGGCAACTCTCATTGGTTTCCCCTCTGAGAATACAGAATTTTGATGATTCGTGACCCTGACGAATGATACGGTGGGTGGTTGCGAAATCCTGCACCACCACAAGGATGGTTGAAACCCTATAATATTCATGGGATTTTTACCATCTATCTGCTGCAAGATTTCGCACCTGCTGGGCCTGGCTCTGAGGAAAACACGCCCATCATGGAAGGTTCAAAGGCCTGAGGTCTGTCTTCAGCGACCGTCTCATGTTTCGACGTGGGGAAACCCATCATTTGCCGAGTTGGTGATTTTCCCATGAGTTTCGGATTGAAGAATCCATGAAAACCCACCTTATAAGCAAATCTCAGGATTGGTATTTCAACAAATTGGGAAAACCGGGGAAACCGTGGCACACCATGGAACCTCCCCAAAATCCAGTGGGAATATGAAAATCACTCCTATCAAGATGCATTTTTCCCCCACCTAGATTTTGTATCAGAGTTACTTTCTCCTTCTCCTCGTCCTTCCTCAACTGCAAGCTTCACATGTGGGTGGTGGAACTCCTGTCAACCAAACCTCAGAATAAATATGCCATACACTTCTAGATGAGATGTCAGCAACTATGACTATGACAAGATCATGTCACCACGATGGGGATCACTCTAAGTAAAGTATTTTTTGGGTACTGTATCCCCATTTTCAGACAAAAACAGACATGGCAGTGTGTCAAAACCAATAGTACCCCTGTAGTTCACATCAGAATAGCTGGGTTAAAATGGATGTTCATTCCCCTAAAAATGGTATTTTCATAGGTTTTGATCCATAGCCACATGATACGTCTGTGAGGTCCGTACTTTTGAAGACGCTCCATATCTCCGTTGAGTGCGGTGTATCGCCCAAGTGCTGAAGCTCCGTGCGCCGGATCAGTGGTAAAATGACGCCGGGCTGTGGGTTCGACACCAGGATGGGAGCATGACGTGCTAACGATGTACCCGGCCTGGTAAACGTTTACAAAAAACTATGGAAAGATCCACCATTTTTCATGGGAAAATCCACTATTTCGACTGGGCCATTTTCAATAGCGAACTGTTAAATTACCAGAGGGTATTTGGCAATATCCCACCCCATTTTTTGATGACATCATACCAGCACAAAGCAGTATTTCGGAAATTATACACCATTTTTTAAAGCTGTATTGGGAAACAGTTTGCTGCCGCATGGGACTATCCCATGTTCTTGTGGATGACTTACCTTGCGAACGTTGTATTGTGAGTTTCCATTCTTGTTCAATATAGTATAACATAGTATCAAAACCGTTAAAGACAACCCGCCGCTGATGTCCATTTCACAGGTTTTCACAGTAGGTGTTGAACTAGCAACTATCCGATGGTGTGTTTCTCATCGTTTCACTCGAGAGAAACGGAGTGTATTTTTCCTTTGCCAGCTTACATTACCAGAAGGCATATGGCTATGATTCAAGACCGATTAATACCATTTCTGTGGGTGTGGACATCCAGAAAGTCCATGAAATTCCAGTTATTTTGATGTGAGCTACAGAGAAATCCATGCCTTTTGACCCAATGTATATTTGGCTTGGAGTCGCACCGCGGTGTCAGGAGAAGTTCCTGCGTTTTCAAGAGGCGTCGGCGTGGACATGTTTTCCTTTTTGTTCCAGACACCATCAACCACAGGAGTCATCATATTATCATATATTATCATATATTATCATATTGTCATATATTATCATATATTATCTCATATTATCATATATTATCATATATTATCATATATTATCATATATTATCATATATTATCATATATTATCATCCATCATCCACGAGTCCACGAGTCACTATCAACCAAAATCAACCATTACCATCGTCAATCATCATCCAAATGGCTTCCACTCGTTGACCGGGCAAGATGATCTCCGTGGGAAAAAAATTTCGGTGATTTACTGTCACTGTAATCGGGACTCGGGACATGAGGGATGTATTTGGGATATGGGGATGGGTCAAAACATGTCAAAACCAATAGTACCCCTTTTGTGAACCTCAAAATAGCTGGGTTAAAATGGATGTGAATAACCCCCTAAAAATGGTATGTATAGGTATTGACCCATACCCATATGATGTAGACATGATGGAATATGGAACCAATTTGAGATGATTTCGAGGGGTAGATCGAGTGTTTCAGCGTTTAACCTGCAAATGGGTCCGGTATTGATCCATATATGGGGATGCTCTTGGAGTTTGGAATTTACTGTATAACATAACCTCCAGTAAACTAACACAACTATGGAAAGTCCCCATGTTCAATAGGTAAATCATCTACAGTATAAATGGCAATTTTCCAGTTCGCAAACTGCAACAAATAACCAGAGGGCAATCACTCTCAATAGAGACCCCGGATGTTTTCTCAGCCAATCCCGCTCAGGAAAAGCTCGAGCTAGAGAAGAGGCAGCGACGCTTGAACAAGAGCCTCTTGGTGGACGGAAAGTCAGAAAGTAAATACTTACTGGTGCTTAGTACGGAATGGATAGGAATTGGGGAATGGGATTATTATTGATAGTTATTGTGGATCATTCCCTCATTCCCTACTAAGCACAAGTAAGTTAAAGTGAGGATTGACTGACAAAGCCCTCTGGTGATCAAATATGGCACTGGGAAATCTCAATGGCATCAATGGCTATTAAACAATGGGAGAATCTCATCTATAAATGGCTGTTTAAATGGGAAGATCGCCTATACATGGCTATTTAAATGGGAAATCTTTGAACTAAATGGGGGATTGTCCAGCAAGCCATGTTTGATTGCCGGAGGATTTTTTTTGCAACTCTCTTGCCTCGCTATGGCTAGCGTTCAGGCGTTCGATGTTCAGTTCCACTGATCCACGGTCTGATTTTTTTTTGAGATTCATACAATGTGAGGCCCCCCAGTTATAAGTTGGTTTATAAGCCCCAGTAACTATATAGTTATAAGTACCGTAAACCATAGTGAAATTGGAGTTATAAACCAACTGAATGCGATCGAACGGGGGCCTCACATTGTAGGGGTTTTTATTGTGAGGATTTAAGCAACCATTAAAAAAAACAAACAATCGGGACATGTTAAACCACCGGATTTTAGCGAGTACTATGGAGTACTTTATTTCTATATAAACCCTGTTGATACTGTAAAAAAATACCCTCTGGTAAACCAAGCTATTGAAAATGGCCATAGAAATAGTTGATTTACCCATTTAAAATTGTGATTTTCCATAGTGTTGTTAGTTTGCCAGAGGGTAAGTTGACAATACCTCCATGGTTACCATAGTTGGTTTGAGACCATCCACCGACACGTTGATCCTTTTTCGGAGCAAGTTTGGGGGGGATCTATAGACGCGAAGAAATGTCAACTTTGTGGTTGTGAAACAGTTTTGTTTACTATATGGAGTTGCAAACATCTACCTAAATAACCATGTTTTTTTGGTGTGTTTTTTAAAACAATTCCAATCTTCTCCAGCATTTACAAGCAGAGTGCAGAAGCTTGAGGTTCCGAGCGGCCCCTTGTCCATGATGGCATGATGAAGCATAAGGCCTTTAAATATTTAAATGGAATATCACTACTTTGGAACACCCATGATTTGCCTACAATTTGCTGCTTTGATCCATCATGTTGCCCTAGAATCCAGTGGATTATCATCATGTTGCCGATCAAAATAGCCGTTTTTGGGTAGCCTATTTTCAGTCTCCTAAGTGGCTTCCCAGACGCTTGATTGAGTTTCTTCAGCAACATGAAAAACATTTCAATACCAAATAGAATCAAATGCCGAAAAACATGCTAGAGAATAGCTGGACCATTCGAAACCGACTGCCCTTGAATGCCCTTCATAAATTCCAACAAAGCAATTAAACATGACCTATAGATTCATACTTGGGGATACAGTTCCACTAAAAAATGCTTATATAACTATAGTCTGGTTGGTGGTTTGGAACATTTATTCTTTTTCCATTCAGTTGGGAATTTCATCATCCCAACTGACTTTCACTCCATCATTTTTCAGAGGGGTAGGTCAACCACCAACCAGTAGTTGTAGGAATTATATGGGATTATATCCGAACTTAAAGTTAAAATCCCATAGATAACTATACAATCTATTGGATCTATGGATCTATTTGTTGTATTATATGGGATATATAACTATAGTTGTAGGAATTCTCAGGGATTATATCCCATAGGTACCAATGCCCATTATATCCATCGCCAGTTCGACGGCCGCCGTGGCTGTGGATGTTCCTCTTTGGAGAAGCACAAACCACCAACCTTTGAATTGCATAGTTAAACACATGAGCTGCGCTATAAACTCTTTATGTATTGGTGAGTAAGGGGACGGTCATAAGGTGGCTTCGCGTAAGCCAAAACTGCAGTGGCGTAAGAGCTGCGCAAGGTTTTTGGCTTTGAATGTTGTGCGTAAGCCTGCGTAAGGCATGCTTGAAAAGCACCTTTTGGCTAAAGAATGAAAGAAACATGAGGGTCAATATGCTTGGTCACGTTGATGACAGTCAAATGGAAGGGAAACCGAGCTGTAAAAACCTGCTGTAAAAAAGAAACAACTGGAATTGCACACACAAGCTTACAACAGATAATTAATGTACAGATATATACAGATATATGATATATGCATGTTTTTCCATGTACCTTAATTGGTGGTTCCCAATTTTGAAAAAAGATTGTGTTTTTTCGCGTAAGGAACGCGTAAGGTATGCGTAAGGAACGCGTAAGGCCCACCTGCTTTATCTGAACAGTTGCCCCATGGCCCCGAAACGCCGCCCTTTTTCGCAATTGCAATGGAAACAGCGCAGCCGCATCCTCGCGCAAGTGGTGTCCATCTTCCAAAGTCTTTCAAATCCCATGCCATGCCAGCGCCAAAAAGATCACTGGAAGAAAAACTATCAGCCAAGGCCCGAACTCTCAGCAAGCAGGCTCGAAAGCGTCGACGGCAACAGGCAACATTGAAAGCTGACGGTTCAGGCTCGTCCTCAACATCCTCTTCTTCAACATCTTCATCTTCGGATTCGACAAATGATGAATGACGCACTGAAATACTCTGTTGCAAAAAAGGCCGCGTAAGGAACGTTTCACGAAAAAAGATGATTTTGTGGTGACTTACTTTCGCGCAAGCCTTGCGTAAGCCCATAGAAAGCCCAGATCCCCGCGTAAGAGAAACCCCCAATAGCGTAAGGATGCGCAAGCATGTGCGTAAGCATGTTCTTACGACCTAAGAATCTATCAAGGTTTCCAGCATGGCTCACATATTGAAAAATATTGTTGGAACATAGTTAACATATTAAACTATATATTGTTGAACATATTACCTTTAAACTATATTAATTGTTTTTACATATAGTTGAACATTAAATATGATATATCTATGCAAAAACTATCTTTGAACACATATATGTAAACACATATTAAAATATGGAAACAAAAAGCAGAAATGCCTATAGTTTTCCACAGATCTTCCGTTATTCGAGGCTTAGAGGATTCGGCCAAAGACCGTGCTGAGCTGGCTCAGATGCGTCGGAAGATGGAGGCGACGGACCTGCTAGTTGGTTGGAAGATGGATTGTCCCAGCAATAGTTATAGCATGGCATTGCCTAGCCTCAACCCATATTGTATATATTGTATCTATATATTATATATATATATATTAAATTATACTAATGTATAACATATATATATATATATGTACACAATTGTAGAGTGTATATATAATATATATATATATTTACACAATTAGACAGTATATACATAGTTGTGTATATATTTATACAATGATGTTTTTATTTCGCGAGTAATGATAGTTGATAGTAGCATTTTCTTTCAATGTGAGGGACAATGCCAGTTCGGGGCGAATTTTTGGTGGGTGTGACTGAAACTGGAGGATCTTTTTTCCATTTTCTGGCAGTGTTTTTCTGTGGATAATGATTTTCTAAAGCCAATTTTTGGATCGGAATTGAATCCATAGTGGTAGGACAATCATGAGTAAACAATTAAAATAGGATCAATGATGATCCCCAAAGACGACTTGACTCTGGCGACCAAAAACTAAGATATTGTTAGGAATGGGCAACTAAACATCATCTTTTCTGAACCAGCCTCCGTAAACTAACGGTTAGCTAATTATAAAATGGTCCATTGATGATTTACCTAGTAAGAACGGTGACTTCCCCTGATGTTCTTTGGAGTTTTCAATCAGACATCACGGCAGATGTGATCCGTGGGCGAGTCAGTTTCCTGAAGGTATTTCCAATCAGCAACAGAGGAGTGCTCAAAACCCCTGTTGGTTGATGACTAGTTTCGAGGTTTTGCCGAACTGGGGATTCATCCATGGAATGCGGAGTTCAGCAGAGTTCATCCGTGGATCCCAAGAGGTTTATGCCCGAAAATTGGGGGGGGTATCCCAAACCTTATGGCTTCAACCGTGATTAAAAATCATGAGTTTCCCCATAACACCAAGCATGAATGAATATGGGGTCAAGCTGGTCAATTTGCCGTTGTTCCTTTCCGGCCGACCCTTCCAGCCCTGCCCAGTGCCTTAAAGCCCAGGCGGAACAGAAGAAATTTCTGGAAGAAAAGTCGCAATTCGAAGAGGAGGTGCTGATGGGATGAGGTTTCGACTGGCGATGAGGAATGGTTACGAATGGTGACACTTTGTGTGATAGATCCGCAACAAGAGATGTATATATAAGATTATACAAGATTATCAAATCAGAACAAATTGAACATGAAAATATATGAAGATGTTTCACCAAACGTCATCAACCATGCTTGAGACCCAACAGATATGTCATAGAACCAAGATTTTTAGTGGCGGTGTTTGTTCATCCCAATCAGCAGGGCAAGTACACAGTGCTCCCCCAGTCACCCTCTGGTAATGACAAACAGTTTGCTATTGAAGCCATGGCCCATGAACATAGTTGATTTACCGAACTTAAAGATGGTGATTTTCCATAGCTATACTTTACCAAAGGGTATGTTTGTTGGTTTATAAGACCCATGGTTATACTTGTTCGATATATCTTCCAACATCCATAAAGCATAGCCTAGTTGTGGGCCCACTTAGAGAACTGTGGGGCACCACCTTATAGTGTTTGCCTAGTTATCAGTGGCACACTCTAATCTACTACACAGTCGTTGGCCACTGCAGCCCTCTGGCAACCCGCTACAAATTTCTGAACTGCATCCATTTTTTGACTGCAACTATATACATATATATATATATACATATATATATATTATACAATATATATATATATTATAATAATATAATATAATATATATATATATGTACTTTATATATTTCTGAGTAAGTAACCTCGAAATATCTTGAGATCGTGAATCCAAGCCATTTCTCATTCGATGATCCCATCTGGGGAACTCTGACGTCCACCTGGCCGTACTTCGCCAGGTGCGCAAGAAAACCGACGAGTTGGCCCAGTCGAAACGGGCGTTGGGGGACCTGGAAGTCTGTTGGTCCGAACATGAGAACAAATCCTGATATACAATGTTTATAGTTTAAAATGCTTCAATCAAAATTGTATAGTTTATAGTTTATGGTTTATAATGTTTATAGTTTATAGTTTATAGTTTGTGCTATCTTCCGTTTGCAAAGTACCATTTTGGGGTAAATCTCCAATTCTTTGACTAAACCAATGGTGGACCAAGGGTACGATTAGTATCGATTAGTCTAGTTGTAACTGGGGTGACTTACTAAGTGGTGAGCCACCAAATATCAACCCGGAGGATTTAAACCTACACCAACTTTTAGTATCAAGCAACCTGTTTTGGGCGTATGATCACACCTGGTTTGTTGACACAGGAAGCACCTTTGGGTGATATATCACTTTTCAAGGGTACCATTCCCGGTTTTTGCTTTATCGCTTCGGGGTTACACCTCCTATCACTTCCAAATGTGTAATCAATCTTGTCCCGTGCATCCCCTCACACAATCATAATGATCCACCATATCCACCAGAAAGGGTTTGTCATTGGGGAGAAGGGGCTCATCAACCAATGGTTTTGGTATGGTTTGCCAGGAATAAGCGAGCAAATCCGGTTTTTTCCGTTTCTGAGATTTATTGGTTAATCACCATTTTATAGTGGGTGAAAGTCCATGCTCTGGATGAGTTATAACAACCTTACTGCGACGTCACTGGAATGCTGGTTAGTAGGGGGAAGTATCCCAAAATGGTCTTAATTCAGATTGATGATTATCTGGTGGTTTGGAACATTAATGGATTATTTTCCATTTCATATATGATATATATATGGGATGTCATCCTTCCCATTGACTCATGTTTTTCAAGATGGGCACATTGCACCCCCAACCAGTTATGATCTGATTGGATTTGTGATCTAACATGGGGTGATCGGAACGAAATGAGGCCTGTGCCAGTGAAATCCCAGGTGATCGGAACGTGTGCGTGTTATGATATGATTGATATGGGAGGTGTCCTGAAATGCGGGTAATTACCCAAATCATCCAGTTTGTTTACTTCGAATTTTACTTTTGGTAAATTGAACACCCTAGTTTGGGGATACCACATTTATAGAACCCCCAATGGCCCTATCATAACAATTACATACAATTACTACAGTGCAACTGTGATAATTTGGGGTACCCCCGTTTATAGAAACCAAAATATATCATGATATAAATATGATGGGTGTCTAGTATATGGGTTCTATATTCTATATCAGAGAATATTTAGTCCATAATGAACCCATCACAATATATCCAGATAAAATATCATGGTTACTAAATATATCATGGTTAAAATATCCAGTATAATGAACTCATCATAATATATCATGGTTACATAATATATCCAGATGTTTGGTTCATAGTGATTCGCGGCCTGTTTTTGTAAGGCTCTCCACCGGGCACTTCGCGGTCTTGCCGCCCCACGTCCTTTTTCTGGCAGCACAGGAACATGCCGAAGATGGCATGTTCAATATTAAAAACACCCTACCCTCTGGTTATGTCAACAGTTAGCTATTGAAAATGGCCATAGAAATCGTGGATTTTCCCATTAATAGCATGGTGATTTTCTATATTTTTCTATAGTTATGTAAACGTTTACCAGAGGGTAAGTTTGTTTCATAGTTGACTTTATATGGCTAGATCATTGGCACTTTCTGTTCATGGTACATGTGAATTGGGAGGCCTCGCCTCACAATAGTAATGATATCAATGATGAATGGTTCCCAAAAAGAAATGAAAAGTGACCCGGCTGAAATAGTTAAATAGTTCCAATGGTTTAACGGCCTAGAGTTGTTTTAACCTTGTTCAGCAGCTAAGTTCATCACCTACCTTGGTGACATCCACACTTCACCCATCCATGATCGCACTGGTAGAAACGTGTTTGTTGAAATTATGTGCGTCTATTTATTATATATGTGTATATATATATATACATCAAAGAAACAAAATGAGCATCAGGAGGAAAACTCATAGTGTTTCAAATAAACATGACGAATGCACACGAACAGTTGCACGAAAGGGCACCGAGAATGTATAGCAACCCCGAAAAAAAATAGACACTGTAGATCCATCCCCCACCCTGTTTTTAAAGCATCGAAATTTCGTGAGTTTGAATTTGCAATAGTTTGCGGCCTTAGCAAAGAGAAGGACTGGAAATTGCTTTGGGCCCATTGATTCTGTGGCCAGATATCGAAAGAAGTTGTGGAAATCAATCGAAGGAAATCGTCCGCTTTTGAGGTTGAAACAACATAGTCCCCCCTTACTTTCATACAGATTTACAGAAACCACCTAGTCCCCCCTATATTTTATACATTTGATTTTGTATCATCTTATCCAGGTTACTGCAGTAAATGACCTGGTCCCCCCTATGTTTCATACATTTTAAGATTTTTAACTTGCAATGAATTAATAGTTCCTAGTAGCAGCTCACCCCCCAGAGGAATACATTTTTGGGGGTTTCCCAAACATTGTTTAAGTGCTGGTGCAGAGCAGGTCCCCCCCATGTCTCATTCAATCAAAAATAATAATGTATAAACCTTCTTGACACCTCTTTCCGTGGCCGGGCTTGACCACCTGCTCCCCCCCCTGTTCCTACATTCGATGGAAATGTATGAAGGGGGGGGTAGATACACACGGAAGGCAGGGGGGTGTAGATCCTATACTTACTAAAATTGTGAAAACTATTGAAAACGAGTTTTTCTCTCTATTTTTCGGTGCATTGTTAGAGGAGAAACATACCATCCCCTTCAACAGGTTGACCAATTTTTTCCCCGTTTTTCTGGGCCGAGGAGAATCCGATATCTCACCATATCTGGAATCCTTATCCTGGATATATGGGTATTATATGGTTAATATACTTTTACCCTCTGGTAAATTAACAGTTGGACCCTGAAAATGACCAATTTATAGTGGAAACTAGTCTTCCAACCCCTATCTGCCAGGGTCTATGTTATACCAGAGGGCAATATTAATGGTTAATATTATGTTTTTTTTTTTTTTTACCAGTCTTATCCCCTGAAATTTCAGCATATCGAAAAGATCACTGAACTTGTCCTGCAGATATCTAGGGTTGGCCAGGATGAATTTGTGCGCGCGGTGCCGGAGCTCAATGTTGCTGACAAGGCGCCGCAAAAACATCTCCGAAAGCCATGGTTGGTTGACCTCCAGAAGTTGGATGGCCCCACATCACACTCACAACTAACTAACTACCTACCTAACTAACTCACTAACTAACTCCTGGCTTTCGTTTGGTTTGGTGGTTGAGCTTTGCTCTTCTTCCGCCGGCATCACTGAAGCTCTCGGCATCTTTTGGGAGCCGGAGTCCGTTTGTTTGTCCGATCGATCCGATCGTTTTCCGATCGATACATTTGGGAAGGACTTGAACTAGCAAATGTATGTCGCGTACATGTACCTTAAATATCCTTAAATTACCTCAATATCCTGTAGTCCAATAACGAATTTTCCGGTAACTATATAATCTATTGGATCTATTCTGGTTGGTGGTTTGGAATATGTTTTTATTTTTCCATACATTGGGAATTTCATCATCCCAACTGACTTTCGTATTTTTCAGAGGGGTAGGTATACCACCAACCAGATAACTATAGTTGTAGGAATTATATGGGATTATATCCGAACTTAAAGTTAAAATCCCATAGATAACTGTATAGTCTATTGGATCTATTTGTTGTATTTCAAAGCACAGACTGAACCATCCCCATCCCCATCCGAAGCCAGGCCTCTCTCCATGGCATCTCGCAGAAACCGGAGGCGAGGGGCACCACGAACTACAACTATATCCATCATAAAGCCTATGTGAGGGTTTCCATAAATGGGGGGTACCCCCAAATGGATGGTTTATAATGGAACATCCTATTAAAGTAGATGATTTGGGGGTATCTCTCTATTTTAGGAAACCTCCATTTATAAGATTAGATCACCTATTTATAAAGAAACTAATGGCTAAGTGGCGGGTTGTAGAAGGCACCAGCTTAGGAAGCTCTTCAGCAATCAGGGAGACGTCTAGGTCTAGCTGGAGGACTTTTCCACTTAGGAACTGGTTAGTAACTGGGGATACTTAACCATACTTAACCCACTATATTTATGAGTCCAACAACACAGAGAATATAGGGTTTGACAAAAAAAATAAAAAAAAACAAAAAAAAACAAAACCATAGCAAACAAAAAAAAACAAACTAGAAAACCAAAACCAAGGAAAAAACAAGAAAACAACACAAAAAACAAAAACAAAAAAAAACTGCGGAAAATGCAGGTTTTGATTTTTTTTGTTTTTTTTGTTTTTTTCTTGTTTTTTTTGTTTCTTCTGGTGATTCTTCCTGTCGATTTGTTTTTTTGGTGATTCTGTTTTTGTTTTTGTGTTTTTATTTTTTTGCTAAAATCCACTTTCTCTGTTCTACACGGGGTCATAACACTATATATGATTATATATGTGATCATCGGATAACCCCAGGGGATCAGGCGAAACCAAGGTTGGTTGTTTGGCAGTTCCGATTACCGCGATCCTCATGGTATGACCTGCAAAAGCTCAGAGCTGAATGCTGCAATGAGTGTGTACATTTACCCTCTGGTTATGACTAATAGCCATGGTATAGATGGCCCATAGAAATAGATGGTTTACCTATTTTGGAAATGGTGATTTTCCATGGCTATGTTAAATAACCAGATGGTATACGCCTGGTACGAAATAAGTTGTTTTCAGGGTGTTTAAGTTTATTTGTGCTAAGAGTTAACCTGAGTTTCATCAAACGGGTTAACTGTATGTGTAAGGGGTCCAGGTCTATATGGTTGTATTGAAACTAATGTGAAGCTAAGCAGTCTCTATATAGTTATCCTGGAGTAGACAAAAGATGGACACAACCATATTATGGCTGAACCAGGAATATGTTTGATCATTGTGTTTTCTATTGACTTCAGGTTGATGATAGTTTGTTTTATACCCGCCATATCTCATATTGTTGCTGGTTATACAACCCCATATACACAATGTTGATGTTTTTGGCAATGTCTTTCTATCAAATATTATATATCCATCTATGTCCAGCTGTTACTGTCGTGTGATACACATGACATAGTATGTTATAGCTTTAATATTCCCATGAATTTGCCACTTAAAGTACAGCAACTATCAGTAAATCAGATGTGATATTAAGTGATCATATTTTTTTGTGATGGTTTACAGCAACTACAGCAACTGATGATATCATATCTGGTTGGTGGTTTGGAACATGAATTTTATTTTTACATTCAGTTGGGAATTTCATAATCCCAACTGACTCATATTTTTCAGAGGGGTACGTATACCACCAACCAGATATTTGACCGAAAAATTGGTTGAATTGAGAACTTCACCGAACAAGTGTTTTCCCTGCTTTCCATGCAAAAAGGCCGCCTTCTCCTCGGCATGCTCCCTGTTCTTCAATGGCGGCACAGGCTGCATCCGATGTCTCGTGAATGGGCGATGGTTGAAATGGCATTGGGTAAACACCCTCCGGTCATCAAGAATAGCAATTGAATATTATTACAATGGAGGCTTTAATGGGAAAATCATCTATAATTTACAATTATTATCTCAGTGAATGATATGAGCACTGAACATTGAGTGACCAAGAGCTATTTTTGACCCCTGGGCGTTGAATTTCAGCCACAGCTGGAAGCCAAGTTGAGAGCTTTGGACCTATGAGTTTGCAAGCAGGATTTCACCGTTTTAGGCTGGTTGCAATTTCATCGAGTTCTAGTAATGTGAGGCCCCATAGTTGGCTAAGTTAGTTTATAAGTCCAATAATTATGGTTTATAGATGATATATCTATAGTTAAGGGCTTTGTAAACCAACTTATAACTGGGGGGGGCACCACATTGTAGTAATGTGGGTAAACAATAATGAACCACCCATGACTGGGAATGGTAAACATACCACCTATTTATGGTGAAACTGGGGATGTTCTATGATTGTTTTACCCACATTATTCAATGTGTGTTTCAAAATTATGATTCAGTGAAATAATTTTTGAACAAATATGTTTTCTGAAAACAATACAGTAATATGTCTGTTTAATGTCACATTATTCCTTGTTTTCTCTGTTGTTTTCGTGAATCATATTTTTTCTCTATGAACATTTGCCGTAAATGGATGTAAATGGTGTGTATACCAATCTTTTATGTATGTTTTACTTATATTCTAGTGATGTATTGGTTGTAAACCATGCTCTTTTTCCAGAACTTGATGACAGGAAAACTCGTTTCCCTCGTTTCCTGTAGATTTTCCCTTAAACCAATCCAGAAAATATGGATTTAACCATGGAAAATGGTGAATTTCATAGATTTGGATCAGTGAAATTGCGCCCAAAAGACGACGAGACATGATCGCCATTTATGAAAATCATTTATATAATATCTAATATGTATATATAATATTATATAATTATATATATATATATATATCACTGTTATATACTGGTATTATATGTATCAATGTATCCACAGTCTATCCCTAACAATATGTTTTACATCCCAAAAAAAAACCATGACATCGCAATGAAAATGCCAGGTCTGGACGCAGCGGATGCCTTGGTCTCTGCCACTCGGGAAAAAAAAACATGGGACGTTTCAAGAGGAACACGTGAAAATTCATGGGATTTCACCCATAAAATTCTGGATATAGTGATTGAATGGGAATATCATGGATGTATATATATATAACCGTGTATTGTATATATAACCGCCTTGATGTGATATTTGGGTTTGTCAATGGTGGATATCCCAAAATGGTGAGCTAAATATGGGATCTCAACTTCCTTGGGGATATGTTCTTCGATACAGAGTCAATATTAGGATATGAAGGTTTGTCCAAAAGTGCGGTGATACACAAAATGGCTGTTTCAATGGTGAAGGTTGGAATGAACCCACTTCAGTTTGTTTTTTAATGTTTCGAAAGTCGTCAAATGATTCACTTTGATCACCATAGTAGTGAGAATACACAATCAACCCAGGGCAAACATTGGTCATTGTCTTTTACTTGATACAGAAAAGTTGTGTGTATGTGTGTTTGTGTTTCTTTAGCAGGATGTCTGGAGGGAAACAAACGAGTCTATGAGTCTACTGCAAACTTGAGATGTTTTGCCCTATTTCCACACTTTGTTGCGCAAAAAAATATGTCTTCAGGGAAATTATTTCATGAACCTCTAAGCAAAACACATGGAAAGTCAGTCAACATATCCTATTTAGTAGGATCTACAACCCCCCAAACAGCACCACCACCTGCCCTTCCACCCAGTCAATGCAGTGGCATCCCTGATGATTGGTTGTTAACCTGGCTGATTGATTAGGGTCCTGAAATAACCCACCTGAATATGGGTGCCTTCTTACCATACACCGTGTACACCCTAGAGGATGAGAACCTGGTTTTGTCGCAGTCGTGCTAGGCTTTGCTCGCTTGCCAGTGCATGCTGGACGCACAGGTGCGGAAACAAAATCCTTCGCCTTGAGTTTTAAATGGCAATGAGAAGCAAAGATGGAATAAACATGGCGTTTTACTTTGTGTTCAAGCCTTCAAATTAACATAGATATATAATCTAAATTAATGGCAATTAATGAGAAGCCAAGAAGTCGTGCAGTATGATTGGGATCAACAACAACAACAACAACAACACCAAGAAGAGCTAAAAGCATTGCTTTAAAACGGTTTCAAAAAAAGCTAATCCACCATTGAATCGTTCGGAGGCGCCCCGAAGCTTTCAGAACTTGGAGCAACTCGTGGGGCTCGCACAGGCCGCCACGACGCGGTCGCGGGTGTTTCGGATTTGATCTACTGTTGTGGTATCCTAACCATGAATGAGATTCCCATGTTTTTCACATGGTTATGTTAAACATGTTATGTATAATGTGGGTAAAACAATAATCAACCATCCCCCCAGAAAAATTACCATTTATAGGGGGTATGTTTACCATTCCCAGTCATGGGTGGTTTATGACATTGTTTTTCCCACATTAGATGGTATTAGATACTGCATAGACATGACGGAACTGATTGAAATAGATGGTATAGTTAGATTCTAGATAACGTAGAGATGTATCAAACATGAGATTTATCAAACATGTATAATTATAGTTATTATTATTGGTATTGTTTTGGTATGTTGAATAAATGTGCTGCGGTTTTAATGCTGTGAAATCTAGATGGCACGCATTTAGCTGAATTCATCTTGATTGATATGGAAGTAACATCTATATTCAGAACGGATAATCAATCAATACTAATTAAAACATATTCAATCTCTCTCTCTCTATATATATATATATATACATAGATAGAGATCTGAAATCATTATGGCACGTCATAGTGGTATGTCAACATCAAAACTCAACCACATGCTAGAAGGTGGTAATCAGTGTGAAATAACAACATGTGGCCAACATGAAAATTCATATTTCTTGGATTTTTTTAGTTGTTGGTTGATGTCAACTCGTTTCCCAGCAGGCAGTGGCTCGTGGTGCTAATGTGGATGGTGGCTTGGCATTTACAACCTCCAAAGGTGGCTCTTGCCTCATTGGAGGTTTGATGGTGGGGTATGGTCCAGGGCAAAAGCTTGTGCTCCAATCACTGCTGGTACCCTCTGGTAAACGTTTACATAACTATGGAAAATCACCATGTTGAATGGGAAAATCCACTATTTCTATGGCCATTTTCAATAGCAAACTGTTAGTCATTACCAGAGGGTACACCCAAGAAACATCATTGAACCGGTGGATGGAGACAGCCTGTCTCGTGAATGTTCAGCAATGTTCGAGGTGGGCACTGTTGCCATCTTAGAGGTATACCTAGTAGGACTAGGTCCATTTACCAGCTATCAATGGATTGGTTTGGGAAAATCTTCACCGGAAACCATCGATTTTCCATGATTTTCCCATTTTTCATCTGGGGCTTTCCTGTCATTTTCCCAAGGAAAGCAATCCATGCTATCCCAAGAAATGGGCTAACCCCAACGGCACCTCCTCCAGAATGATCACCTCCCTTAGGGTCATTGGATGTCATTGGAGGGAAAGAAATCTGGTTGAACACCCCACATTTGATGTGTTTCATTGGGCCTATGAGCTCTGCATCCATTAGGAGACACGGCAGGAGTTGGTGAAGCCCCTCACATTGGACCATGGTGTCCGGTCAAGATTTCCCCTGAGACCTATCCGACCTATCTATGGAGTGTGCAACCTCAAACCCGTATTGTTTTAGTTGGTGGTTTGGAACATGGCTTTTATTACTTTCCATATATTGGGAATTTCATCATCCCAACTGACGAACTCATATTTTTCAGAGGGGTTGAAACCACCAACCAGGTATTGTTTTAGTATGTTTTGGTGATTTTTGAATATGATTGAACCGTCTCATGTTTAAATATGCACTGACTATGAACAAGGGAGCTGAAGGTTGCAATTGTACAAGATGGTGCCCCCACATCCCCCAATTACATCCGATTGCATTTTTTTTGTTGATGTAATTTGATGTACAACCCCAATGAACAAATTCGATATATCTGCCATAAACCTAGTTGTTGGACTCATAGCTTATAAACCAATTTAGCTATCCTATGCTATCATAAGTCAGCTATACAACCCATCAAAATCCCCATGTTTCTTGCTTAAACAAACAAAAGAAACACATCCTCATCCGTAAAGTTCATAATCCAGTGGAAATCCGCATACTAAATCCCTACTAAATCCCCACTACCATCTGGTTATTTAACCTAGCCATGGAAAGATCCACCATTTTTAATGGGAAAAATCCACTTTTCAATGGGCCATCTATACCATGGCTATGTTAGTCATAACCAGAGGGTAAATCCTCAATCAACCCCCATTTTGTTGGTTAAACCCCATTAAACCACCATTAAACCACCATTTTCCTATGGTTTTCCTATGGTGAAATTCCCACATGTTGTGTTGTCGCCCACCGAGGCCGATTGCGGCTGTCCTTCGCGGCCAGCTCCTGTGCCCTGTGGCGCCTTGGCGATGGCTTGGGCGGTCAACTGGAACGTCGGAATGTCAATGGGATAAAGAATGGGATATGAATTGGATATTTACTATAGTAGTCTAATAGTAGTCTATATAGTAGTCTATATAGTAGTCTATAGTAGTCTATAATAGTCTATAGTAGTCTATAGTAGTCTAATAGTAGTCTATAGATGTCTATAGTAGTCTATAGTAGTCTAATAGTAGTCTATAGTAGTCTATAGATGTCTATAGTAGTCTAATAGTAGTCTATAGTAGTCTATAGTAGTCTAATAGTAGTCTATAGTAGTCTATAGTAGTCTATAGTAGTCTATAGATGTCTATAGTAGTCTATAGTAGTCTAATAGTAGTCTATAGTAGTCTATAGATGTCTATAGTAGTCTATAGTAGTCTAATAGTAGTCTAATAGTAGTAGTCTATATAGTAGTCTATAGTAGTCTATAGTCTATAGTAGTCTATAGATGTCTATAGTCTATAGTAGTCTAATAGTAGTCTAATAGTAGTCTATAGTAGTGTCTATAGTAGTCTATAGTATAGTAGTCTAATAGTAATAGTAGTCTATAGTAGTCTATAGTAGTCTATAGTAGTCTATAGTAGTCTATAGTAGTCTATAGATGTCTATAGTAGTCTATAGTAGTCTAATAGTAGTCTATAGTAGTCTATAGTAGTCTAATAGTAGTCTATAGTAGTCTATAGTAGTCTATAGAGTCTATAGTAGTCTATAGTAGTCTAATAGTAGTCTATAGTAGTCTATAGTAGTCTATAGTAGTCTAATAGTAGTCTAATAGTAGTCTATATAGTAGTCTATATAGTAGTCTATAGTAGTCTATAATAGTCTATAGTAGTCTATAGTAGTCTAATAGTAGTCTATAGATGTCTATAGTAGTCTATAGTAGTCTAATAGTAGTCTATAGTAGTCTATAGATGTCTATAGTAGTCTATAGTAGTCTATAGTAGTCTATAGTAGTCTAATAGTAGTCTATAGTAGTCTATATAGTAGTCTATAGTAGTCTATAATGTCTATAGTAGTCTATAGTAGTCTAATAGTAGTCTATAGTAGTCTATAGATGTCTATAGTAGTCTATAGTAGTCTATATAGTAGTCTATAGTAGTCTATAGTAGTCTATAGTGTCTATAGTAGTCTATAGTAGTCTAATAGTAGTCTATAGTAGTCTAATAGTAGTCTAATAGTAGTCTATAGTAGTCTATAGTAGTCTATAGTAGTCTATAGATGTCTATAGTAGTCTATAGTAGTCTAATAGTAGTCTAATAGTAGTCTAATAGTAGTCTAATAGTAGTCTATAGTAGTCTATAGATGTCTATAGTAGTCTATAGTAGTCTAATAGTAGTCTATAGTAGTCTAATAGTAGTCTAATAGTAGTCTATAGTAGTCTATAGTAGTCTATAGTAGTCTATAGATGTCTATAGTAGTCTATAGTAGTCTAATAGTAGTCTAATAGTAGTCTAATAGTAGTCTAATAGTAGTCTATAGTAGTCTATAGATGTCTATAGTAGTCTATAGTAGTCTAATAGTAGTCTATAGTAGTCTATAGATGTCTATAGTAGTCTATAGTAGTCTAATAGTAGTCTATAGTAGTCTATAGATGTCTATAGTAGTCTATAGTAGTCTATATAGTAGTCTAATAGTAGTCTATATAGTAGTCTATATAGTAGTCTATAGTAGTCTTAATAGGTAGTCTATAGTTAGTCTATATTAGTTCTATAGATGTATAGTAGTTCATATAGTAGTCTATTAGTAGTCTATATAGTCTATAATAGTCTATAGATGTCCTATAGTAGTCTATAGTAGTCTAATAGTAGTCTATAGTAGTCTATAGTAGTCTAATAGTAGTCTATAGTAGTCTATAGTAGTCTATAGATGTCTATAGTAGTCTATAGTAGTCTAATAGTAGTCTAATAGTAGTCTATATAGTAGTCTATATAGTAGTCTATAGTAGTCTATAATAGTCTATAGTAGTCATATGAGTAGTCTAATAGTAGTCTATAGAGTCTATAGTAGTCTATAGAATGTCTTATAGTAGTCTAATAGTAGTCTATAGTAGTCTATTAGATTGTCTATAGTAGCTATAGTGGTCTAATAGTAGTCTATATAGTAGTCTATATAGTAGTCTATAGTAGTCCTAAACTACAGCACACTATAGTAGTCCCGACTCACGCCTGAGTCTGCACCACCCCAATAGTAGTCTATAGATGTCTATCGTAGTCCCCCATACTCAGTAGTCTAATAGTATCTATAGTAGTCTAATAGTAGTCCACACCACATACGTCAGTCTATATTAGTCTATAGATGTAATAGTAGTCCGACACATACGCCGATAGTCTAGACAGTAGCGCACTCGTATCACGACCTGTCTATAGTAGTCTAATAGTAGTCTATAGTCTATAGTAGTCTATAGATGTCTATAGTAGTCTATAGTAGTCTAATAGTAGTCTATAGATGTCTATAGTAGTCTAATAGTAGTCTATAGTAGTCTATAGATGTCTATAGTAGTCTATAGTAGTCTAATAGTAGTCTATAGTAGTCTAATAGTAGTCTATAGTAGTCTAATAGTAGTCTAATAGTAGTCTATACTAGTCTATAGTAGTCTATAGTAGTCTATAGATGTCTATAGTAGTCTATAGTAGTCTAATAGTAGTCTATAGTAGTCTAATAGTAGTCTAATAGTAGTCTATAGTAGTCTATAGTAGTCTATAGTAGTCTATAGATGTCTATAGTAGTCTATAGTAGTCTAATAGTAGTCTATAGTAGTCTAATAGTAGTCTAATAGTAGTCTATAGTAGTCTATAGTAGTCTATAGTAGTCTATAGTAGTCTATAGTAGTCTAATAGTAGTCTAATAGTAGTCTATAGTAGTCTAATAGTAGTCTAATAGTAGTCTATAGTAGTCTATAGTAGTCTATAGATGTCTATAGTAGTCTATAGTAGTCTATAGTAGTCTATAGTAGTCTATAGTAGTTTGTGGTAACTATAGTAGTCTATACATGTCTATAGTAGTCTATAGTAGTCTAATAGTAGTCTATAGTAGTCTAATAGTAGTCTAATAGTAGTCTATAGTAGTCTATAGTAGTCTATAGTAGTCTATAGTAGTCTATAGATGTCTATAGTAGTCTATAGTAGTCTATAGTAGTCTATAGTAGTCTATAGATGTCTATAGTAGTCTATAGTAGTCTAATAGTAGTCTAATAGTAGTCTATAGTAGCCTATAGATGTCTATAGTAGTCTATAGTAGTCTAATAGTAGTCTATAGTAGTCTAATAGTAGTCTAATAGTAGTCTATAGTAGTCTATAGTAGTCTATAGTAGTCTATAGTAGTCTATAGATGTCTATAGTAGTCTATAGTAGTCTAATAGTAGTCTATAGTAGTCTATAGTAGTCTATAGATGTCTATAGTAGTCTATAGTAGTCTAATAGTAGTCTATAGTAGTCTATAGATGTCTATAGTAGTCTATAGTAGTCTAATAGTAGTCTAATAGTAGTCTATATAGTAGTCTATATACTAGTCTATAGTAGTCTATAATAGTCTATAGTAGTCTATAGTAGTCTAATAGTAGTCTATAGATGTCTATAGTAGTCTATAGTAGTCTAATAGTAGTCTATAGTAGTCTATAGATGTCTATAGTAGTCTATAGTAGTCTAATAGTAGTCTATAGTAGTCTATAGTAGTCTAATAGTAGTCTATAGTAGTCTATAGTAGTCTATAGATGTCTATAGTAGTCTATAGTAGTCTATAGTAGTCTATAGATGTCTATAGTAGTCTAATAGTAGTCTATAGTCTATAGTAGTCTATAGATGTCTATAGTAGTCTATAGTAGTCTAATAGTAGTCTATAGATGTCTATAGTAGTCTAATAGTAGTCTATAGTAGTCTATAGATGTCTATAGTAGTCTATAGTAGTCTAATAGTAGTCTATAGTAGTCTAATAGTAGTCTATAGTAGTCTAATAGTAGTCTAATAGTAGTCTATACTAGTCTATAGTAGTCTATAGTAGTCTATAGATGTCTATAGTAGTCTATAGTAGTCTAATAGTAGTCTATAGTAGTCTAATAGTAGTCTAATAGTAGTCTATAGTAGTCTATAGTAGTCTATAGTAGTCTATAGATGTCTATAGTAGTCTATAGTAGTCTAATAGTAGTCTAATAGTAGTCTAATAGTAGTCTAATAGTAGTCTATAGTAGTCTATAGATGTCTATAGTAGTCTATAGTAGTCTAATAGTAGTCTATAGTAGTCTATAGTAGTCTAATAGTAGTCTATAGTAGTCTATATAGTAGTCTATAGTAGTCTATAGTAGTCTAATAGTAGTCTATAGTAGTCTATAGTAGTCTATAGTAGTCTATAGTAGTCTAATAGTAGTCTATAGTATAGTAGTCTATATAGTAGTCTATAGTAGTCTATAATAGTCTATAGTAGTCTATAGTAGTCTAATAGTAGTCTATAGATGTCTATAGTAGTCTATAGTAGTCTAATAGTAGTCTATAGTAGTCTATAGATGTCTATAGTAGTCTAATAGTAGTCTATAGTAGTCTATAGTAGTCTAATAGTAGTCTATAGTAGTCTATAGTAGTCTATAGTAGTCTATAGATGTCTATAGTAGTCTATAGTAGTCTAATAGTAGTCTATAGTAGTCTATAGATGTCTATAGTAGTCTATAGTAGTCTAATAGTAGTCTATAGTAGTCTATAGTAGTCTATAGATGTCTATAGTAGTCTATAGTAGTCTAATAGTAGTCTATAGTAGTCTAATAGTAGTCTAATAGTAGTCTATAGTAGTCTATAGTAGTCTATAGTAGTCTATAGATGTCTATAGTAGTCTATAGTAGTCTAATAGTAGTCTAATAGTAGTCTAATAGTAGTCTAATAGTAGTCTATAGTAGTCTATAGATGTCTATAGTAGTCTATAGTAGTCTAATAGTAGTCTATAGTAGTCTAATAGTAGTCTAATAGTAGTCTATAGTAGTCTATAGTAGTCTATAGTAGTCTATAGATGTCTATAGTAGTCTATAGTAGTCTAATAGTAGTCTAATAGTAGTCTAATAGTAGTCTAATAGTAGTCTATAGTAGTCTATAGATGTCTATAGTAGTCTATAGTAGTCTAATAGTAGTCTATAGTAGTCTAATAGTAGTCTAATAGTAGTCTATAGTAGTCTATAGTAGTCTATAGTAGTCTATAGTAGTCTATAGTAGTCTAATAGTAGTCTAATAGTAGTCTATAGTAGTCTAATAGTAGTCTAATAGTAGTCTATAGTAGTCTATAGTAGTCTATAGATGTCTATAGTAGTCTATAGTAGTCTATAGTAGTCTATAGTAGTCTATAGTAGTTTGTGGTAACTATAGTAGTCTATACATGTCTATAGTAGTCTATAGTAGTCTAATAGTAGTCTATAGTAGTCTAATAGTAGTCTAATAGTAGTCTATAGTAGTCTATAGTAGTCTATAGTAGTCTATAGTAGTCTATAGATGTCTATAGTAGTCTATAGTAGTCTATAGTAGTCTATAGTAGTCTATAGATGTCTATAGTAGTCTATAGTAGTCTAATAGTAGTCTAATAGTAGTCTATAGTAGCCTATAGATGTCTATAGTAGTCTATAGTAGTCTAATAGTAGTCTATAGTAGTCTAATAGTAGTCTATAGTAGTCTATAGTAGTCTATAGTAGTCTATAGTAGTCTAATAGTAGTCTAATAGTAGTCTATAGTAGTCTAATAGTAGTCTATAGTAGTCTATAGTAGTCTATAGTAGTCTAGAGTCTATAGTAGTCTATAGTAGTCTAATAGTAGTCTAATAGTAGTCTAATAGTAGTCTATAGTAGTCTATAGTAGTCTATAGTAGTCTATAGTAGTCTATAGTAGTCTATAGTAGTCTATAGTAGTCTAATAGTAGTCTATAGTAGTCTATAGATGTCTATAGTAGTCTATAGTAGTCTAATAGTAGTCTATAGTAGTCTATAGTAGTCTAGTCTAATAGTAGTCTATAGTAGTCTATAGTAGTCTATAGTAGTCTAGTCTAGTAGTCTATAGTAGTCTATAGTAGTCTATAGTAGTCTAATAGTAGTCTATAGTAGTCTATAGTAGTCTATAGATGTCTATAGTAGTCTATAGTAGTCTATAGTAGTCTATAGTAGTCTAATAGTAGTCTATAGTAGTCTATAGTAGTCTATAGTAGTTTATAGATGTCTATAGTAGTCTATAGTAGTCTATAGTAGTCTATAGTAGTCTCTAGTAGTCTAATAGTAGTCTATAGTAGTCTATAGTAGTCTATAGATGTCTATAGTAGTCTATAGTAGTCTATAGTAGTCTATAGTAGTCTAATAGTAGTCTATAGTAGTCTATAGTAGTCTATAGTAGTCTATAGTAGTTTGTGGTAACTATAGTAGTCTATAGTAGTCTATAGTAGTCTAATAGTAGTCTATAGTAGTCTATATAGTAGTCTATAGTAGTCTAATAGTAGTCTATAGTAGTCTAATAGTAGTCTAATAGTAGTCTATAGTAGTCTATAGTAGTCTATATAGTAGTCTATAGTAGTCTATAGTAGTCTATAGTAGTCTATAGTAGTCTATAGTAGTCTAATAGTAGTCTATAGTAGTCTATACTAGTCTATAGTAGTCTATAGTAGTCTAATAGTAGTCTATAGTAGTCTATAGTAGTCTATAGTAGTCTATAGTAGTCTAATAGTAGTCTATAGTAGTCTATAGTAGTCTAATAGTAGTCTAATAGTAGTCTATAGTAGTTTGTGGTAACTATAGTAACTTTAGTAATATGTCATTGGGATGTCAACTTTAGTCATCTAGTAGCATGTGGTAACTATAGTACTTTAATCTTGGGATATACCTGTAGTACTCTAGTAACATCTAGTACTTTAATCATTTTTAATCTTGAATGGGAGATATTAGTGGGATATGAATGGGATATGAATGGAAACTTATTAAGCTGACTATTGATTCTGGGTAAGCTGAAATGTGACCTCACTGCGACCGAACCCTCGAATCATGGTTAGTAAGAGGAATCATCCCCAAATAGCATTGCTTCAGGCTAGCGAAACCTTATAATTTACTGTACCCAGATTGATGGAACATAATTAAGTTGACTATTGGTGGACTATGAATCGAATGTTGCTGGAATATGAACGGGATATTGCTGGAATATTAACGGTATTCCTGAAATATTTATGACCATCACCTACCAACAACACTGAATTGAATTATTAACCATCTATTCAAGGTATTCTTGCCAACAATAGATGGTGAGATATGTTGCATATGACCAATAAATAGATTGGTTATGTTTGTGTATTCATCAGATTCAAACAATGTTTGGGTTCATGAAAGGCTTATTGACGGTCTATAATGGAATATCACTGGGATGTTAGTGATATATATATATATGAGGTATATAACAAATAGTGGTTGGGTTCATTAAGCGATCAACTGACAACAAGTCACTAATCGAACAACCAACAAATAACTGCTAAAGGAGTTAACAGGAACAATTCACCTATGATCAACTTGTTAACCAGTCGCCATTACTTTCATCGATAGGGGCTTATTAGCCACCAACAAGCACCCAGAAACAAGGGCGTATGAACCATCTACTATTGGGGTTACCGAACTGGCGTGTGTGAGGTTAAATCTCACTGATACACGGATAGAGGGCAGTGAAAGACATTTCCAGGTCGATACGTTAACTTCCAAGTTTCTGACAATTTGGAGGCAGAGCTACCATCAATGACTTGCAAGTTTCTGAGCTAGGTTCCTGAGGGGCACAATACCAATATGGACCTGGAAAATGGGCTTGAAAGATAGATTTCCGACTGAAAGTAGCAATTTCTCAACCTGGGAAAGTGGTCATTTTACCTCTCTATTTACCCAGCTTCCTTCACTTGTACTGTGAACCAATCCATTGAAAGTGATCACATGTAATTAATCCCTTCCGTTGAGTTTTAAGATACACATATATTGAGGGGGCCGCTAAGGCCCTTCTTTATGGGCCACACGCCTAAGGTTCAGCGTAGATCGAGACTATGTCTAGGGTTTCATGATTGTGGCATATCCAAACCATTCCAAACCGATATTTTCCAGAAATTGGTGGCCTCGATCTCTGAAGGACATGTTTTTCCACCGATTTTGGTGGTCGGCCGTCAGGTGCAGCCTCCAAGTGTCTGAATTTTTGGCGCGGAGGTGGGATGAGGTTGGGGAAACCCAGGACACAGGATCGGTGAGCTGAGGAGTGGATGGGGATGGGGTCAACACCTGGTCAAAAACGGTGATTTTCTGGTGAAATTTGGGGAAAACAAACATCCATTTGCCAGCTGTGAAATAGGGTACCAGGTTTTTGAGCACCATGAATCATTGGGGAATTGGAGATGATGGGATATCGAGAAAAATGTCGTATACAGTACCGTTGTACCGGATGAATTTGTGTGGTTGGATGGATTTATCAGAAAAGATTGAAGTATCAGCAGGTCAACAATTTGGAATGTGGTATAACTTGGAATAACTGGGCAACCGCACATTGAAATCACTGGTTTTTATGTTTCAAGGGTCAAAGGATTGGAGATTTTATCAGCCGCAATGGGGATGTAGCCTTCAAACTTAGGGATTTGACCAATGAATGGAAAGTGGAAACAAATCCAGAAATTGTGGGAAGCTGAATGTTCACAGGCAATGTCAAATTCATTATATCATCATACTTTTTGATTTCTTCATTTTGATGGTGGAAAATTACTCCTGAACAAAGTTGAAAGTTGAAACATGAATTTCCTTTGGTGGTTGCGACACCCACTTGGGGTACTGTGAAATTTAGGGATTTCGGACGCCAGGGATGTTCACAGGTCAACATTACCCATTTGGGGATGGGTCAAAACATGGAAAAAAAACCTCTGAACTTACCATAGGACTGGGGGAATCAACATCCATTACTGTAGCCAACTATTCTGAGGTCTTACTAGTCCCCGGATTTTGACAAAAATAGCCTTACTGGTGCTTATATCGCAGGGAAAGAGGGAATGATCCATGATGACTACCCTCTGGTAAACTAACATAGCAATGGAAAATGGCTATTTATAGTGGATTTTCCCATTGAAAATGGTGATTTTCCATAGCTATGTTAAATTACCAGAGGGTAGTCATAATCATCCCAGCAACCCCCAGCAACCCATCCATTCCCTACGTAAAACGCACCAGTAAGCATTTTGTTTCATGAAATGCACTGCCTTGACGGAGCCGGGGCAGATACTATCGACTTCCCCAGCTGCAGTCTGTGCCCCGTGGAAATCCCACCGATCAGCCATGTCCACTTTGGTCTCACATCGAGCTGGAATGAGATTTCAATCCGGTCTGTGGCCAACCAAACCCCACAGTAATATGGTTGATATCCTAAAATGGAGGTGCTGTACCATATAAGGCCATATTTTGTGGGGATATTCCCTTACATAGGCCTTACATAGGCCTTATATATGGTAGGTACCTCCAATTTAGGTTCCTAAAATGGCCATTAAAACGGTGGATATTCTGAAAAACCTCAAGTTTTTTTTGAAATTCAAGGTCTCAGATCACTTTTGATATTTCATGGATATGTCTATTCGATACGGCAAAAGAAACTAAGTCCTGTTGATAACGTATCCCGATAAATGGCAACATCCAGATAAATATGCAATATGAAAATATGGCTATAGACTTATCAAAATAATATTTCCAATATGTAAACAGCTCCAACTATAATAAAATATATCATATGTATATATAAAGTACTATATCATTCCTCCACACCTACAATTCGTTGTTCTTTCCCGTCAGCTCCGCTCGCGCTCCGCGAGCTCAGGTGAATTCCGAGTCGCAGGACCGGGTGAAGCCACCAGGTCAAGTCCAAGTGGTTGGTGGTGACTGGAACACATGGCTGGATTATATGACTGGATTATATGACTGGATTATATGACTTTCCATTGACAATTCTAACATGGGATCAGAAAAATCCTAAGCCCATGAAGACTTTCATATTTTTCAAGATGGGCACGTTGCACCACCAAGCAGCTCCGTTTCTGAATTGGTGTCGGCTGAGGATTATCATGTCAATGTCACCATTTTGTTGTTGCGGCACCAGGATCTCCTCGAGGAAGACTTTGGCTCCTGGGCTCAGATCTTGTTTCAGTACAGGGTGGTGATTGAGTTCGTTAGGCAAGCGGGTTTATGAGTCCAACATCCAATAAGTGTAGGGTTGACTTTTTGGGTTCTATCATGTTATATCATGTTATATCATGTTATATCATGTTATATCATGTATTATCATGTTATCTATAAGTTAACAGATGTTAACAGGGGATTCTAAACCAACAAACATCAGTGGGGGATAGCACCATGCATTTCCCTCACCATGGATCTGACCAAAGACAGCCGCCCAGGCTTGATGTACAAGCGCATCAAACTCTTGTCACAAGCAGGTCCTGAAATAAAAAATTGGCCGGTTGGTGGAGTGGCGCAGCAAGTTGTCACAATGGGTCAATTATACACATGGTAGACCCAACATGGAAAAATAAAACGTTGCATTAGTGGGAACCTGAACTAAATGAGAGGTTTTGATTAGTGGGACAATTAAGTCACCACTAAATTCCAGTAAATCACCCTAGATTGTCATTGTTTCATATGTTTGTTCTTGTTAAATCCCTAGTCTGTGGTGAAACATCACCCATGGACCGCCCCTTGGGGCCCTCACGTCCCGTCAGGCAGCGCCCTGAAGAGATCGCAGAAGAGCTTGGGAGACTATTGGGACCACAGGAGCTGTAGTGGACGGGTTTTGAAAACGGTTCAAGGCAGTTCAAGGCAGTTCAAGGCTTCAAGCTCTGGGATAGTTTGGAAGAATTTCTTGAATCCCCACCTTGGATCATGGCCTGGTCATTTATGATTGGTATTGGTACTTTGCTCTTGTATCCCAATGAACAGATGAGGCCATGAAGCCCAAAATCGCCCCATCCACCTATTGGCCCAATATTCGTGGATGGACAGACCGCAAATTGTTTCTCCCATTGACAATCCCATTGATTGTCATTTGCCCATGAACAGCCCAACTAACCACAAGTCTCAGTTCCACCCCTTGATCGTTAGTGAAAATTTGATCGCCACAAAGAGGGAAAAGTGGTCATTTGACTCTCATATTTAGTCAATTAACCTCCCTCATATTTGGGGGGGAGCAACCCTCTGGTAGTGGCATGCTTACCCAGCTAGCCATTCAGCCCATCTCACTCGACCGGCATATGTTAACTATGTTGGTTATTAGTAATGTCTTCCATATTGAATCTTATCCACTTAGTATTATTATGACCACATGTCGAATGGATAAATATGGATAATAACCATTAGATGTGTTAATCGTTAACTATGGTTACAAACACCTGGCTAACTAATAAACTAAACAAATTACCGTAACTACTGTATCCAAATCTTAAAAACCAGAAATTAGCTTAATTTAACCAAGTCTTATTCTGGATCATTGATTGCTACACCCCTCCGTACTCCACGAATTTTGACCGTCCAAACCTGAGGGTTGCACGGAACTCACAGGCGTCGTTTCATCCGGTGCTTGGCCAAACCAGGTCGGCTGTGGGAGCCATCTGGCATGATTTGGTCGGAATGATGATTCCAATCCCAACATCTCACATGCTAATTTAAGATATTGAACACTGGTTGGTGGTTTGGAACATGACTTTTACTTTCCATTTCATATATGGGATGTCATCCGAAACCCATTGACGAACTCATATTTTTCAGAGGGCTTAAAACCACCAACCAGAACATATTGCCATTAAGTTCATATCTATTATGTTCTATACAGAACATATTGCCATAATATATATATATATAACATATCTATTATGATTTACCCATATCTATTATATAACATATCTATATCTATATATCTATATATATATTATTATGATGTCTAATATCGCCATTGAGTTCGTTGATCTTTACCCATTAAAAACGGACCATTTTTCCGGATGCCATGACCATTTTGAGCCTCGCAGGGAGCGGCGCCGCCTCTGAGGCTGACCTTCGGTTGTTTGGGGCACCCGGCATTTTTGGGGAACGTTCCGGGCGTTTGTAGCCTCCGGTGTCCGAAAAAACATGGGAGGTTTATAGATGTTTATAGATGTTTATAGATGTTTATAGATGTTTATAGATGTTTATAGATGTTTATAGATGTTTGATGTTGGAAAAGACAACTACAAATGGAGCACTTTCGAGCAAGCCATGTTTGATGAATCTGGAGGGTATGGATTATTGAAGAACTCAGAACTAATATGATACTTTAATATTCCTATTCTCAGCAAATTAAGGTAGGTGTCTTCTGGACATTTGACCTAGGCAGAACATTAAATAATTGACAAAGGCATAGGTTCCGGTGGGGGGGTTGTTTGAACAGTAAAAAACGGCTAGTTAAGCAGTGACAACTTGGGATGTGAACGACGAAGAATGGGCTTCAAACAGCAAAAACATGTGGATTTGAAGATGACACTGTATTTTTCAATGGTTATATCTTAAACCTATCCCAATTGTTGTTTGCAAATACCCACATCCCTTCGTTTTTCTTTGTTAATCTTCCAGCTTCGCAGCTCAGGTTGTTCCTTCCCTTCCGTGACGTGAAGGGAACTGAACTGGCCGCCCACGTGCGACGTTTGAGGCCATGGAAGAAGTGGCAACATGCTTCTGGGGCTGGAAATCACAAGGCGGTGGCCCCAAACATTACACTCTGGTAAACTTGCAAAAAGCTATGGCAAATCACCATTTTTTTTGTTTTTTTTTTTTCAACGAACTAAATGACCATGGCCCTATTTTAGCTATGTTAAATGGGCAGAGGGTATGTAAGTTGATGTATAATCCCACCTACCCTTCCTCGAATGCGGCTGGACAATCCACCATTGATGATTTTCGCATTGACACCTCCATTTAGTTCAGGCATTTCCAGCTAGCCACGTTTGGGTGAGGGTAAGTTGGTGGAAAAAACCTGGCACAACAATAGTCAATATATCTCAAGATCACCATACACCCTAGTCAATCTATATCTGGTTGGTGGTTTCAAACATTTTTTATTTTTCCATATATTGGGAATAATGATCCCACCTGACTAATATTTTTCAGAGGGGTTGAAAGCACCAACCAGATATAGTTCGAAAGCAACTTCGCAAAGGATGGGAGGTGGATCTTGAATCCCAGCCTTGTAAATTGGGGCCGTATAAATTGCCCCCCTTCTATGGCAATTCAAACAGAAAACATGATGGTGTCAACCATGGGACTTTGTGTACGCTATTTTCAGACATACCATATCTATCCATATCTAAATGTCCTTAGGTCCTTGTATCATCCCAATCATTACATTATTGAAGTCTTCTGATTGCTGTTTTTGAACATGTTCTATCTTCAACCATGCACATGAAATGATGATCTTGATTTTCATTTTTTTTCAGGGGTGGCTCAACCACTTAACCAGTCATTGTTCCATTCATATCCCGTTATTGTTCCATCATTATCATTATACTGTAAATTCATTAATTATATGAGTATTCATTGCTGGTTATATTCCCATTACATGCCATTTTGCTAATATATCCATTATTATAAAACTATTATTGTTGGTTCTATGTCCCTTAATAAATATCCCATTAGTATCCCCATTGATAATAATTCCATTGCACCCTTATGATTGTTGCCTATATTCACATATCCCTAAGTTAATCAAGTTGGATGATAATATGTCAATTATCCTTCTTGATTATTTTTCGTTGTTGTTGCTTGTTATATAGTATCCCATTATTATCCTCATAATAGCTGGTATTTTCCTACTATATGGAGGTGTCCTAACATGGGGGTACCACCAAATCATCCAAGTCATGAGACCATGCTAGTATTGAAACAACCATGGTGACTTGGGGCCCGCACACCTTTAAGAAACCCCCATATACCCATTATATTCAGATTAAATCCCCATGATCGCCTTACTCTGGTTTGTTATATTCCATTATATTCCATTATATTCCATTAAATTCCACTATAGTCCATTATATTCCATTATATTCCATTATATTCCATTATATTCCTATATATATATATCCTATGATATATATATATATCCTATGATATATATATATATATATACACCCATTATATCCCATATCCCCATTAAATACCAATATTGGTATACCCATTCAACCCACCGTTGCGTTCAACGGCACAAATCTTCCAGTGGCGCGGTGGAAGATCTGGTGGTGGAGAGCCGCAAGCGGACGGTGGTGAACCTGGAGGCCCCTTTGGAAAATGGGAAAATGGGGAAAGATATTTTTACCCTCTGGTAAACTAACATAGCTATGGAAAATCACCATTTTTAATAGGAAAATCCACTATTAATGGCCGTTTTCAATAGCTACGTTAAATTAATTACCAGAGGGTAGTTTTAGTATGTTTACCACTACCCATAGGATCCATGTATGCCATATATGGTAACATTTGGGGTATATTGATGGTAAATGTTACCATATATGGCAGACATGGATCCTATGGGTAACTATGGTTTATGGTAGATATAACGAACTAGTTAATGGGGATTTTTTTTTCATGGTTTATAAACCAACAAACACTGCTTGGTGGTGACTGGAACATGGCTGGATTATGACTTTCCCATCATATTGGGAATTTCATATTCCCAACTGACGAACTCCATCATTTTTCAGAGGGGTTGACACCGCCAACCAGTGTTAGGTGGACACATGGTAAATCTGTGTGACCATTTCCAGAAATATATATACATAGATGTAATCTAAATGTGTGTATATATATACACATATGTACTATATATATATATGGCATTGACCATTTTTTGTTTCATTGGGATAGGTGAAAACCTATGATACCATGACCATTTTTTGTTCATCAGGTTACCATGGTTTTGACCCATAATGAATATATCTAACACCAAACATGTTCGATGTGCACGTAGATGTTGTATATGTTGGGGAAACTAAATGTTTGGGGAATACAGTATATTGGTTTAATATATTAACTATTGTTAACACCATAGTTTCTAATGAACAACTATTGTTAACACCATATAGATACTATTAATATATTAACTATTGTTGTTCTTTCTGATGAAAAACAAGCATATATTTTATCTGATCACCTGCAGCGATGGGGATCCATTGTGATAGAAGGCAGAAAATTATCGGGGATACGTCCTTTGTATGGCCAATTTCATGGGGAAACCGCTTGAATCGTTGCCATTTTCAGCAACCACATGGAGATGGGATACCGAGTTGGACAAAACAGACCTCACATGTGGTGAGATGCTGCATGTTTTTGTGATCAATGGAAACACAAAAAAGTAGGGACAACGGGCACACTTTCTTGTGGAAAGGTCGTTTTGTTGGGTTTGTTGCATTGAAAAAAAATCAGCCACAGGTATCTTCTCAGCATCTCAGAAGTCTAGCAGTCCCAAGAGGCCGTTGCGAAACAAAAAAACAACAGATCCATGGCGCCTGTAGCCTCAAGAAGTGATGACAGGCAGGGTGACCCAGGGTGGTGCTCGGATTTCCGGCTGTATTTCTTTCAAGTCATCGAAGGTCTCGGAGACAGCCCAGATCAGCAGATCAGCCCAGATCCCATGGACCGGTGACGCCGCTCAGTTTCAAGTCAACAGCGGCCCTCATTGAATTTAAGGGTATGGATCAATACCTATTAATACCATTTTTAGGGGGATGAACATCCATTTACCAGCTATTTTGATGTTCACCAGGGGTACAAGGTTTTGACACACTGCCATTTGATGGCCAGTACTGATAACTGATGAGTTTTCAAGATTATTTACCCTCTGGTTATGACTAACATAGCCATGGAAAATCACCGTATTTTTAATAGGTAAACCATCTATTTCGATTAGGGCCATCTATACCATGGCTATGTTAAATAACCAGAGGGTATATGGATTGATGTTTTGTGGAAGGTTCACTTTCTCAAAGACTCCCCGAAATTCTGGGTATACCTTGGAGACGTGTAGCCGTTTTCGTTTTGTTTCCATAAATGAAGACGTATCCTGCCAGAAATAAGCCAGGTTGGCCTAGTCCTGCTGCCTGCTGTTTCGATCAGTGCTTCAGCGACGATGCCGCATCGTTTGTTGTCACTTCCAAGCATGGGGAACATCCGCGAGATATGAACAACCAATATGTGACTTGAAAGTGAACAACCAATCATGGTGCACGAATCACGACATAGCCGTACAATGCAATACAACATGGCGCGTAAATTACCGCTAGGCATATTTCTTTTGCGGCACTTGGAAATTGACAAGAGTTTTGGTTCTGTCGTTCCGTATTTAATGTCAGTGTTGTACATTGGTGAAGACCTTTCGGCTACCTTCGCCTAGAATGTTTGGCGCTTAAAATATGGAAGGCAACCGGAAAAACAAAGGGATTGGCCACAACATTGTAACCGTGCATTTTTCATAGGAAACGATGTTTTCTAAAACAGACAATTTTGAGGTACCTATTTCTGGACAAGGCGCCAACTACGAAGCTTCACAATTTGCTATGACGAAGGGAGGCCCAAAATGGATTCCACCCCAGGCTGAAACCCGGTGAAGCCCTCGAAAATGTCGTCATCAGAATGATTTTGTGTCGCTTGGAAGTGGCTCAAAGTGTAGAGCTCTATGTTTCCTTTCGTTATGACTTTTTGCCTGCACTCGCCGTGGTGAGTGTGTATTCTTTCAACGAATGAAGCGTGCACGAGACCGCCACCCAGACCCATCACCCACCGACAAAGGCGCGAAACGCGCACGGGATGGCAATCTGGATCCATCATCTACTGACAAAGATGCAGCAGATGAAACTGATGAGGTGGAGCTGCACGTGCTGTGCTTGACTGGAGAAGGAGTGACGTTCAGCGTCAGTCGCTCCATGCTTGGGTCTGACCTGCGCAGGTTGGTGTCAGAGAAGCTTCCACGCAAGCCAGGCGCAAAGCTCGCCGTGCATCATACGAATAGAGAGCTGACATTGGATGAAAACCTGGGAGAACAAGGATTTGTTGGAAAATCTGCAACGCTGTCCTGCACCTACATACCAACTAATGTGTATACAGCATGGCGTTATTCCTGTGGGTTCCCAAATGATGAGAAAGAGTTTGCACTGGAAGGTATTACACATCTTGAAGGAGCAACACATGGAGAATATATACACTATCTCCCCTGCAGCCTTGCAAGAATGGCTTTTGACAGCAAGTTCAACCACAGCCTGGAGCGGGTGACCTTGCCATCGAGTCTTCAAAGCTTGAGTTTTGGCCATTATTTCAACCAAAGCCTGGAGCGGGTGACCTTGCCATCGAGTCTTCAAAGCTTGAGTTTTGGCGATTGATTTCAACCAAAGCCTGGAGCGGGTGACCTTGCCATCGAGTCTTCAAAGCTTGAGTTTTGGCGAGTTAAGTTCAACCAAAGCCTGGAGCGGGTGACCTTGCCATCGAGTATTCAAAGCTTGCGTTTTGGGTGGACCTGACCTTGCCATCGAGTCTTCAAAGCTTGAGTTTTGGCCATTATTTCAACCAAAGCCTGGAGCGGGTGACCTTGCCATCGAGTCTTCAAAGCTTGAGTTTTGACCGTGGTTTCGACCAAAGCCCGGAGCGGGTGACCTTGCCATCGAGTCTTCAAAGCTTGAGTTTTGGCCATTATTTCAACCAAAGCCTGGAGCGGGTGACCTTGCCATCGAGTCTTCAAAGCTTGAGTTTTGGCGATGGGTTCAACCAACGCCTGGAGCGGGTGACCTTGCCATCGAGTCTTCAAAGCTTGAGTTTTGGCAATAAGTTCAACCAACGCCTGGAGCGGGTGACCTTGCCATCGAGTCTTCAAAGCTTGAGTTTTGGCTTTGAGTTCAACCAAAGCCTGGAGCGGGTGACCTTGCCATCGAGTCTTCAAAGCTTGCGTTTTGGCTTTGAGTTCAACCAAAGCCTGGAGCGGGTGACCTTGCCATCGAGTCTTCAAAGCTTGCGTTTTGGCGTTGGTTTCAACCAAAGCCTGGAGCGGGTGACCTTGCCATCGAGTCTTCAAAGCTTGAGTTTTGGCCATTATTTCAACCAAAGCCTGGAGCGGGTGACCTTGCCATCGAGTCTTCAAAGCTTGAGTTTTGGCGATTATTTCAACCAAAGCCTGGAGCGGGTGACCTTGCCATCGAGCCTTCAGAGCTTAAGGTTTGGCAATTATTTCAACCAAAGCCTGGAGAGGGTGACCTTGCCATCGAGTCTTCAAAGCTTGAGTTTCGGCTTTGAGTTCAACCAAAGCCTGGAGCGGGTGACCTTGCCTCCAAGTCTTCAAAGCTTCGGTGCTCCCATGGTTGGCCTTACTTCATCAGTCTTCACGCTTCACGTCAATCGAAGAGATGATTCAGGCGTCATCACGCCGGGATCTTCGTTTCCTAGTACATATTGAAGCAATTCCCAAGGCATATTGAAGCAAAAAAGGTTGCATTTCCAGGGATGCTTGAGGCGACCATGGGGGCGTTGTCGGCGACATGAGCCTGTCTTTTTGCATTGAGTCCGGTGTGGAATTCAAACAGTAGTATGGGAATCATAGATATACTATGATATGGGTGTGTCTGAAAATAGTGTACCCCTAAACCCAATGGTTAATGATCATTATCCCTATTAAATGGCTATAATTGGGAATATACCATATTTTCAGACAAACCCATACTATGATATACTCATAACTCATAACATCTCAGAACTAGATACTTACACGCCCCGACTCCACAGAGTAATCAGCCGACATTAATTAATGATCGCCATTCAAATCTGGCGATAAAAGCCCGTTTTTCTTGCTGAAATTTCAAGACACCTTTGTTTTCCGGGTTAAACACAAAAACGCCTGTTTTCTTATATAGTCCTTATAGTTCATCCCATTTTGTGTTCATATCCCCACGGAATCCGCTTGCGAGACAATATTGATGAATAATATTATGTTTTACCTGTGCAGGGCTCATGGATGGCTGGGATGAAGATTGCGAATGACGCCTGGCTGCAACATGGAGACGGCCACAGCTGAAGTTCCATCGATTTGTCGCAGGGCAACCAATGAGTCTTATGGCTTGTGCATTTCTTGGATAGGTATAGGGTGAATGGTCACATGCTGGTTGCATGGTTATTCAACTCCTGCCCATCTTCAGAACTTTGGCCTTGCACTTCTGACGAAACGGGCAGTTTGACCATTCCAACTGAGGTGAACCACCTGACTTTGGTAGCCAAGAGTACTGGGAGGCCGCGGGGAAGAATCTCCATGGCTTGTTTGCGGATTTCCTACCTAGACCTAGCCTAGCCATGTTTGATTGCAAAACGGTATGTAAATGTATGTAAGATGTTGTTTCCCATCAACCCACCTATCATCAGAACAACCATTGTTCAGATATCATGCCCCCCATATGTGCTGCTGAAGTTCCAGAAAAGGGACATGTTGGGAAAGTCTCATTAAGAGCTGCATTTAGTCAGTGGGAATTTCAAGACCCTCAAGTGGAGGTACTGTAACAAATTTAAGGTCTTTTCTGGGGCATATTCCCTTACATACTGCAGCCCTTAGGCCTGAAAGAATGGTGCCTCCACTGTAGGTTCCTGAAATGGCAAGACAAACCCCAGGCAGAAAAAAAGGAAATCATAGGAACATCATGGTCATAAAGCCCCGTTTAATTTTTCATGATCTTCCCATATTTTCCCATGAACAGATCGAGGATTTCCCAGCCAGGCGCACTTTGCCTCAGCCCCAAGGGGTGCGCCCACAGATCCGAAAGCTTTGGAATTCGAATGGCTCTGCTGGGGGCCCCGCTTGGGAAGAATTCCACTTTTTTATGGGACAATAGTTTGGCCATTCCACTTTTTTATGGGAAGAATTAAGAATTGAAGAATTCCACTTTTTTGATGGAAGAATCTCGGTTGGGATCTTTGGCCAATTTTTGGCCACTGTTTATTTTCTTCGGAAAATAGTGATCTTTGGAAACTTTTGCGCGATTTTTGGGGTAACATTTTGGCATTACATAAGTGGAACTCTGAGATTTTTGGGGTGGTCTTTGGCGCGAATTGATGGGATGAGTTTTGGGAGTCAACGGCTATGGCTATGATTCAGAGGTGGATAATTGATGATAATTCGCCAATAAACATAGCTGTTTAATTTATCAATGATGGCGAATTATCATCAACTAATGATGTTAGTTTGCTGGAGGGGTATCTATTGGTGCTATTTTACTCGATAATTGATGATTATCATATACCCCTCCAGTAAACTAACATAGATGCGGAAACTTACCAACTTGTAGATCATTTTCCAAACAGGAAACCATGTGTTCTCCACATTTTTTTGGTATGGTCCTCCAGGCTACTAAAAACCATTAGACACTATGTGGTCCCAATACAGTTTTGCTATGTGAAGAGTTTTCTTGTTCATAGACTGACCTGTCCGGTTCAAAGTTCGCATGGGGACCTGCTGCTAACCACTGGATATATATATATAGAGATATATATAGATATATAGATAGAATAAATCTGGTTCTGTACGAATTAGTTGCAGATATACTGTCTACTCTAAATCTGGGGACTAATCAAACGTGCTTTGCTGGGAACTTTACTGTTTAGTTCCATGATTTTCCCAACAATAAACCTCCATGGCTAGGCCAGGGGGATTTCCCAGTTAGCCCCGGTTGATTACTGCTGGGCATTGTATTGTTCAATGTTTGCCAAAGGGTATACATATAATATAATCAGCACTTGGCCGGCCAAAAGTATAAACACAGATCCATGCATCATGTCACAACTACTCAAGACCTCCAACTTCTCATTCATGTTCGGACCCCAAAAGAAGTAGAGAATACGTGTGAAAGCCTGAACATATTGGAAATATCTATTGCATGATATTAAATATATTATAATATAATCCCTAACCTCCTGGAATCTCTTTCCAATATCTTTGGGAATGGCTATGGATGGCTATAATTTCTGACTTGGGATGTCTTCCTTCTCTAAATGGTTTGCGATGCCAGTCCAAGGACCGTTGCGACTTTGAAACCTGATTTTGCAGAGACTGCATACATCTCTTTGCTTTCTTTACACAACCACAGACACACAAAAACAACAACACATTAAATCATAATTTGTAACATTGCCATCACTTGGGCGTACATGTTTTTTTCATTTTTGGACAAAGCCTTACGATATTGCTGGTTGTACATCCCATGACATCTCCATAAAATGATTGGTTCAAGGGTTACCTCGTGAGGATTATCTATCCCATGTAACTCGGCCATGGCAAATTCTTCATCATGTTTCCGGATGTACCCGGCCTGGTAAACATACAAGAAACTATGGAAAATCACCATTTTTTATAGGACAACTCACTATTTCGACTGGGCCATTTTCAATAGCTATGTGAAATTACCAGAGGGATCCAGAGGGTATATCACGAAAATACCATAACTTGGCAGTAAATTAAAAAAAAAAATATAAAGCCCGAAGTGTTCCTTAAAGTTTTGCAACAGAACATATTTAGCACAACCTATATTTCGTCCAGCATTTAGTTGGAAATTCCAACAGGAAGCCTCGACTTCGGGGATGTCCTCAACCATCTATGGGAAATGGCTTCAGCCATTTTGCATAGCAAACTGTTAAGTTGGAGGGTATAACCATAGTAATTCATATGGCTTTTGCTACATGTTACTATGGTTTTTTAAGGTTTTTGTAATTTGGCTTTTGCTTATATGTTACTATGTTTTTTTTAAAGGTTTTCATGTTGTAATTGTAGTAACCATTCCATCATACCATAGCTGCTGTCAGTGGCCGAGGCGGTGACTGGAAGATCTTGTTGCCGCTCTTAACGCCTCATCTGCCAAAGGATGCGTGGGCGATGGGATCTGAATGGGATTGAAATGGGATTGAAATGGGGTTTCAATGGGATTTCAATTGGATTTATTGGGATTTCAATGGGATTTCAATGGGACTTCAATGGGATTTCAATGGGATTTAGTGGGATTTCTCTTTGGGTTTATGTGACTTATGGGATTTAAATATGTGATTTCAATGGGAATTTCATGGGATATGGGATCTGGCAATCTAAGAGTTTGCGAATGGCAAAATGAGTTCGTTGATTTAGCGATAAAGGTGGTGAGTTTTCATAGCTCAGTTTACCAGAGGGTATTAATTAGTTGAATTGAACTGGGGATAGAACTGGATGTAGAATGTAATATGAAGGGACACTTCAGTGATGAAGCATCTTTCATGAACCTCCATTATTAGCTGTCAAATCCCCCCACTGTTGGCGTGTTCCTCATTTTTTCTGGTTATTACTAAGTTCAAATTCCCGCATATCCTATGGGGATCAAACATGGGAAACAACATATTGTATCATAATGTAATATCTATATACTACTCTATATCTATATGTATTAGATTCTATAACATTATTCATTATTAATGAATAATGGTATAGAATCTAATATATACATAGATATAGAGTAATAGTGTGTATATATATATGTTATATTATATATAATCATAAATATATATATATATATATATTCATATTATCATACATACATATATATATGTACACATGAGATAGGGATTTTCCAGCTATCGCCATGTTTGATTTCCGGACAGTAATAGGGTTTCATACTGTTTGTTGCCTCAACAACCTGATTCCTGCACCAAAACTCCTGACAGGAGGGATGCATTCTACACCCAGGTTGTGGGATGTCACTTGGAAGATATGAACAGTGGCTCCGATCGATGATTATTAAGTCATTTCATAGGGATTTTAACCACCCAATATGGTGATATAAGAGGTGGATATCACTCAAAATGATGGTTGGTTGATAAATGTTGATCAATAGTTTGGAGAGTATTCTGTATACTGGGGCATTCATAGTCCATTTTGGAATCCCGAAGATATTTAAAAAAAACACTTGATATAAGAGGTTATAAAAAACTCCCGAACATACCGGATTCAACAGCAATGGTAGCTAATTGATCCATTTTAGCAAAAATAAATAGGTAGTCGTGGCAATTTTACCCGTGTCTATGGTGTCCACGCATCTCTCGTTTTACTTTATGGATCTCTATAGATATTTCTTTCCCGAAATAGCCCCCCCGTGGAATCCTTTGGTTCAGTACTGGATACAGTACATTCATTTTGGATGATATGGTGGATATTTTCAGACATAAATTTTGGATGAAGAATGCTGATATTAGGGCGATGGGATTTTTCAGCATTCTTCATCTAGACCTTACGCGACGCCGACGCGCCATTTTTTGGGCATTTTCCGCTTTTCCCATGGCTTTCCGAACTTCAAAGGTCCGTACTGCCCATCCTTCTGCAAAGAGAGGCGCCAAAAAAACCGTGGGATGTTGGAAACTGGGGCCCCTTGGGTCAACTGAAGACTTCGGCGGATGGATTTGTTGGCTAGGAATGAAGGGATGTATTATCATGTACTATGATGATACATACCTAGCGTTGCCTAGCTAAAGAGTTACATGTCTGCATTGTATCCAAGATTATGGGTATGTGTCACAATTGGGGACTGTCTCAGGAGACACTCCTTGATTTTGCTGTGATGTTACAGAAATTGTGACACTTTTCTGGTTGCATCCAGATGTATTTACTGTACGTATACATCCCCACTTCCGTTGCATGATGAACAGCCCCCCATTGCTATATCACCCACTTTGGATCAGATGTTCCACTTGGATGAATATCATCGGATCATCGTTTCGGTTGCTTAAGTCACCATTTCTGTTGGTTAAATTGGTTAAATCACCATTCTTGTGTACTCAGCCCAGTGTTAGTCACATCCCCATTTTTTTCAAATGGCAGGCATCACTGGAAGTATTGAGCCTGGACAGCAGCTGGGAACCACAGATGCCATGGCAGCAGTTGTTGGGGGCAGAAGCAGCAAGCAAAACACATGGGGATTACGTTTGTTAGCATCCATATACGGGTCAAAATGTTACTACACTATACTTACTTGATTAATTATAATTATCATGTCAATGTTACGTTAGTTATGTTGTCGGGATCATCATATCAATTCATATTGACACTGTATCATCATGTATGGGTGTAAACCAGGAACTTTTCTACCAACCATGTTCGGGCGATATTTCATGGGATATACCAAGTTGTATAACTTCCAACCGATAAAATCGTGCCTCCGGAAATGGGTTTATACTAGTCGACTATCCCTCATTTGATGTTTGTTTTCATCGAGAAAATGAGTTTTTTTTAACCACTGGATTTTTGTTGGGAACGTATCCTTTGGACAAATCCATGTGGCGATGTGGTGTAAACCAGCAAACATATGTGCTGAACAGTGGTGAACCATCAAAACTATGGCTTTGACCAGCAAACATGGTGGATGCGCCAAGAAAATTGGCAAGAAAAACAGCACGGCTATGGATGATTCATAAAGCAGTGGACTCACAGAATTCGCAATGTTTACTTACCTCCCTGGGTCCTCAAAGATAGCAATAGGATTGCAATGGGAAATCTGCCAGAAATGGAGGTCTTATTGGGAAAATCATCTGTAAATGGTGGATTTTCCGCCACGTTTGATTACCCGAGGGTATGTTTGCGCTCGTTGCATGGAAGGAAAACCAGTGGGGTCCAGTGGGGCAGAGCCTACCAGCTTTGCCCGGACGGATACATAGTCATAGAATGTCATAGAATTTATTGATTGCAATGTAAGCATAAAGACAGCAGTATTGAACACGATGTACATCAAATATGAACGATATTGTCTTGTATCATATTTGTATATATTTGTATGATATTGTATTATATTACATAGATGATGGAATCAATGTACATTGGATCTGTTTACGATTTGCTTATTAATAACGTGTCGAATTATTTGTCGAATGATTTTTTGTTAAAAGGAAACTGCAAATAGATCAATGATCATATCAGTTATCATAGATACGACCTACTGGTATCTATTATACACACAATAGGTAATATCAATGATACTTACACAATGGATCATAGATAGTCCTATCAACAAACATTTTCGTAGAAACTATGTCCAAGGTGCTGCCGCCCACTCAGGAAAGCTGGTTTTGTTCAGATGTGGAACTCCCATAAAACCATATAAAATCGACATTTTTGTTGGTCACGTATGGAAAACAAGTCCAAAGATATATCTCCCATTGAACACGGGCAGCACCTTGGCTGCCTTGGCTGAAGGCCCCAGTTGCATCAAGCTCATGCAACAGCGCAATTACGGCGGTGATGGAAGCAATCTTCGATGGCGGGTCAGGGAACTCCAGCGGAGGTGTGGTCTTCTGTGGTGAAAAATTTGGTGAACAGATTTTTGCTTTTAGCGGAAATTAATGGCGATCTAATGGATTTTCATGGGATTTCATGGAAATATCATGGATATATATAACCTACTTGGAGGTGCAGTTGAGCTTACTTTTATGGATGTAACTATATAACCATGGTATTTCAACCCCTATGTATGTTGGGACACTGGGCCCCTATAACTATGGTTATATATAGATCCGCTTATAACTGGAACTGCACCAAGTAGACTGACATAGTGGGGATATAGCGATTGGTGATATAGCGGGATATAGCGATTAACGAATCATTTCGCAACAATGATATAACAGGTGATAAGCCAATTGTTTTGTTCGAAGACCATTACGTTTTTTTTCCTCCAGACGGAAATGAACATCAGTGAAAACCTACATTCATTACACCAAAGCAAAGCAAAGTTATTTCTAGCTGGAGTTTGACTGTACATATCATATCCAATTAACACAGTAAAATCCTGGCACCTACAAGGATTTACAGTAAAAAAATAGACATCTTTATAAATTACCATCTGGTTATTTAACGTGGCTATGGGAAATCACCATTTTTAATAGGTAAATCCTCATAAATCCTCTATAAATGGGCCATTTTCCATAGCTACGTTAAATAACCAAAGGGTAGATTATAATATACACAACATATCCAATCATACTGTGGATGGGCCAGCGAAATCCTGCATCACCAGGCCCGGGATGGTTGAAAAAACCCAACCAAAATCAAGGGATCTTTACCACCTATCAACTGGGACTTATCATAACTTTTCCTTGGGATGATGGGATTATCATCAGTGGATTTTCATGGATTTTCCATATCCAATTATAGGGGCAATAAAATAAATCCTCCGGTAATAGCCATAATAGCTCCATAGGATTTATAGTATCCAGTGATATATATTAGCCAGATCCATTTTCCTATGGATGAGGTCTGGGATACTATAAATCCTCTTAGCTATCATTCATTGGATACTATTAATAGCTATTTAGAATCTATTAGGTCCCATAGGCTATCTTATTACCTATTAGCCAGATCCGTCTTTGTATCATTGGATACTATAACTATAAATCCTATATATGATTAGACACTGTAAATGACTGGTGTTCCTATCCAATGATGTGGTATCTAATGATATTTATATAGGCAAACATTATAAATCAATATAACAAAATCTATAGAATATATCTATATAATCATTATAATCATTATATCTATATAATATATCTATAAAAATCTAATCTATATAAATCATTATAATCTATAAAAATACATTTTCCTATATCGGCAACTATGCTGAGGTCTGGGACGTAACGCGTTTGGAGGAGCTGCAGATGGACGACCTCTCGGCGGTGGTGGAGAAGGGATGTGCCTTGGCGTAGCGAGCTGTTAAGGCAATGGCTATACCATCAACGAATGGTTCTAGTTGTTTTAAATATATATATATATACAGTATTTAAAGAATATCTATATAGTATATTGACACATAATATTTGTGTAATATAATATATAATAAGTAATATATATATATATATATATAATATGTAATATATAATATATATAATATATATATATATGTGTTATATATATTAATATAACACATATATATTTATACATACACATTATATATATATACACATAAAATTGCAATGTAAGCATACTCAAAGGCGGCCCAAGGCGGGGTGTCACAAATGGTCAATAATTGCCGCAACCAACGAAGAGCAAGCAAGAGAGCTGTAGCTTCAGCACGTGGTGCTGTGGCTTGCCCCAGACAACAAGCAGTAGCAGGAGAGGCCGCGCCAAGCCGGGCCGCCAAAAGGCGAGCCCGTGCACAGGCCGGCGCCAGCGCAGTTAAGCGCATTGCAAGCCAGGACATCGGGGTTGCCCTGGCGGACGATGATGAGGAGGAGGATACTGTCGAATACATATCCATGGAGGTGGCGGGGGAAGACCATGACAGTATCACGAGAGGCACCAAGCGGTGTACCTGTAGTATGGTTTAATTGGGCGTCAATGATCAATATCCTTGTTGTGTTTGTTTTTCTCACTTGGATTGAATCAGTAAGTACGGGTGGTTAAAGATGCACTTGAGTTAAACGATTGTTGGTCGATTGTTGTTTGGTCATTGAATGTTTTTTTAATTGTTTTACATGGTTACACTACATCACTACCTGGTTCAATAGGGCTTGTGAATTCACCAGAATAGGCCATTGAATCGGCATACCCACTGACTAACCAACCAGATCCAACCCGTATTTCATGGGATGGGGTATGTTCACGACTCAACTGCGGATCAGACGTAGGAACATGTGTTGGTTTTATCCAAGAAAATCCCCCATGCACTCTGATGTTTGCTGGTGTCAGATACTTTACCTTTCGGTCCGGAGGAGATGATCCACAGTGACCCCAGTGACTTCCCCCACGTATTGATATGATATATATATAATATAATATATATAAATTTAAAAAATTGGGTTGTATCACTTGATATTTGTATTTCCTCCACTTTAAACGTGTGGGTTGTATTTATATTGTCATTCCCCGAGGCATTTGTCAGTTTGTGGTTTCATGGTCATTGGATATAACATGACGTATCATGACGTCACATCATGTAGTCAATGGGGTTACAATATAAACCAACCTCTATATAGCTAGGGGGTCTCACCTTGTAGTAATTTTTGATTGTGTTTTTATGTTTTTGTTTTGCGGGGGCCAATTTGTTTTTGGGAAATCCGTCACATTCCGATGTTCCAATTCTACGAGCAGTTGATTCAAACTACCACTTTCGATTCTGTGTTATGGGTGATATACCCTTTGCATCCCTTTGGTAATCTACCCTGGCAGTAGAACATCACATCCCCATGTGAATGTCCCCAGCAGTCCCCAAAATGAGTAGGGGGATTGGAGTAGAAATGATGTGTTGATTCTGTATGAACAGATCCATTGACATTCCACCAGGCTTCCAGGGCGGTCTTTATTTTTTGGGGAAGGGAAACAACAAAGTTGGAAAGGCTCTATGGAAGATCACCACAATATTTTTGTTTCATCCTCGGCTAGTAATAAAACCATGAACCATGGCTGGTACATCACCATCATGGGGGTGCATCCCAGTTAGTAAGTGGTTAATAACCATGTTAGAACCCGGTTAGATGTGGAATATATCCATTTAACTACTAACAATTAACCATATTGTAAAACAGTTAGTACCTATTACATATAGTTGACTTTAATTATCTTTAATTGACCATATTAATTTAGAACATATCAGCATTATTTCTGGCTTAAAACCACGGATTCCGGGATGCTCCAAGCAATGACCAGCAATGATCATTGCGCAGCACTCGAGGCTTAGACGCCTTGTTGTGCTGCAGTGATGTGGAGGCCGTTGGGGATTTCTGAATTTAGATATTGAAAACTTTCAAAATACATCCAGGAGTATAGAACAAATTATGTGACACACCTAATAATACGTGAGTTATTAACCACTTACTATGGTTATACATTTCTGGGTTAATCATGTCACAAATTATAACAAATTATGTAGTATATTTCCACATCTACGTCAGTTTACTGTAGCCTCCTGTGAAGTAACATAGATGTGGAAAATATATGAACATATCACCATGTTTGGTAAATCATCAAACTATATAAATGGGCCATGGCTTGCACATCTATATTAGTTTACCCCAGAGTGTGTATACATGTATATATATATACATATGAATATATGATGTGTATATATATGTGAATATATGATATATATATATAGTATACGTATATGAGTGAGTTATGCTATATTGTATCATATGTCAGAAACCCAATTATGATTTTGTCTTTTTGGGTCTGGTTTTCAATACCAATTATTTTCTGGGTATAAAATATTATGCCATGGAATAACACCAATAATATGATTTGGGTTTGTCCAGAAATCGAGGAGATACACCACATTTGTTTTACGAACATTGCCGTTGATGGGGAATTTATGATAAAGCACATGAAATTGGGGGAAATCATTGATTTTATGGCTCAAAGTTGGGATTTATCATGCAGATCACTGAATTTTCTTCAGCTTCGGAGTTTTGTTTTTCCGGGATCTCTTGAACGTTTGCATGGCCTTTAGGAACCCTTGCGTATGGTGATTTACGTATGGTGCAGGGGCAATATCACCCTGTTCACAGCCTTAGGAAAGGACAAGGAATCTTTGACCCTGACCAGCCATTCCTTCTTGGGGATCTGAACCAGGAACCACAATACTGGCCATTTTGGATTCTTGTTTTGGGTAGTTTGACCCAAATATCTACAATTCATGGGGTTCGACTGACATCATACATGTTCGAAAGCACCCTCTTGGAAGCATGCCAAGAAATGAATTTGATTTCTGCAGCTGCCTGGCTTTTGTCAGCCAGCGGAGGTACGGTATCAATCCAAATCTCAGCAGTTTACCCCAACACGCATGTTTCATAATAAGTCTGTTTGGTGGTTTGGAACATGACTTTTATTTTTCCATATATTGGGAATTTCATCATCCCAACTGACTAATATTTTTCAGAGGGGTTAAAACCACCAACCAGAAGTAATTTTAACCAACAAAACATGGACTTTTTCGTGCGACGGTGATGAGAAATTCGGCCATGAAACAGACAAGAAGAGCTTGGGAAACCTCGAGGCACATCCGATGCGTTGGAACAAAAAACATCTCAGTAATAAAATGTATATCCAATATATCATTCCGATATGTTTTTGCTCAATTCAGATTGTTTTTTTTCGCTTCTCAGGAGAATACTCAATTTTGAATCAATTATAACATTTGATTATAGGATTGACTTCTGATTTGTTTCCAGGCAGCAGACGTAACATTTCTGGGCGTTCCGAAGAAAAAACTCGTGGCACTCGCGGCGGCGAATTTCTCGCCATGGTGATGCCTGTGCCGCACTCACCTTTGGAGCAGCCAAAACCACAGGTGCCGCTGTTTCCATCATGGTGGTATCCAAAAAAATGGATGGTTTTCATGGAAGCTCCTTTCTTGAAATGGACGATTTGGGGGCATCTTTTTCCCATTTCAGGAAACCTCCATTTTTCAAAGTCTTGATGATTGAGGATGGATTTCAATTCAGCAGATGCAACCATTATAGGTTGAGATGGTTTCAGTGACGAACAACGAGTTTTTGTTTCATGCCACTAATCCCAAGTTCGGACTATTGATAGTTGAACATACATATTATGATGAGCGGATGATGATTCTTCATGGTCAATGAAGGGGTTCCGAAAATCTGCATCTAAATGAACATCGCAATGAAATCTGCATCAGCAGCTCACTATAAGTCTAATTCAGAGAGAGATTTTTCTTACAGATGGCGATTTGCCAGGTCAAATAGTGGTTAATAGTTCTTTATAGTAGTTGAACATGAGAAGTTCATGGGATTGATACTTATTGGCTCCCAGGATGGATGAGCCATCTACGGCTATGGCTAGATACCCTGTTCATCAGGTCCATGAGTTCCATTTTCTTTGACATGAATTGATGACATGTTGGGAATTTGGAAGATCCACCTATCCAGTTCCTGATCTTTTGTTTTATGCTTGCGACTGCTTCAATCCTGCGGTTATGTTTTAAACATAGTAAATTACTACAATATATATTTGTTCCTCATAAACAATGGCTATAAGAACTGCGGGTTGGCCCCAATATGTTTCACCATTAATAGATATTAATAGATATTATATATTATATATCTATATAAATAGATAATGATAGATATAGATATATAGATATATAGATACTTATTAATTATATATATATAAATATATATATGAACATATATGACATTTCCCATCAGATTTCCCAGTTGCCCCTTGCGCATTTTTTACCCAAGCCAGTCAGGCACCGGGTGAAGCCTGGGAGATCATCGCAGAAGAGCTTAGGCGAAGCTATCGCTTCAGCGGTTTCATGGGAATCTGCTGGAGGGATTTTTTTCAGCTAAACATGGAGACATGGAGTTTTTTTGGGGATTTGTTGGGGATTTTTGGGAAACTATGGGATGTTGATAAACATGTAGAAACTATGGGATGTTATGGATTAAAAATGGATGTTTCTGAATGTATTTTTGAGAGTTTAGTTAAGAAACAAAAGCAAAAACAAAAACATACAGTATTTGGGAGTTCGAACATCCAGCTCTAGGCTCCAGGGGTGCCTAGTTTTGACCTTTAGCCACTGTAGCTACCGAACTAGGTCATGCTTTGGGCACTTCTGAATAGATCGCAATTACCCGGAGGGTTTGGAACCTTTGGTCAGGACTACACATGTTTGACATCACAAATATCCACGTTCTGTGTATACATCCTCATTCTTGTTGATGTTTTGCAAGGTGGTGCCCCTAAGTTATAACTTCGTTTTAGTTTCCCTCAGGAAAAACTAGTCCGATATGTCCGCGATGAGGCCAACGATTATTAGTTATATATATGTTTACCAACTTACCCATCATAAATCAGCTACAAATACCAAAATGTTCTTGGTTTGATACCAACTAATGTCATTTCTTGTGAGTTAAATCACCATCTTCCCTATCTTTTGTGGCTTCAGTCCCTTCACTTGGGGAAGGCGGAAGAAGCAGACGGAGAGCTCTCCGGTGCTTGCATCTCGGCTACCAGCAGAAATGTGGTTTGAAACCAACCGTTTTATGGGGATTCTACCCTTGAGTCCATTAACACAGACCCTGCAAAATAGGGGGTTGGAAGATGGTTTTCAGGGTCTATGTTAATTTACCGGAGAGGAATGATACCCTCACCGTCCGGTTTCCTTTGAGATAGGTAGCCAGGTTGATTTTACCTTGGAAATTTTGGGTTTGTTACCTATCTGATAGGTAACTGGAAGGTGTATAGGTATATGTATGTATATACATACTTATATGGATAAATTTCATCACAATCTCAGGTCGCGACCGAACCCTGGAATGATGGGTAGCATTGGGTAACTATCCCAACATAACCTTATTTCAGGTCAGTGAATTCTAATGATTGACCCATATGTGTGTGTATTAATATATATATATATACGCAGATTACGGCATATATCCAACCAGTGATGATTAGCTCATAGCTAGATTGTAACTAGGTTGACCAGTTCTCAGGTTTTTGGTAATGAAACAACTACAATTGGATGGGGTTGCAAACCGTAGGAGGAACCAGCTTCTGCATGCCATGTCCAATACTTGATGGTCATCCTCCCATTAGGGATTCATATAGCCATCGCGATTGGATTCCCATTATGGCATGGATCACCCCCATTCATCTGTCACTGGAATATCACAATATCATTGGCAGGGGTATCAGTGGCAGTATCATCTCATCGATTTTTGTTGGATTCTAATTCCATCCTAATATGAAAAAAAATCCCCTAAATGGTCCCAATTGCTTTACAACACCATGGTTTGTGGCGGGGTGTTTTCTTTGTTTGGGGGAAGGGATTACTCAAAACACACACGAATGATCAAAGGCATTGTATAATGCCCCCCAATAGTCATGATTTGATACTTAAATGGTACCTTCTCATTAAACAGCCGTTTGGGGTTTATTAATCCAGGGTTGACATTACAAACCCAACATTTCGTGAAACCGAAGCGTTGTGATTTTCACCTCTATCCTTGGTGCAGATCGTTCAACACCCCCAGCTGCCACCAGCCAAGGCTCCGGTGCATACGAGTCGCCTCCAAGATGACATCCTACAAAAGGCTCCGACGGTTTTTGAACCAAAAAAGCGGGCTGCGAAGATGTTGAAGTCTGCGGAGTGATGGATTGATGTGCAAAACCTTGGCAGATCTTTGCAGATGATGAATGGTTCGTCATGCTGTCAAAAGTGGGTGCCAAAATGTTTGCTTTCCATAGCTGTTTGAAATCAACGCCAGGTGGCAAGTCCCTGAAAGACTGACCGTATTTATTTCTTTTGATCCCCCACTCATCTATTAAACTGAACATAGTTTGAAGGGTGGGCCAGGGGGTAATGGTCTGTTGGCAGTTCTTTATTTATTGAGCATCACCCAACATTGCCAATTGAATTACAGTGCTTTGAGGTTGCTGGAAGCTCAGTGATCTCTTGCTTTAACCCTTTTATGGGGCACAAAACACTACGGTTAAGACCTTTTCTTAGTCCAGACGAACTGAGTCGCATCTTCAGCAAAAGTGATTTGGCCTGAATCTTGAACCTAGACTTCACAATGCTAATGGCTATCCGCGAGTGGGATGTACCCCAAACATAGGGCTAGCAATTTGATAAGGAAATACGAGGAACATGATGGTAAACCAGAGGATTCACTTTCCATTTTTAGATCAACTAGCTCTAAGAGCAGTTACTAAATCCAACGTGACGTCGGTTCAAAATTCAGGCTAGGGCCACACGATACTGTAAGCCATCTATCACTCAGTTGATGTAAATCACAAAACAAATGATTGTTTTACACAATCATATTTATATACACATACATACAGGTATTTTTTAAATGCACATCACTCATTGTATCCTTAAACAAGATATCCCAACGCAAACTAACCGTAAACATCCGTAAACAAAGTTTTAATAGATTGCAAACCAAACCTAAATAAGCCTTTAACCAATCCCCAATAGACCGGAACCAACCTTCAATAGACCTAAAACCAAGCTTGAAGAAATATTGAATAAATCCAATACAAACCCTAAATATACCCTAAACAAACCGTGACTAAATCCAGACCAACACGGTGATAGCACACAATTAAATTTCTTACACCCAACCTGGTCGTGCTTCAATCTTGTTTCAACATGATTACAGACACGTCCTGAGTACAAAATTGAACCTATTGTCAATGCTGGTTCCAAGATGCTGCGATTTGTCTGTCAACGAGAGATCCAGTTGGCCCAACATGTCGCAAATACCGTCTAAATTAATCTAAAATATAATCTACATCAACAATGTTCTCTCCAAAATGCTGCAAGTAGCATGGCTAGCTCCAAGATGCAGCAAGTAGCAAGGAGAATTGCACCAGACTGAAAATCACAAAAAAACACGGGCACCCTTTTTTACGGCCCACCATTGGTGTGCTCGGACTCTGTGAAAATGGTTAAAGTTGACGCGGAGTTGGTGTTCCAAATTAACATCGAACGTGTGTTCCAAATTGACGTCTACCATATTTGATGGCGAAAACTCACATGATATACTTAACTTTGGCTGGTGGTGACCATATATGTATTATCATCTATGGATCCAGTTGTACCTTATAGTACCTTCTCGAAGGAAGTACCTTCCTGGGGTGTGATGACTAGGGGGTGTCAGCCGTACCTTCTCAGACAGTGGCCATGGATCCATACAATGTGAGGCCCCCCAGTTATAAGTTGATTTATAAACCCCATTAACTATAGCTATAAGTACCATAAACCATATAGTTATTGGAGTTTTAAACCAAATTAGCTATCTTGGGGGCCTCACATTGTAGGGATCTTATTTTGGCTGAATCTCGGCGTTTAACGCAGGAGCGCTTGGACCACCTGAGACAGCTGCTGCAAGTGGCGTGCCAGGGCCGAGCCCGAGGCGGAGGCTGTTGGAACATGAAACATGGAGGTAGGTAAAACACCAATCGTGTTTTTTTGGGATGTGAAATGGTGATATGAATGGCTGAATGGATTATAAAATTTAAATATGGATAGAAATGGGAGATATTTCCCCAACTTTACATGATATTTGGATGTGTCCATGGTGGATAATTCGCCCCCAATTGATGGCCGATGGGGATGTAAAACCCACCATTAATTTAATTCGGATATGCGGATTAAATGTTGCGTTAATGGAATATGATCATGTCCAACTCAATATGATATGATAATATATGATATAAAGTAAAATTATATGATAATGATATGATATGATGTATGGGTGTGTTTGAAAATTGAACATACTTATTTAACATGATGTGTCTGATCAAATCGGGAAGGTCTGGGGTAATCGATGGTCATCCAGAATCCACTGCTTTTATCGGTTTATCCTTAGGACTGTCCTGGTTACCCTCTGGTGGCTTAATGGTGGCTTAATGGTGGTTTAATGGGGTTTAACCAACAAAATGGTGGTTTTAATGGGAGATACCCTCTGGTAAACTAACAGTTTGCTATTGAAAATGGCCATAGAAATAGTTGATTTACCCATTAATAGCATGGTGGATCTTTCGATAGTTATGTAAACGTTTACCAGAGGGTAATTTGCCATTTGAGGGTGTAATTGCATCGTTTTCAGACATTCCTTTGACTGGGTGTTCGTCAGGAAAAAATCGGCAAGCAACGGGATACAATTCAGACATAATGAACAATGATATACATATATATATATATAGTTGCTTGATTGCCGGATGGTTCTTATACTTGAGGGTGCATTCCAGTAATCGTGAATGGGAGGATAACAACCCATACATGAAATTAACGTACACACTCTGGTAATTTAACGTTTTGCAGGTAGATGAATCATTTTTAGATGGGCAATGTTTTTGTTTATAGCTATGTCAAATCCCCAGAGGTTAATTGTTTTTATTCTTCACGGATCGGGTTACATAGTGGGCTCTATCATCGAGGAAAACCATTTTGTGCATGACCCCGGAGAGCGGCAGCCGGTTCCGGTACATGTTCCATGAGCAAACTAACCATATCGAGAAAGGGATTTGATTTTCTAGGCAACAAAGAAGAACGCATGTATGTAAAAGTCCAAGAAACAAACACGTGTACGACGGAAAATGGGACATAAGGTTAATAATAAGTTAATAATCATTATAGAATTGTTAGATAAAATATGATAGATCATTCCCCCAGTCCCCCAGCATCTGTTTTAAACACCATGCGATACCTTGAGAACACAGCCACCAGCAGAGGAGAGGAGGAACCTTCCGCGCCCAATGAGTTCGATGTGCTCCTTTGTGGAGGCAACTGACGGAGACCAACGAAGATTGGATTTTTGAAATGGGTATATAAATGAGCAGTGTTAAACTAATAATGGGTCTATAAATGGCATGCAGAATGGCTATTAGCCAATGGGTATATAACTTTTAATGGCATTTGAACATTGCTCAGTTCAATCATGAGGATATAGTCTTAGCAAATCGTCATCTTAACATATGTTTGAGATTGTTTGAGTATAGCATTTGATCCATCCTTATTATTATTTTTTTTTCTTTATCCGCTAAGCTTGTCAGTGGATTGTGTCAGCTAAGATAGATCAACACCTTCATCCCAGGGGGGACCATGCTGATGATCATGCGGAGAATACATTGATCATACCGTTGGTTTATAACTCTAATTTCACTTTGGTTTATAGGTGATATATCTATAGTTAAGGGTGATTATAAACCAACTTATAACTGGGGGGGGGCACCACCTTTGTACCCTTTAATAGTGGCTGTGTCTGAAAATGTGGCAACCAAAGCAAAATGGCCATAGAATGGGAAGAGATGAGCAACCAACGTGATTTCAATATGAAGATGGGTGTCTTTGGGGTATGGCAATTTGAGCTTGTCACAAGTATTTCATGTTCTTTTAAGTCAATGGATTGGTTGAAGGGAACATTTACAATAACCCCCTATAGTTCATGGGTAAAACCAATGGTTTCCGGTTAAGATTTTCCCTTCAACCAATGCATTGATTCAGGGGAAAATCCATGGAAAAAACCCTTGGATTTGACCGAAGGTAACCAGATGATGTGGCAGGATGCCAGGATTCTGTGCTCATGGTGCCATGCTGTGTAGATTTCTCCCTGACTATCCGGTACATATCCTCAAAGATGTTCCTTTGCTGTGTTATATTGTTATATGTATGTACTCTTACATACTCTATACCAGGACTTGTAGTTTTTTCATGTTTTTTTTTTTTCCAATCCCCTGAATATGTCACCAAACTGATGTATGATATCTCTGTATTTGGCCACTAAATATGAGGGGGTTGATGTTACAAGGATCCTTGTAATTATACAATTATACCGCAATGTTTCCTTGATTCCCCTTTTCTGGCTTAGAATCCCCGGATCCAACATGCGACCCCATAGCTAGTCAAGTTGGTTATAACTAGGTGAGTTAGGATTAATGGTAGATATATCATATCTAGAGTTAATGTGGTTTGCAGACCAACTTGTCACTAGGGGCGGCACCAGCTTGTAGCTGACCGCAGGCGGCTCGCGCGACTCGGGGGTCTTGCGCGGCATGATGCGACGGCTGGGGGTGGATTGCCACCCTTCGGAAAACCACACGGAGATGGAGATGAGGCGAAGGACGTTGGGAGGATGACTGACGAACTCCATCATTTTTCAGAGGGGTACAGGATGGGGCCCCCCAGTTATAAGTGGGTTTATAAACCCTTATAACCCCTATTAACTAGTTCGTTATATCTACCATAAAGCCACTTTTTTTAGGCAACGGTTCACGCTATCGACTGGGGGCCCCATCCTGTAGGGCTCAACCACCAACCAGATGGTGAATGCCAAAATGGGGATTTTTCCAGCCAGATTTATGGTGAACATTGCTAGGGCTATTGCACCATACCTTAAGGGGTTGTTTCACGATGCCAGAAACCACAGGTCGGTTTTAGGACATGTAGATGGGTTGATACTTGGAGATGGGATTATATTAATTAAGATTATTAAGTGGTTTGATGTGGTTTGTTACGTATACCCTCTGATAAGCGTTTACATAACTATGGGAAATCACAATTTTCAATGGGTAAATCCACTATAAATCAACATTTTCAATAGCAAACTGTTAAATTACCAGAGGATAAATATGTGCAAAAGATCTCAACTAGCCCGGGTAGACCGGGCAGATCAATATCCGAATACCCAGGTCGTTTTATCCTCTTGGGCCACCTGATGCGGGATGAACTCTTTATATTCATGTGGATCCAATACATCCTTATATTATCTTAATTATATTTATATCCCATATTGTATATCCCTAGACATAATATATATATATATATATATTATAATTATATATATATATATATATTATATATATATATACCCCCATTCTCCCTGTTAAATTTGCTGGTGATGTATATATCATTGTTTTTGTTCTTTGAATTCCCACAGTGCCGCCTTCGGGGCACAGGATCAAGCAGCTGCAAACTCGACGCAATGCGGCGTCCGTGTTGATTGATGAGTTGGAACAGGAGGCGGAGGGCTGGTTTTTCCGAATGGGCTTCCACCACCCAAAAATAAGAGGTTCAACAGTAAGAGAACATGATTTCTATGATCAAAACATGCTTTTTGTGAAGTTGTAGTTTCAAACCGGCACTTGGAGTTGTAACATGTTTTCTACTATATGATTAGTGATTGAAAAAAAAGACACGGAGGCCGAACTCACAACATCAAAATTCGACCATCAAACTTATGGAGTCAATACCATAAAAAAAAAAAAAAAACAAAACGATTCTGTTTTGGCAACGTTGAGGACGACATGGAAGAGCGTGGATGAATTTTATTAGTACTGACTGGATCAGCTCGTTATAACCATAGTATACCATAGTTGACTCTAGTGAAAGGGTAGTTATAGTATGTCTAGTATCATTTTTGTCATAGCCAAAGAAAGTTACCTTGGTAATCCAATCCAAGACGGAAAATCCCAAATGATTACTTTCAAGCAAGACATTTTGTGGGTGGATCATGTTCAGCCGCAGCCCGACCTTGCGAAGGTTGTGGGTTTGAACAGCTTGCTGGCCGTGCAGGCGCGTGGTGTTCCTGGGGGTTTCAAAAACTTAAGAGTCGTTTAATTGAAGCATCAATCATTGTGGGATATTATGGGATATTGGGATATTAACCATTCTGGGAATCTAATTGGATATATTAATATGCTATATTCACCATTCATGGGAATCGAATGGGAAAAATCATTGATTACGGTGGATCATCCTATTATTCTGAGGGGAAGGGATTCGTATGCGATTCGAACAAGGTGGTACCCCCCAATAAGTGTGAACGTTGGCTTATACTCCCCATGAAAACTATAGATATATCACCTATAAACCATAGGGTATTGGACTTATGAACGCACCAACTTAGCGTTCATGAACTGGGGCAACACTTTGTAACTAGTAGATTCAAAATACATGACAATGATGGAATTTTGACGACATATATGCATCATTTGCACACCTCCGAACAAAACTTAGTACTAACCGTGGTTGATTTTCAAAAACAAGATGATTTGGTTCATAGCCAAAAATCTTACATGAGCAGTGTTCAAAACCCCTGTTGGTTGTTTATTTTATAATATTTTATATTTATTCCTAGCCAACGTAGTTGGGATGATCACAGTTCATGAGTTGGGAAATATATTCCAATATATTTGGAAGTATCATAATCCATGGGGAAATCCTTTTGTTTGCCATGGGAATCTCAATATACTGTATTTGGGATGATCAAATTCAGACATTGGGACACTACAGTCGCTACCAGGGCCAAGGTCACAGACGATTGAATGTTGATGAATGTTGAATCACCTAATGCCATGAATCATCCCCCAAAACACACATTTTCTGGGATTCAAACCATCCCCAAATGGTTTATGGCATTGGGTTGCCCACATCATTCTCCTAAATACCCTGGTGATTTTGATGCTAGATGTCTGTATTCCAAAAAAAGTACGTCATCCCATCCCCCATATAAAACACCCTGCAGAAACCATGATGGACGCAGGGGATATACGCGAAACCATGGGGGACCATGCACAACGGGGGACAACGGGGATGGGATGATGTTCCCCCATTCGATTCCTATTGTGAATGGTTAATATCCTAAAAATATCCCATGAACATGTTATGAATGGTTATATAAAATCTTATATCCCTATATTTCCCAGTTTTTTAATGGTTAAGTATCCCATTTGGTTTTCATATTGGATGGCATCAGTTTCCAGAAATGTCTTTCTTATGCAGCTTTCGGTGCAGCGCCAGGCACCTGTTGGACCTGTTCGATGGCCACAAGCTTCGCCGGAATCTCTGGCCGAGATGAACGTTCAGCGGCAAGAGAAACATCCATCTATATATGGCATTCGTTGCAAAAATATGTGCATATAATATTGTAAAAAAGAAACACATACTGTATACATATATAATAATCATATATATATACATACATGTAATTAAGTTGCCAATGCTTATCGGTGACGTTTGGTGAGCAACAAATCATAGCATGGATAAATGAACAACAAATGGAGAGAAGGTGCCGAATCTTGGAAGTCAAACATTGATATATGTGTTTGTTGCAGCGGATGCGGTCTCCTCGATCATGGAACCGCAAGAACAACATCACGGTTTCCTAACTCATCAGAGGCCAGTTTGGTGATTGGTGAGTTGTTTATGCTTACGCCCCGAAAACCGTACGAGTAAAACGCACATTTTTGAATATCGCTATGTTGGGGTGGGGTGGGGGGGTTGGGGATGTTCACGTACCTTGTACTTCGTACATGATCCATTGCTACGCTGCTGAGATCTCTGGGATCGTTTACTACGTCACATGTTGCTACGCTGCTGATGGGGTGGGGTGGGGGGGTGGGGGATGTTAACGTACCTTGTACTTCGTACATGATCCTTTGCTACGCTGCTGAGATCTCTGGGATCGTTTACTACGTTACATGTTGCTACGCTGCTGATGGGGTGGGGTGGGGGGGTGGGGGATGTTCACGTACCTTGTACTTCGTACATGATCCTTTGCTACGCTGCTGAGATCTCTGGGATCGTTTACTACGTTACATGTTGCTACGCTGCTGATGGGGTGGGGTGGGGGGGTGGGGGATGTTCACGTACCTTGTACTTCGTACATGATCCATTGCTACGCTGCTGAGATCTCTGGGATCGTTTACTACGTTACATGTTGCTACGCTGCTGATGGGGTGGGGTGGGGGGGTGGGGGATGTTAACGTACCTTGTACTTCGTACATGATCCATTGCTACGCTGCTGAGATCTCGTACCTTGCTACTTCTCACATGATCGTACATGATTGCTACGCTGCTGAGATCTCTGGGATCGTTTACTACGTTACATGTTGCTACGCTGCTGATGGGGTGGGGTGGGGGGGGTGGGGGATGTTCACGTACCTTGTACTTCGTACATGATCCATTGCTACGCTGCTGAGATCTCTGGGATCGTTTACTACGTCACATGTTGCTACGCTGCTGATGGGGTGGGGTGGGGGGGTGGGGGATGTTCACGTACCTTGTACTTCGTACATGATCCATTGGTTTTTCACATAAGATGTCACCGCTTCCGTTCCAGGCGCTTAGAAAGCTTTGTCTGTGGGATCTGGGCCACGCCCGAGTGAAACGTGGAGGAAAACCTCCCCCGGAGAGTTGGGGGAAATCGAAGAAAGTGGAGCTTGTGAAGTTGTTGTTCCCACAACTGATCGTTGTCGCTCCGTTCTTCTTACTGACGGTGCTCGTTGCTACAAAAGAATGTCCTCAACCTTGAACCTTCTTCATGGTGTGGTGAACCATTCAGCTGGCCAGTTTACTGGTGAACTGAGATGAGGACGAGAGGTCATTCAAGTACATACCGGAACAATTGACCAAGTTTGGAGTGGCTGCAAAGCATTCATTCCAAAACAGCTAGGAAGCCAATCAGAATTGATTGAGGTTTACTTGCGCGCGTTCCAATGGAGGTATATCAATCGCCCCACTCTAATTCGCACGAAGACAATCCACCAGCTCAACTTGCTTCGAAAGTGAAGAAGAAAACAAAGTGCGCAGTCTGTGTTCTGATAGGTGTCATTGGGAAAACAACATTTTCAAAAAAAACTTGTACGGCACCACAGCGACGGGTTGTTTATGTGTTTTTGTTTTTTGAAGTTTTGCGCACCTCCATGTTGTTATTAGTGTTGTATCATGTTGTATCCCCTTTCGTGGTTTTACCAATAAAGGCGGAGGTCTTATTGGGAACTACTCGACTATGTACAGGTGCAAAGGAACGAGGATGTCATGTATCAGATAGTCGATGATTGTCCATATCTTTGGCCTCTATGTAAATCTTATGGAATTTCCTAAAATGGCGGTTACCGCCAAAGCATCCAAGTCATTGGACCATGAATTGATATGTTTCAACAACCATTTTCTGACTTGGGATCCTCCGGTCCTATTGGTCAACATTGACACATTCGCCTTGCGCCTACACTGGGCCTTTTTGATGGGCAATCGTGGTGTTTTTGGTGTCCTGATTGGTTGGAGCTGCCCAGGATGATGAATCATGCAACTCGGCAACGACCTGACTGGTAGCATGATGCCGATAGGGAAACGGAATTAACGGATCCACCATCCACAATCGTAGAATCTTTATTGGTGAGATTGACACCATCAAAATATTGGTGCTTGATTATTGCTTTACTAACACTACATAAAATGATCGCACACTTGAAGTACGGAACCAGAATTGAGTGTGGCTTAAGACTTCTGCCCCTTTTTCAAATTTGGACAATTGTTGTCCAATTCATTGGTTTGAGTTCCCTATAACTTCACCCGCGAGTGGTAGTACTTTCCCAAGTTAAAAACAGCCGTTGTGGAAATCACATGAAATCACTATGTCCTTCCTGGGTGACCGACTGGCAACAGAAAAACTGACTACTGGCTAAATATATATATATATATGTATATATATATGTATGATTATATATGTATATATAAGTTATATATAACAATGTTTTACTACATACAACCAACTGTTTGCCAGTCAATGATTGTTTGGTGCCCTTGCTTCATCACTGGGTCAGTCTTGCGATGAGTAGTTAAATTGGAATTTTGGTCTCTGAGGGGAGAAGGATTGGAAACTGATCAGTTTTAAAGAAACGATCTTTGAAACAAAAGGGGATTTACAATGATTTATAGTAGTTTCCCCATAGTAAATCATGATTAGTCGCAGCCATATAATGCCATCATATATATATATACTCTATATATATAATTTATATAACATGTATATTTATATAATCCCCAAGTGATGATGATTATAATCCCCGAGTGAAAGTCATTTTCTGATCCTGGGATTCCTAAAACATCGTGGGAATCGATGGTAAAAGTCAGAAGACTCCAATGACTATGTCAGCCAACCTTGGATGGGTACCCTCTGGTGAACTAACATAGCAATGGAAAATCACCATTTTTAATGGGAAAATCCACTATTTCTATGGCCATTTTCAATAGCTATGTTAAATTACCAGAGGGTAGTTTATCTTCTTTTTTTTTGCGATTTCAATAGGAATATGATATTGCAAAACGGCTTCTAAAGAGATAGCCCAGAAACATGGTAGAGAAATGTAGAGAGGAATATCTACTAAGCAGCTATTCTGTTTTTGTGGGGGACCTAAGATTGGCAATGACGAGCAAATATTAGTAGTGACAATAATATGAAATATGCCAGCTGCATGTGGAGGACCCTAGTTAATATGGCTCATTCATCACTTGCCTTTCCTGGGTTCCGCAATTGAACATCATATTCTTGGCTATGTATCCTGTGATATCCCCATCGTATACGCATTATATCCCTCATGAGGTTAGGTACAGTATGCAATGGTCAAACTATTGGTCAACCATTGCTGTTTGTTGATAGCGAGAAACTACCTCGGTTTTATGGCGTTCCCATATATAGATGCCCATTGAGTTTGGCGATTTCCCAGCCACGTTCGGATCACCCATCAAAAACCCACTCTAAATCCACATGTAGATCTTTTTTTTGTAAATCCCAGTATGTTCCAATGATATTCCCACGATATTCCCATTCTCATCCATTTTCCCATGATTTTTGCCATGTCTCCCATGAATTTTTCCGCGTGAAAAACGCCATTTTTGTTCAGCCCTTCAGGTTGCTTGGAAGAGCTGGTGCCCGCGACCTTATGTGGACAGGCGAGTCGCGGAGAGGCCGGTGACGTGAATCACGGAGAAATTTCACTTGGGTTTATGGTAGATACAGTATATCGAACTAGTGGGCTTATAAACCAACTTAGTTGGTGATCGAAGATGAGTTATATAGCCATATGTTATTAACAAACATGGAGATTTCAGTGGATTAATACTTGGCTTATGTTAGCTTAGTTGGTTGAGTTCAGTAGTTTAACCTTGGAGGCATACTTCTTGGTGCATTTGGGATTATATTAATGGGATATCACTGTATAACAAAGGTATTTTTATGATATTCTGGTTGGTGGTGACTGGAACATGACTTTTATGACTTTCCATTCAGTTGGGAATTTCATCATCCCAACTGACGAAGTCCATCATTTTTCAGAGGGGTAGGTATACCACCCACCAGTTATAATCCCATTAATTCACCCAATGAAATCTCCTTACCCTCTGGTAAACTAACATAACTATGGAAAATCACCATGTTTAATGGGAAAATCCACTATTAATGGAATATCACTGTATAACAAAGGTATTAATGATATCAATATGTAGAAAACATTGGGAGTTCTTTGGATCCATTGGGAGTTCTTGGGATCTTCACTCATTGGTCCTTGGTTTTAACCAGCAAAAAAACCCCTTTTTTTTGGGCCAACAACAAAGTGGAGGGTGTTGGGTATAGCGGTATAACTCAACAACCATTGCATGGGATACTTAATGAGATATACCCTCTGGTAAACGTTTGCATAGCTATTGAACATGGCAATTTATAGTGAGTTTTCCCAGTAAAAATTGTGATTTTCCATAGCTATGTTAGTTTACCAGAGGGTACAACGTGTATAAACAATGTATTATTTGGGATAATTAGTCGAACATTTAAGATAGAATCCATTTTTTAGCCACTAACAAATGGGGAACACTCGGTTTTCAGGACAGCCCATTGGTGTAAATCTTGGTGAATCGGAGGTTGATGGGTTACCCTCTGGTAAACATTCACATAACTATGGCAAATCACCATTTTTAACGGGAAAATGCATTATGAATGGCCATTTTCAATAGTTATGTTAAATTACCAGCGGGTATCAATGGTTGTCATTTGTTTATCATGC